CCCCCTCCCCCCTCCTCCGACTAACATACGAACAAGCTATCCACCCTCCAATCCCGCGTCTCCGCCTCCGCCCAATCCCGTCTCTCCCACGCCCAAGCAGAAGCCGCCCGCCGCGCCGCCGCGCTAGCAGAGATCGAAGCCGACCGCGATTCCGTCCGCCTCCGTGCTTTGAGGGAGAAGGTTGGGAGGGAGGCTCGGGAACGGGAAGCGAGGGAGAAGGAGGAGGCTTTGAAGGACGCTGAAGGGGCGGGGATGGGGATGGGGGAGGGGGAGGGGGAGGGGGAGGTTGATGCGCAGGGGACCGCTCGACGGGAAGGTGTTGTATCGATCGAACAGGATGAGGATGAGGATGAGGATGAGGATAGTGAGGAGGAGGATCATGTGGGGTATGCTGCAGCCAGTGGGGTGAACGAGTCGTATTGGGGTGATGGGAGAAGGCTTGGTGATTAGTGTTGTATAAATTTAGTGTGTTGTGAGATGTATACAGCTGTATTCTAGACTTGTCTTCATGGAGCATCACTCAAGCGGTATCTTGAACTGCTGATAGACCATACCACATGTCATAATGATCACTTCTATCTATCTCCCCTTCCCCCCACCCCCACTCCTACCCGCTCTCCCAACCTTCCTCACCTTCTCCCACCTCCTTACCCTCCTCGCCAACGTAACCCCCAACGCTCTAAGGTAACTCGCCGAAAACACCAAAAAGAAGCCGACCGTACACGGTATGGCGACTTTCCAAAAGTATGATACGGGGCCTTCGATTTGGGCGAAATGGGTGAAATTCATGCCAAAGTAGGATGCCTGCGGGGGGTGGTCAGTGGGTGTAGGGAAAGAGGGGGGGCTTACAATGAATGTGAGGGCTGAGTGTGAGAGTCAGTGGTGGTCTTTGAGAATGGACGGTCGTACAGAGGACTCACGCAAAAAGACGACAGTGACGATACTCAACCGCTCCATCGAAGCATTCGTCTGGAAACTCAACACATTCTTACCCAGTATCAGCCATCCTCCCTCCCTTTCCTCCCAGACAAGGGAAAAAAAAAAAAAAAACGCACAAAAACATAATCCGTCAAATGATCACAAGTCGACACAAACTGCTCCAAACTCCCCACCACAATCTCCAAATGATCAATCACATCCTCAATATAAACCTTTGTCAGCGGCGAAAAAAAACCCAGCTGGGCTGTTTGTGGGTTCGCACCGGCTGCCCCGGCTGCTGCGGAGGCGGAGCCGGCGCCGAGGGCTGTGAGGTTGCCGTGGGAGCGGGGGGAGAGGATGGATAGGACTGAGGCGGAGTCGTCTACTTGGGGGGTGTTGGTGCCAGAGTGTCTTTGGTTGAGGGGATTCAAATGCGACCCTCCTTGCCCTCCTTGCCCCCCGTGCGCCCCTTGCGCCCCTTGCGCCCCTTGCGACCCACTCCCACTCCACCTCCCCACCGAACTAGCAGCCACAGACCGCTGCAGATCCTGGTCTCTTACCACATAACATACGTGCAAGAGCGGGGTGAGCGCGCGGCGGAGGCGGATGAGCTGGGAGGAGAGGACATGGAGGTGGCGGACTGTTTCCATCTGATCACAGAGTATGAGCTTTTGTCTTCGGGTGGGAGGGCGTGAAAGAGGAGGGAGGAGGGGAGGGGACGTACTTGGGGGTCGACGAGGACGGAGGCTTCCATCTTTAGGATTTCGGATTCGAATGTCTGCGATACTTGGATGGACAAATCGGCGACTACGTTCCTCATTCAGCGTCGTTACTCATCACAAGCAAAGTTAAGGACTCACCAGTATCCAGGATAGCCTGCGCTAGCATACTCACATCCGCAGACCGCCTCAACAAACTCTGCTCGTCTCGCAACCTCGCGTATATCGGCTCAAGCACTTCTCTTGCTGGTTTCCCGTCGAGGGATATAAGCGTACCTACGCAGTATATTTAGCATATCGCTAGTTGTTCCGTCGAGGACGACTTGCCATCACGCAGCATAAAGATACTGAGGATGTTGCGCCTTATCGGAACCATATACTCCGCACTCAGCTCATCTACCGTCAACTTGTGCGCTTCCTTCTCCGACGCCTACAACCCCCATCCATCAGCTCAACGTCCTTACATCAAATGGATGAGGAAGCACCAACGTCTGCTGGATGAGACCCGGTACTTTGGCGGGGAGCAATCATACTCGGCTCGAATACCCCCTGGATGTCATCCGGCAAGCCCACCCTCCTCCCCGCGCCTGCCCCTCCAAACAACCCCGCTTTCCCATTCCCATTCACAATCCCGTGCCCATTCCCAATCCCATTCTCTCGAGCCTCTTCCCCCTCCCCCTGCCTCGTCCCCTCCGCAATCTCATCCGCCGCATGGTCCGACGACCGCGTACGGTGAATGAGCAGTTGAAGGTAGAGGTGGTTCCTGTAAAAGTCGAGTTTGGAGCGGGGGGAGGATTCGGCTTCGATTGCGTCTTCCACTGCTAGTGGGTGGAGTCTACAATGCAAGGGTGTCAGATAGCAGGCGAAGAGGGAAAGGGGGGGAGGGACTTGCCCGAAGTGGAGGACGAGGGTCTTGATGACTTGCCAGTTGATACCATCGATATGGACTGTACTTTGATCAGCATCGGCTGAATCGCCTAGGATCTGTACTCACTCCATCGAACACCTGTAGGTTTGCCGTCTTCTCCGATCCGCCGCTTGCCGTGCGTGCTGTCGAGCCATTCTTGTAGTTTCTCGCCTGGGAATTGAGACGCGAGGTTCATGCCTTCTTCATTTGGGTCAGACGAGTAATCCACCACCTGTAAAGTTGTCAGAAACTGAAATAGCAATGAGAATAAATCACTCACTTCAATCTTGGTCTTTGCCTTCAGATGCCCATACGTCTTCTCATCCCTCTTACTCTTCACATCCACCCCCGGCTCATCCCCCGTCCCATCCGCCACAACAGTACTCAACCACCTATACTCATCCCCCCCATGCGCCTGCCCTGATGCCCCCGACACTCTACGCTGACGGATTCCACCGAGGGTCGCGGTGGGGGAGACGGACCGGCCAGAGGAGCGGCTGGGGACTGGTTGAGCTTCGGCGTCGTTGTTGGATGAAAAGTGGCCGATATGGGAGGCGGGGGGGTCGATTGGATGGTCGCCTAGGGAGCGAATGCCGAATCCACCTAGATAGCATGTTCAGCATATGGCCGCAAGTACCTGCCGGGTCACGACTCGCTCGAGCTGCTGGACTGGCGCGAAGCCTGTGGCGGAGCAAGGGTCGTCATCTTGCTAGAAGTCCGAGTAATAGTTTGCCGTAGATGAGGAAGAAGATGAGTTGGATGCAGCGGTGCCATGCCCCAAGCGAGAGATGCTGCGAGAGTGGGTTGGAGCGAAAAGAGACCAAACAAAACTCAAAAGAAACAAATAATAGAACTGGTCAGGAACTGGTTACGTCAGAGGCGCCTGGCGATAAGATCGGCGCGGCGCGGAGTTTGGTGCATCTCCGATACTCTGTCGTTCAACGTCGACTGAGGTGTTCTTATTGAGAGCAGGCGTCAAGCAGCGAGCCACTTTGGCCTACATATGAGCGACGAGCATTCTCCAGATACAGTCTGCTGTGAAATGCATCAAGTCACGAGGCAGGGGGAAAGATGGCTGGTGCCCCCCGTAGTGGTGGCTGATGCTAGCCGAGCAAAGTGCCTCTTTAGATGCGCTGAATCAAAGTCACAGAGCTTCTGCTTTCCTATTCCGTCTTGGTGAGCATAGACTACGTACTCCAACCACAGAGCTACGGGCATGCATGACGGATTTGAGCTCTGGCGACGACACGTGACTACAGCGAGGAGACGATGATATCGTCGGGCGGCGTGGGAGGTATTCTTCAACACTTTTGGTTTCTGCCTAATCAACTGACAAGGAGGATGAGACCGGTCGTCAGTGTGGGTCTATGCACATATATCAATTTAGAAAATCGTCCTATGAAGCACTATACTATATGGCATGGTGTCAGCCACCACGCCACTGACCCGGCCCCTTGACGACGCGGCGTTGCCCGCTGATGGACGTTCTCACTCTTCTCTTTCATATCTTGAAATCACACCCACCACAACAGCATCACACCACTCTCACCCAACCCCTCCCCCACGACAAACATCACACCCGTACCATGCAGCCCCCCGCCCCATTCAGGTTCCTAACCACGGGTAAATCCATCACCATCCCCTGGGCCGACCACAACGCCTTCTCCGAAAGCCTCAGCTACGCAGCTGCCAGGATCGACCACCATACCACAATTGACGATGGGTGCAAAAATTTGATGATTCCCCAATTCAAAATCGCTTACGACCAGCACGTCGTGAGTTGCTCAAATACGATGCCCTAATTCCTCGAGATCGCTGACCTTGCATCAGCTCGAGGGGATGCACGCCGGTGAACGCCTTCGCGACCTGAATCCCGACCTTTTCATGACGCGCCAACACGCCCTCGACTGGGACACTGGCTTCCCCCAAGACACCATCTTCTTCTACGTCGACTCCAGGACAACAAAGGTCTACTCGACTATCTGGGACGGGATGAAGTGTATCCAACGGCCTCTGGGGGATCTGCAGATGATTGAGGCGGGGGATATGGTGATGAACCGGGTGCACGAGGGTGGGTTGATCTGAGCGCTTGGTAGAGAAGATTGGAAGGCTGACCTGGTTCTTACAGACAGGATGATAATCGGCAAAGTCATCACCCCCGTCAAGTCCGACTTATGCCTCAGCTTGTGAGCTCATCCCCATCTTGCTAGCATCTACCTAACACTGTTGTCCTCCTAGCTACCTCGAACTCCCCTCCGGCACTACATTCCTCGTCCTCATCACCTACCCCACCCCAATCCCCCACTTTTCCCTCCCCCCCACCACCACGCTCGCCCAGCTCTACCCCCCCGGCTCCATCCTCGCTATAAAGTCTCCCCTTATCGGCTTCAACGCCAATGGGGGGTACGTTATCAAGGTCAACATGCCGCACGAGATCGAGGAGCTGCATCCGAGTGATCCGGTGCTCCGGGGAATCAAGTGGGAGGCTGGGTTGGAAGAAGAAGCGCCGATGGGGTGGATGGGGTACAGAAAGCTGGGGAAGGAAGCGATGGGGAAAAAGAACCCTCTTGTAAGTTCCCTTCTCACCTAAGCAGACTTCTCTAACCCAACTCCAAAGGTCGCTCTCCGATTCTACTCCCTCGCCCTATCCGACCCCGCCGTCAAGGCCACCCCCATCAAAACCTTCACCCTCCTCCTCGATCGCGCCGAAGCATACTCGACCCTCCATCTCCACGGTTCCGCCTACCGCAACGCCCACCGCGCCCGAGAGTCGGTTGAGAAGAACGACAACATCCCCCTCACCCCAGGCCAGACCGACCGCCTCTGCTTCCGTCTCGCCAGAGCTGCACTTGGGCTGCGTCTCTACACCACCGCGCTCCAAGCTCTCCAGCACGCCTCACCCCGATCATATCTCTCGCCCGAGCTCAAGAAGGTCAGGCAAAAGGTAGAGATGAGGATGGAAGAGAAAGAGTCAGGTGTATACGACTGGCTCACCATCTTTCGCGAATCCCTAGAAACAGCCTCCCCCGCCGAGCTCGACATCCCCGACTACACCTCCCCCGCTTGCCACGTGGCCCATATCCCCGGGAGCGGCCGAGGCGTCCTCGCTACCCGCGATATCACCCCCGGCGAACTCCTCATGGTCAGCAAAGCCATCGCCCCTTCTCGATTCCAGCTCGACGCTCCGAAGGTGTACATCAACTGCTACGACGCCGAGTCAAGGAGCCATGTACCCCATATGACCTACATGTGGGTCTATCGTCTCTTGCACAAGATATACGACGACCCGTCTGTCGTCCCCGTGCTCGATGGCTTTTCCTCTTCCGGCAAGGTTCCGCCGACAGAACAACTTCCCCAGTTGGAAGACGAAGACGCCCGGCTGAAACTCCTGTTCGCTCCCGTGCCCTCCGAGTTGAGCCTCGACGCTTTTAGGCAGGTGTCCAAGACAAACGCCTACGGCGGTTGGTCGATCCCTGCCAAGGGCACCGGGTTCGACAAGGGTCTGAACGACGAAGCGGCGCGGAAGTGTAACAAGGAGGTGGGGGTGCTCTTGCACGGTATGCCTGCGCTGATCAACCACTCTTGTTGGCCCAATATGACAGAGTGTTGGTATGGCGATGTGAGTCCTTCTCCAAGCTTTTGCCAATGCGCGGCTGACGAAAGCGTAGATGATGGTCCTACGAGCTAGCAAACACATGTCCGCTGGCGACCAGCTCTTCATGTCGTACAACCGGAACGAGCCCTCGTATACCGGACGACGGGCTACGCTGCTCAACTGGGACTTTGAGTGCAGCTGTTTCTGTCAAAACTGGAGAACTCCTTGTCAGTGCTTGTACAGCAGCTTGAGACAATATTCATGAACATACCTGGAGAACTCCTTGTCAGTGATATTCATGAACATACCTGGAGAACTCCTTGTCAGTGCTTGTACAGCAGCTTGAGACGATGAGGAGACTCCAGACAGGGTAGCTAATCTGTATACGGCATGGCAGGGAGCATAGAGCGTCACCAGTAATTTACGTAATCCCTTTTTCTCTAAATCTCCCTGAGTCCCTTAACGCCGATTCCTACGTCTGTTCCTACTCTTCGGCTGGACTCCGACACCCCCCCTCGCTCAGGTCTCGCCATGCCCATAAGCTCGCGTAACCGGAGGACAGCAGGTCCGGGCAGAGACTTTGTAAGGAGATCTGCCATATTGTCTGCAGATGGGACATAGTCAAGACTGATGTCCTTGCTTTGGACGAGCTCTTGGATAAAGCCCTTTTTGATAGCCATATGTTTTGAGCGTTCGTGATGGACATTGTTTTTGGAGAGGGCTATAGAGCCCTGGTTGTCGTTCAACAGGTGGACTGGCTCAGTCAGGGGCTCTAGACCAAGATCCTCTCGCAAGCATGCTAACCACATAGCCTGTCTAGCCGCGTCCGTGGTTGCCTGGAGCTCGGCCTCGGTGGTGGACAGCGCGACTGTAGATTGTCGATGACTTTTCCATGCCACAATCCCACCGTACATCTTGAAGACATAGCCGGTGGTCGACCGTCTTGTGTCTAGATCTCCCCCCCAGTCGGCATCGGCGTGACCCAAGATGATACGTTGACCGCTTTCACGGTCGAAAGAGAGACCAAGATCAGAGGTTCCGCGGATATAGCGCAGGAGGTGTTTGGCCGCACGCCAATGAGCCTCGTTCCACTTGCTGATATAGCGAGAGAGCTGGCTCGCAGAGAAGGCGAGGTCCGGGCGAGAGATGGTGGAGGCATAGAGGATGGCGCCCACGACTTGTGGAAAGGGAAGGTGTTTGGCGAGAGCATGTTCTTCATCGGTAGCCGAGATGGCCTTGAAGTCGAGGGGAAGGGGTATCTTGGACGGTCGGCAGTCAGACATGCCATACTGCTCGAGAAGATTCTCAATGTAATGCTCTTGAGAGATAAGTAGTTTGCCAGCGGGGCGGTCACGATGGATATTGAAACCCAGAAAGTAGTGAGCGGGCCCGGTGTCGGAGCACTCAAAGGCGCGATTGAGCTCATCTTTGAAGCTGTTGAGGGCGTCTCGATTGTCAGAAGCAATAAGTTGATCATCGACATGCACCGAGAGCAGGAGCCATGCCCCGTTGCGACGACGGGAATAGAGACACGAGTCGGCTCGAGAGGGAGTGAAACCCTGACTGCGGAGCCACTTGTCGAAAGCCTGATTGAAACAGCGGGGGGACTGTTTGAGGCCGTAGAGGGATTTGCGGAGGTGAAGCACATTCCCTGCAGGAATGTTGGAGCCTTCAGGAGGGTCCATGTAGATGGTTTCCTCGAGGTGGCCGTTGAGAAAGGCAGCTTTGATATCGACCTGGTCGCACTCGAGGTCATAGTAGTTGACAAGGGCCAAGAGGATACGGATGGTGTCTTTGTGCGCAACCGCAGCGAAGAGGTCGTGATAATCAACCCCTGCAATCTGACTGTACCCTTTAGCAACCCAACGGGCCTTGTAGGCTGCAGGCTTGCCGGTGGTCCCATCAATCTTCCGTTGGAAGACCCATCGGGCGCCAACAACACGCATGGTGGCAGTACGCGGCACCACGGTCCAAACGCCATACTTCTCCAATTTGTGCAATTCATCCTTGATGGCGGTGGACCACAGATCCCATTCGGGAGAGCGACGGGCCTCACGGTAAGACTGTGGAAGGTGTTCAAGGATGGTGGCGGAAAAAGCGGCGTGAAGAGCGGCATAGTACGTTTCGCCAGAGCGGAGCCGAAGGCCACTGTCATCGACGTCATCAGAGTCGGGGGAGGGTGCGGACTCGCGCTGATAAGGAAGATATGCCCACCCAGGGGGAGCAGGGACCGGGGAGAGCGGAAGATCGAGAGAGGAGACCGAAGTAGGGGAGGAGTGGGCAGGGGACCCACTGGGGGTGGTAGCTGGATCGGGAGATGCAGCCGGAGCTGGAGGGGCAGCCGGAGCTGGGGGTGCAGCCGGAGCTGGTGGTGCAGCCGGAGCTGGTGGTGCAGCCGGAGCTGGTGGTGCAGCCGGAGCTGGGGATGTAGGTGGCATGACCACCTCGTCAACATCATCGGGGAAGCGAGAGGGGTCAAGGATGGGAGGCGGATCACGGAGCATAAGGGTATTGGGATCCGGTGGGAGAGCGGCAAGCTCAGCAGGAGTGGGTGGTAGGTAACGGACGTCCCGAGACAGAACAGTTGAACGTGTATCCGCTCGCCAGATGCGACAGGTCTCCGTATCGCCCGTCCATCCAACAAAGATACCGGGGAGGAAACGTGGGGCAAGCTTATCGGTCACTGTATGGTCGCGATAGTAGACAGGGGTGCCGAAGGGACGGAGATGTGTCAAGGAGGTGGGAGTGCCAGTCCACAGTTCTTGGGGTATTAGGCGCTGAGGACCGCATGGTGTGCGATTACGAACATACGCGGCATAGTTGGCAGCCTCAGGCCACAAGGAAGGAGGGAGACCAGCATCAATGAGGAGCGTGCGGACGGTGTTGAGTACTGTTAGATGGACTCGTTCAACACGTCCGTTCTGGGCATGGGCACCGGGTGGCACGCGAACATGTTCAATGCCTGTAGCTGCAATGAACTCCGCCATGAGATTTGAAGTGAATTCACCACCGTGGTCGGAACGGAAACCCTTGACCTTGTGTCCCGTCTGGCGTTCAACAAGGGCAACATAAGCCTTGAGAGAGTGAAGAGCAGATGACTTGCTGCGAAGAAAGTAGAGAGAGACCTTCCGGGTGTAGTCATCATAGCAGGTGAGAAAGTAGCGATAGCCATGAACACTGGTAGTACGTGCAGGTCCCCAAAGGTCAATGTGTACCACAGCCAACGGTATGTGTGCCCGAATGTCAGACGGAGGTGCCGGAAGACGACGGCCTTTGCCAGCAATACAAGCGGTGCATACCCAAGTCCGGCGCTGCTCACTAGACACCCCCGACAACCCCGGCAGCTTTCCTTCTTTGGCCAACTGGATAAGGCCACCAAGGTGTAGATGACCTAGGGACCGGTGCCAGCTACGTAGAAGAGTATCGGTGTCAGCGGCGACAAGGGCAGCAGACGCAGAGAAAGGGATCGCACACTGGTAGAGGTCACCCACGAGGGGTGCGTCAAGGACGACGTGGTGATCATGGGTTCGAAGTTGGGCACGGGTCGAGGTGATGACCCAGTGGCAGTCGACTGGGACCTTGTTGACCGCAAACAGGTTTCGGCTCAGCCGGGGGACAACCATGACATTGGGGAAGATGATCCCCCCCAGAGTCAGATTGCCAGCGGTCGAGCTTCGCAAAGAGGTACCGTCGCCAATTGTGATTTGGCGAGTAGGCGTGGGGTATACCTCAGTGAGGTAGGCGGCGTCGTTTACCATGTGGTGAGTGGCACCAGAGTCGATTATGCAGGAAAAGGAGGTGGGGCTAGCGGAGAGAAGAGCCGCCGCGCTTGCCTGCTGCCCCAGGGGGCCCGCAGGTGGCGGACCCAGACGAGTGGAGAGAGGTGGGTGGCGGGGGGACAAGCGGTCGCTGAGAGTGGGTCGGGCGATGTTGGTGACGACGGCCATGAAAGCCCCAAAGTACTGGTCAGTGTCGTCGGCAGGCGCGTGGGTCTCGGCACCTGCGACCGCCATGAAGCCAGCAGCGGAAGTGATCTCCGCGACCTGAGCCAAGACAGCCGCCGCCCTGTCCATCTTCGCAGGCTGGGCTGTAGTCTGGCCACGCTGGCGCTGTCCCAGGTGACACGCCTCCGGAGTGTGACCCCCAAGTGTGAGATGATAGGGACAATAGATGTCCCGACGGGGCTGAGACTTCTTGGTGGCCGGAGTAGATGCGGGCTTGTGTTGGCTGTAGAAAGCCGTGGCTGGAGGGCCGGTTGCCTGACGACGGGTCCAGGCCTCGCCGGCGGTCACCGAGACTAGAGCAATGGTGAGATCGCTGCGAGTGCTCAGCTGCTGGACCATGCCCTCGTAGTCGGGGGGCAGGGCAAAAAGGAGAGTGTGGGCAACAAGACGCTCGGAGATGGACTCAACGCGACGGACCTGGTTGTAGATGTCACGGAGGCGTGCCAATTGGGGGACCGGGTCGTCATGTGCCGTGATCTCAGTCCGGAAAAGAGTGCGGCAGAGACTGTTTAAGTGGACAGGGGAGTCCCGGGCATAAGCCTCACGGAGCTCAGTCCAGAGAAGACGAGCATCGTCTTCCTGGGCCTCCGGTGAGAGGCCACATTTCACATCGGCAGAAAGGGTCTCAATGATGAGACCCCAAGCCCTTTCGTTGGCTTGCTCGGTCGTGAGCTTGCCGCCTCCAGCGGCGGGAGGAGCAGATGTGTCGGCAGAGGACTTAGTGATGGCCGTGCCTTCAGCGGAGGGAGGAGCAGGAGACGTAGTGTCGACCTTGTCGGAAAGGGTAGAGGCAGATTTGCCGATGACAAAGTCGAAAAGGAAGTGTTTGCGTAAGAGGGCTTTGGTGTCGAGGGCCCAGGCAGTGTAGTTTTGGGTGCCCCGGAGGACGGTACGCGTCTCCCCTGGCGTGGACATAGCGGGCTGTCCGGATCGTCTGAGGTGGGTGCGAAGAAGTAATTCAGGGAAGGAAAAAAAAAGCTTGCTGTCTGGGACAACCGAATGACAAGACTCCGTTTGTTTAGAATAGGCTCATAACCTGTCAAAACTGGAGAACTCCTTGTCAGTGCTTGTACAGCAGCTTGAGACGATATTCATGAACATACCTGGAGAACTCCTTGTCAGTGCTTGTACAGCAGCTTGAGACGATGAGGAGACTCCAGACAGGATAGCTAATCTCTATACGGCATGGCAGGGAGCATAGAGCGTCACCAGTAATTTACGTAATCCCTTTTTCTCTAAATCTCCCTGAGTCCCTTAACGCCGATTCCTACGTCTGTTCCTACTCTTCGGCTGGACTCCGAAAGTTTCCTCTGTCAAGCCGACACCCGCCCGCACGAAGACCCCGAGGCGAGGGCTCAATTGACCAAGCAGAATCTCTCGCTACTCCTCTCCAACCCGTTCGAGGGCGGCATTCGAATAACAACCGCCTCCAAAGCAAAACATCTGCGCGACGCGGAGAGATTGGAAGGCTTGGTGTTGGAGATGGGGCGTACGTACGCGCCAGGGAGACCTCAGAGGACCAAGGGGGAGCTGGCAAGGGTCTACAGCAGGCTGGGGAGAAGCTATTTCCTCGCGGCAGAGCCGGTTAAGACCGAAGCCGTGAGTAAATACTTCTCTCAGGGAACGCTCGGCTGAGATTATCGCAGGCGATCCTCAACTTTCTCACATGCGCTGGCGTCTCGCTTACGACATGGGAACAAGAACGTCGAATTGGAAGGAAGGTGTACGAGAGCAATTGTTTGGAAGATGACGTGATTCTGGGTATGATCGTGTTGGCTGTCGTCAAGGGGGCGAAGGTATGTCATCTATCAGTGACTATTCCAAAATTTGCTAATGGACTTGTAGGACATGCAACAGGGTAACAAGTGGGCACAGGCTGCTCTATGGATCCACAACGTGCGATACGGCGGGGGTGTGGCATCATTCAATGAACGGTACAATGATCATCTACTCTCCCATTTCCCCGTCAAGTTTGACCTTGGGGAATGATCCCATTTTTATATAGTTGAGTAGTTTATGCGCCGACCAGTATCCAGAAGGACATGACATGTACACGATCGTTCAGTCTTTGATCAGCGAGGCACGACAACAAGCGACGCCTGAAAGGGGGAGAAGAGTCCCATTGAGCTTCATAAGAGGCTTCATCGCCCGCACATGCCTAGCATAGATATGGCGTACTTTCGGCCAACTCACAAAACACTTAGCTTACTCACAAGAGAAAATAGGACAATGTCGAACGTACAAAGTTATCAGGTCATGCAAACGTTATCAAATTAGACTGCAAGTCTCGTGGTACTCGGATGTATATATTCTCATATGGGTTTTTCCGCCATCCCTTGCGATAGTGGTGCTGCAGCAGCTTTTTCTTCTCCCCTTATACATCAAACATCATGACGAGATGCTCACCAAAGAATGACTGGAGAGCCCTTCTTCGAAAATGGCGCGCGAGGAAGCTACTCTAGCACGACCCCACCACTCGACAATCTTTGCGGTTATCCTTCAGTACATCATAGAACCACAGCACAGTAGGCAATGATCGCTTGGCGAAGCGTATACGCTCCCATGTCTCGTACACCGCATGGACTGGAGGGATGTTGGTTGACAGTGGCGCTCGTGCCCGGCGGCCTCGTCAAATCGCGGCGTTGACCGCTGTTTGTGCAGATCTTTTGGCTTGCAGATCTTGCCCTCTTTTCCCTCGGCATCTCAGAAGGGATGCATTGGGTAAAGACATCCGGAAAATAACACCATGTCGTAGGGGAGCATTCAGAGTCGTCAACAAACGTGGTTTCGAGCATGGGGGGGACGAGTTGGGACGTAAAGGCTGCGGCGAGTGAGATATTAAGCGTCATTGTCTGGATTCCTCGATCATTGTCACCTCTTTCTCTATTTCTCCATACCTCTACTCTCTAATCGTCACACCTCTCTCGCCGCTTCCACCCTCTCGTGCACAGCACTCGACCACCGCCTGCATCACCATGGACGAAGAAGTAGCCGCCCTCATAGTCTTGGCCGACACCGGCAACAGATGCGCCGAAATACCGTCCCACCGTCAAAAGACTTTCGTGGACGGCGTCAAAGTCGCAAGTGCGAGGCTCGGGCACCATGCTCAGATAGACGAGCAGGGCCAGGCCCAAATGGTGCTTCATATGAAGAAGGCGCATGAACTGCACGTTGTAAGTGATTTCTTGGACTTGGCCTGCTAGATGTTTCCCGTGCTGACATTGCATCAGCTAGAAACACTTTGGTCTGGTCAGCTCCTACAAGACTTAGACCCTTCTCTTTTTCTGACTCGCCAGCAAGCCGAGTGCGAAGCTACGAACCCCGACGACGACATCCATTACTTCTACGCCAATGCGTCCTCAAAGACGACCAAGGTGTTCTCGACAGTATGGCACGGAGCCAAGTGCTATCAGAAACCTTTGGCGGAGCTGCAAACCATTGGACTCCAAGATCTTGCAATGTCCAAGACGCACAAGGGTGGGTTTATGGGAGCTTTGGCCAGAGTCGTTACTGACTCTGGTAGACCGTATGATCATCGGCAAAGTGATTACGCCTGTCAAGTCTGGACTATGCCTCAAGTTGTAAGCTCTTTTGAGCTATGTCTGACACGCGCTCATGATGATACAGCCACATCGAAGACCCATCCGGCACGCTCTTTCCTGTTCTCATCAATTACCCAACCCCCATCCCCCATTTTTCCCTTTCCCTCTGTGATACGCTCGCCAAACTTTACCCCATGGGAGCGATTCTGGCAATCAAGTCTCCTCGAATGGGTCTAGATGACAAAGGGATGTTTGCCATCAAGGTTGACATGGCGTACGAGATCGAAGAGTTGCATCCGAGGGATCCGATCTTGGAGGGGGTAAAATGGCGGGATGGATTAATGGAGGAGACGTCAAAGGGGTGGAAAAGGTACAGAGATGCGGGGAATAGAGAGATGAAGATTAACAACCCCTTGGTAAGATGGCCTTATCAGAGAAGAGGCGAGCGCTGACGATACCATCAAGGTCGCTCTCCGCCTCTACTCGCTGGCTTTATCCGACCCCGAAGTTAAACAAGACCCTATCACGATTTTCGACCTCCTTCTCAATCGCACCGAAGCCTATCGTGCTGTTCATCTCTACGGTCACGCCTTTCGAGATGCTCGCCGAGCTCAAGAAGTTGTCGAAAACAACATCTCCCTCTCCCCAGATCAAAATGATCGCCTTCATCTCCGACTCGCCAAGGCCGCCCTCGGCCTCCGTCTCTACAAGACCGCCCTCAAATCGATTGATGCCACTTCTAAGTTATCACCCTTTGGGCTCGATATCAACAATACGAGGTACAGAGTGAGGGCTAGGATAGTCGAGAAAGAACAGGGCGGATACGACTGGCTAGCGATCTTTCGCGAGTCGTTGGAAGGGCCGCTGGCGGAGCTGGATGTCCCCAACCGGATGTCGTCCGCTTGCAGAGTTGCTTTCTTTCCAAGGAAGGGCCGAGGTGTCATCGCCACCCGCAGCATCGCCCCGGGCGAAGTCATCATGGTCAGCAAAGCTATCGCCCCCTCCAACGCCAAACTCGACGCTCCGAACGTGTACGTGAACTGCTTTGACGCCGAATCGCAGAGTCATGTGCCTCATTTGACTTATATGTGGGTGTATCGGATGCTGCACAAGATATACGACGATCCTTCGCTCCTCAACGTCCTTGGAGGCTTCTCTTCCGACAGTAATCCTTCTCCGGCGGATCTCCCCGTGCCGGAAGAAGACGAAGACGCTCGTCTTAAACTTCTTTTTGCGCCAGTAGCCCCAAGCCTCAGCCTCGACGCCTTCAGGCAGATAGTCAAGACCAATTGCTATGCCGGTCGTTCCGTCCCTGCAAGGGGCGCGGGTGTCGAAGAGATCATGGATGAGCGCCTGTCCGTTGCAAAGGACAGGGATCCGGTCATGTTCCTTCACGGGATGCCTTCAATGATGAATCACTCGTGTTGGCCGAATATGACCGAGTGTTGGTATGGCGATGTACGTCCCCTTCACCTCCTTGTGTCAAGTGCACAGCTGATGAAAATCCAGATTATGGTTGTACGCGCCAGCAAATCCATCACCTCCGGCGAAGAACTTACAATGTCCTACGTCCAAAACAACCCCTCTTTTCCCTCTCGACTTTCTTCCCTGTCCAGCTGGGACTTTACTTGCTCCTGCATCCTCTGCAGGACTGATAGTAGCGCCTACGACGATCCCAATCGAAGGGCTCAGATCATGGAATCCGCCCTTCCCCTGCTCTTCTCAATTCCTATTCCGGATGTCAACGTTACCGATGAGGTGAAGGACCTGCACAGACGCAAGGCGGAGGAGTTGGAGAAGTTGGCACTAGTGGTGGGAGAGACTTACGCAGAAGCAAGGCCGTCGGATCTCATGGGCGAGCTCGCACAGATCTACAATCGTATTGGGAAGAGCTACTTTATCGCCGGACAGCACGCAGAAGCCGCAGACGTGGGTATGCACTGATCGGAAAGGTCATACATGCTGACCATTCCTCAGGCGCTCGGGTTATTTCTTGTATACGCTGGTATCACACCAACCACAGAGGCGCAACAGAAGAAGCTCGGACGCATGATTCACGAGAGCCACAATTTGGAAGAGGAGGTGATCTTGGGGATCATGCTTTTGGCTGTGTTACGAGACGATCAGGCAGGTATTCTCCCGAATACTTTCTGGCTGCAATCTGACGTATCGCAGGATGCCGACGGAAATTGCAAGTGGGTACGCTCAGCTCTATGGCTGCACAACGTACGATACGGCGGTGGAAAAGCTTTGTTTATGGAACGATACGGGCCATTGCTCGCGGCTTTACCGGTGAAGTTTGACTTTGAGAAGTAGGAGGTTTTTGTAAAAGGGATCAGTGCCTTGTAGTCGATATGTATCCACCAGGATGTTCTTTGTCAGAGACAACACGACAGTCGAGTCGCGTCGATGGGACGGACTTGAGACAGAATCGATCATTCAAACTGTGCTCGCGACGCATCAAAGTCATAAAAATCCCCTGTACGTGATGCATGGGCTCTACCCATCCTGAGCAGCTGCGTGAAATATGCACCTCGGCATTCTGCACCCCCGACTCATTGGCCCTCCTACTACAACGTCCAACTTGCTATCCCTTCCAGCCCAACAAACGACACCTCAACTCGGTCACCCCGCGTCTTCCACCCTGCTCTTAGCACGCTTCAGCATCGGCTGTACCAAGCCGTAAAGGCGCAATACTGGTATATCGTCGACGGGAAGATGGGGCGTCGAGGAGTATAGATGAGCGATTGATAAGATGAGGCATCAAGGAGTGCCGATGAGCGATTCGGGATCGAGGAGATCAGGGAGATCGGAGAGGGTTAGGGCCTTGTATACTGAAGAGAAAGTCAGGCTCGGTCGAGCATGAGAATATAAAGGAGAAAAGATAGCGGAAAACGCCGTCGGCTCGGGAAAGACGCGAAACACAATGCCGACGCGAGATGGACGTAGGAAGAGCACGGAAAACTCACAAGACATCCTCAGCGTGCTAAGCCTGTGAACCTCCAATTAAGCTGCACCTTTTGATAGCATGGGGGGTGTCTTGGGTGGCCGCTATAGAGTGATCTCGCTTCAACACTCAATGAATTGCGATGGCCGGACCATAAAAAGCGGCACTGCAAACGATCAGCTTCATTCTTTATACCGTAAACAGCACTCACATTCCCTCAGTCCCATCCCTCCACAGCCCACATAGCCTCCTCCGCGCTTACCTTCTTGATCTCCAACATATCATCCAAGAAACTCATCAACCTCGCCTTATTCTCCCCCAAAGACGGCGCCAGCACCTGAACCGTATTCTTCCTCACAAAGTCGATCGTCGATTCTGCGAGGGGATGACAGAGGAGAAGTTGGATTTGGATAGGACACGATGGGGCGCGGGTGAAGAAGGAGCCGAGTTGGGAGATGATGCCGATCAGGGCTATGCAGAACGTACGCCTATACTCGAGCGACTTGTACGTCTTGTCGTCCATCTTGAACAAATACCGTATCTTGCCCTTCACAGCCCAAGATATAGCAATGTCGGCAACATTGTTGATGTAGTCTTGCCATACGAAAGGGTCGGAGGCGCCGACGGGGATGACGGGTACGCAGACGGTAAGCGTTTCGGCGTTGAGGTGGCAATGATGGGGAAAGTTGAGTTTGGCGGGAGAGTGGAGCTGGGGAAGGGCTGTTCGGACGTCGACTGCACCGAGCTGTACGACCAGATTTCGGACAGACCCACATCGCTCGCTCAAGAGGATCTCCAAATCTTCCATCACCCCGGCTCTTCGCCCCTCTGGACAGGCCGCAAACAGCCGTGGAGGGACGAGCACCGAAGTGACACCCGGAAAGGCGACCCTGTCATCTGACATATACACCATCCCATGCAGCCCCTCCCAGTCTGGAAGAGTGAGCACTTTTGTGCACTGTCGCATCACCACCGCAACATCCACAAGATCCCTCGGCTTTGCGCGTTTCAAAGCCGTCGTCCATATGTCGACTTTTGCTTTTGTGATGACGACGCGGTCGTACAGAAGGGGGATGTAGAGATTGTAGTGGTATCGGGAAAGCCGCAGACAGGAGAGCGGGGATATGAGGAAGAGGTAGTCGATGAGAGTGTGGTAGATGGGCTGGAGGAGCTGGAAGGGGTGGTAGAGGATGGTGGGGGAGGGGCGCGAGATGGGGCGGGAGGTGGATGCCGATGCCATGGTGGCGAGCAGGGGAAACCGCGGTGGGGTGTGGTATAGCAAAGACGTATCGGAAAGAGAGGAGAACACAGAGACGCGAAAATCAAAACACGCGAGCAGAAAGATGGACGTTTTAGGCGCGCCAAATAGGCCTGCCGAAAGCTCTCTGCCGAAAAGACGTACGTCTGAGCTGATTTCATGAGACTAAACATTCTCGACTAGCTCACTAACCGAGGCTGGCACCATCTCTTGTATTCTCACCCTGATCAAGCGGTACTGGAATGCTTCTGAATACGACTTTTCGTTGCCCATCTATTCGTCTCGGACACCCGAGCGGCCTTGGCCGACGAACTGCCGTCGTTCAACTTTTGGAAGACCCCAGTCTTATCTTGCATTTATGGTGTTCAGTGGTTAATCCCTCATCCATCCATCGACAGTCCGTAAATTCCCGCCCATTTTGCTATATATCCCTTCTATTGCTGCCAGACCAGAAACGATCTCGGGCGATGAGAGAAGATTGCATGCCTGTAGCTCGGTACGCCTTTCTCATGTCTGTTTGACTATGAGGCTCCCGATACACTCTTGGGAGAACCGTCAAAAACGAGCGGTATGAAAACAATGATGACAGAAAGAGCCAGTACGACCAGCCACCACCAGCAAGGCAGTGTCAGCCATCGTCTCGGCAAACTCCCCGAGTAGCTCACAAAGCACAGCACGACAGTCCTCAATAGCTATCGAGGTGTATGGACCCCAGTAGTCTTCGACCGCCCTAAGAATTCGAGAGATGACGTTGAGAGACGGTAGAACACACATGGCCGAGGCTTCTCCAGGTACTGCTGCGTTGCCCGCCACTTATCGAGTCTCCACTTGTTTATTACAATTCATCAAAGGGGTGTCATCTCAGAAGCACTCACCAATTATTATCGTGCTGCTCAAGACCTACGACTCCAAGTCGCAGACTCATGTGCTGCATGCGACATGCATGTGGACTTATCGGATGTTGCACAAGCTATACTAGTACCATACGGGGAAATTCCAATTATGCGGCTGAATGTGACATAATTGTGATGTTGGCGAATAGCTTAGGCGACGTCAGTCCAAGAAGTAAAAACTGCCCTCGAAGCGCTATCGAACAACGGTGATGTATGCGAATTGACAATCGATACATACCCTATTGAACACTGGGAGACTCCTGTAATAACAAACAAAGCATAAAACCGATCCCCCATCGCGTCGCTACTCCCAAACCCCTCAAGCCAACTCATGATGCTCGATTTCCTTCTTCTCATCCTTCCCATCACCCTGCTGTTGATCGATACCTACCGCGCCGTCCATCATCAGTCTTCATATCTTTCGCGGAAAGTCGAGAAGACATACCGCGATCCGCAAGCTCCCTCTCCCTCTCCTTCACATCAATCCTCCCCACTCCCTTCGTCAACGGCACGATCAAGTTCATCTCCCTAAAGTACATATCCATCTCTTCCAAAGTCCTCCCTCGGGTTTCGGGGAAGAAAAGGTAGAATGTGATGGCGTTGGTGAAGGAACAGACGCAAAAGACGAGGTAGTATTTCCATCCTATCGCTCGTCAGCTTGTGATTCGAATAAGTTGACAAACGAAGTGGGAGAAGGGAGGAGGAATGCGGAGGACATACCGATATCAGCGAAAGCCTTTGGCGAGACCTGTCCAATCATGAAGTTCGAGATCCAAGCTGCCATATTCACCATCGCCGTCGCCTTGGCTCGGATAGCAGTATTCATGATCTCCACCGGGCTGCCGGCGCACATCAGCTCCAAGACGAGGCGATCAAAGGTAAAACAAGACTCACTAAATCCAAGAGAGTGGCCCGATACAAGAGGAGAAGAAGAAATTGTAGATGTAGATCACGATGACGAAACCAATCCCTTGCCCTCGACTTCCTTTCCCATCTGAAAACTGCTTTGCCAGCGCTCTTCATGACTCATCCGTCAGCGTGTTCTACCTTGCACTTCTCGACAAATCGAAGGAGCAACGGAAGACTCACGTAGCAACAGCAAAACAAGTCCCGCTCAAGATATTCCCAAAGATCAACGGGAGCCGCCTTCCCACTTTGTCGACGAAGAGGATACAGCAGAACTGTGCGATGAGCGCGTTGACAGAGTTGATCGAGTTGATGAGGAGGGAAGTGTGGGTGGAGAAACCGACGGAGGCGTATACCGATCTACTTTCGTCGTCAGCTTGATGTCTGATGTGAGGGGACGGGAAGAGAAAGGAGAGCGTACGGGGCGTAGTATTGGATGGCCGACACACCAGTCATTTGCACAGAGAATTGTAGGATGATCCCATACAGAACCTTTCTCATGTTTGTCCGATCTTGGAAGTTGAATATCTACCCCGCATCAGCCCTCCCTCCATCACAATCTACAATCTCGAAGTGAAGACTTACAAGTCTCCAGGACTGCTGCATGACAGCCTCCGCCTCAACCTTGTCCTTGATCGCCGTGAACTCTCCCAGAACGAAGGCGTCGGATTCGTCCCCTTGAGCATGGAGACGAGCGAGACTGCGGAGGGCTTTCGAGTCGTGGCCTTTGATGATCAACCATCTATTCGGGGCGTCAGCCTGACGCTTCCGTGTCTAGAGGAGACCATAAGAGGGGCGAGGGAGACGCACCGTGGAGATTCGGGGAGGAGAAAAGTCAAGAAGATGAGAGGTACGGCAGGGAGCATCTGGAACCCGAGCTACCCCATCATACGTCAGCTCCTCCTCACTCGATGATTCCATTGAGAGATGCGCTTACTGGGAGTCTCCAAGCCATAGGCTCTTCCCGGTGTGTCTGCGCTACACCGTAGGCTATCCAGCCGGCTAGGAAGGAGCCGATGCCGAGGAAGAATTGGAACGTTGCTGTTAGCATACCTCGAGCCGAGGGATGGGCTGAAATTGAGGTCAGCCAGAATGCGGAGGGATTATGTTATGATGGAGCGTACCGATTTCGGATTGATAGACTACTGTGCATTAGAAACTTGTCAATAAGGGTAGACGAAAGCTTACGAGGTGCCAGAAGACCCAGCATACCGATACCGATACCAGCAAAGAATCGCCCGGCAAACATGGTCTCCTTGTTCTGCGCCGCCGTCTGCAAAACGCCCCCAACGATGAATACCACGCCCGCCACCGTGACTAATTTCAATCAGTACTTCTCTCTCCCATATCACTTATGATGTACTCACTAGCCATCCGTCTACTGAATGCGTCCGCAATCAAAGATGCCGGGATACTGCCGACAAACGCACCGAGCAGCATCGAAGAGGTGATGAAGCCGATATAGTTTTCGTCCGTGGTGTCAATCGTCTTAAGAAAGTCTGGGGCGACGAGGACGTAAGATATGACTCCGAGATCGTATCCGTAGAGCATTGCTCCCATGCTATCTTATGATCAGAACTTTGACATCAAACGAAGAGAGGAGTGGCACTCACGCGGCAAAGCAACCGCATAGGAAAGTGTATACCTTGGGGGGCAACATCGCTGGAGATGTAGATTATAGTGCAAGTATAGTAGTACGGCGAGAAGAAAGAGAGGAGGACATCGAGACTTGTCTGCTGTGAACAAGATATAAGAGCGTATCGCTACATGCGGACACCAATACCCGGCTGTTCGCCGTGCCCAGCGGCCCGCTCACCCGTCATTCGATCAAGGTCCATAAACAATGATTAGCAAGGCATTCTATTGGATGAACAAGTCCATAACATCCGGAAGGGCTTCATCGAGCATGACATGATGATCACGGGACGGCTTCGTCGGACTGGTTTGAACTCCTCGCTGTACGAGCCCAGAGAGGCTTTCTCTCTCAGTCATGAGTCCTTGAGATGTCCCTGAAATGATGAGGGATATACAGGGCACACTTCCCACGACGAAATGGCAAAGATTGTGAGAGATGATGTCAGGATCACCGGGCCGCCCGCTTCCGGAACGCCGAAGCGTCTTCTCGGGCCAAAGATGTTACGGCGCAGCCATGCTTAACGCTTCTCGTCAGATTCTTTCTCATAGCAAGCTGTGACGCTTTTTTGAGTCTCGCTCTCCGCCTTGCCCTTCATACCACAATGGCCGTCTACAGTCAACACGTCACAGTCAACCAGTCCCTCATCCAGCAGCAAGCCAAAGCCGACTTTCCGTCCTCCCCATCGCATCCCAAAACCCTCAAAAGCACTCCCATACTCCTCGACCCTTCATGCCTCGTCCATCCGTCTGAGCCGCCAGTGACCGACAAGCTCTACAGCGGCTTCCTTGAACACCTCGGGAGGTGCATCTACGGAGGTATTGTCGACGATCCCAAAAATCCCAGCCCGGATAATCTTCTACAAAAGCAAGATGCTGAAGGGCATGCGGCAGGCAGACTGGGGTGGAGGAAGGATGTATTGGCATGCTTGGCCAAAAACGGAGAGCTCGAAATCCCGATGCTAAGATGGCCTGGTGGTGAGTCACTCAGCAGTTCATCTTCGTACGTAGTACAGCTTTCTGATCGTACGTCGAAGGCAACTTCGTCTCAAACTACCACTGGCAAGATGGTATCGGCCCTATCTCTGACCGCCCAAAACGTATTGAGCTCGCCTGGCTCAGCGACGAATCCAACGTCTTTGGAACGGACGAGTTTATCGACTATTGTCGAGCATCCGGGGCCGAACCTTACATCTGCCTCAACAGTACGTCCATCCCTTTTTTCCCGGCAGATAGCTGACGAATCTGTAGTGGGGTCTGGTACGCTGGAAGAAGCTCTGTCTTGGGTAGAGTACTGTAACGGTACGGGCAACACCCAGTACGCTTGGCTTTCCCATTCCGCCCTTCTCGGCTCAAGCTGACAACACCTCAAGCTGGGCAAACCTTCGACGCAAGAACACCGGTCGAAACGAGCCTCACAATGTCAAATATTGGGGTCTCGGTAACGAAAGTACGGTTCCCCTACCTCTCATATCGCCTCATCTCTGATCTCTGACGATACCGTAGTGTGGGGTCCATGGCAAGTCGGCAACCTTCTCCCATCCGAGTACGCCCGCAAAGCCCGTCAATGGGCTCACGCGCTCAAGCTAGTCGATCCGAGCATCATCTTGGTCTCTTGTGGCGAGACCGTAAGTCTTCTCTTGCTTCCCATCGCAGACCATGCAACGCCGAAGCTGATGTGTTGGTGCGAAGGGAGCGTCCGATTGGGATCGCGAAGTCATTCAAGCACTTCTTCCTTTTGCCGACATGCATTCTATACATTTCTAGTGAGTCGTTCCCTTCTGTAACGAGTCTCATGAGGCTTACATGAGATCCAGCTCTATGCTCAGCCATGATAAGTACTCTAGCGTCCCCGGCTATGAATATGAGAAGAACGTCTTTGGTCCTGCCGTGTGTCGCCCTTTCTCTTCTATTCATTCAGACACCTTGTCTGCTCTTATCCCCTTTCTCTCCTTGATACAGCTTTGTGCGAAAGCAGACAACATGCTGACTCCATTTACAGGCGGCCGAGAAGCACATCGAGATCTGCAAATCCCTCATCGACCTCGCAAACGTCTCGCGCAGCTGGGAACGTATGCCCGCTAGGGACATGAAGATATGTTTCGACGAAGTTAGTAGTTCCTTCTTCTCCCATCTCCCGCTACCTTCTCCCCTTCTTTAAACGCTCCGGAATAGACGGCTGATGAAAGCAACAGTGGAACGTCTGGGATGAGCTGAAAGCTCCCGGCTCTGCGGGTCTCGAACAGTGGTACGACTACACCGACATGCTGGCTTTCTGCGCTTGGCTCAACGTGCTTGTGAGGAAGCATAAGGATATTGGGATCGCTTGTCTCGCTCAGAGTGTCAATGTCGTACGTCCCCTCTCTTGCAGTCTGGTCTAGCCCCCTAAGCTAGAGGCGATGTGTTGTTGATGCAATTTCCAGATCTCGCCGTTGATGACAAACAAAGACGGGATTGTCCGTCAAACACTCTACTATCCTCTTCAGTTATTCAGCAAGTATATGAAGGATGGCCATCTCTTGCAGCTTCCCTTCTTCCCCGATGTCTAGTAAGCCTTCATCGCCTTTCCCTCCTGTTCCTCCAGTCCCCAAGCACAAAGCTGACGTTGGTCTCTTAGCACCGGTCCAACGTATCCGGTTTACATTCAACAAACCAACATCAAACCCTCTTACATCGATTCTGTCGCTATCATCGTCTCGTCCGAGGACGACAGCGAGAAGAGCGCGAGTATTAGACTGAGTGTTCTAAATCGGCACCCGGAGGCCGATTGGAGCTCGAAAGTGGCATTTACGGGGTTTGGTGAGTCTTTGTCGATGGAAGAGGTGGTCAGAGGAAGAGCGTTGGCTGATATGCAGTAGAGATAGAGAAAGTGGAGATTCACGAGATCTACTCCGACGACCTGGCCGCTATCGTAAGTTTTCACAGTCCTACTCGCGTCACTCCTTTTGCGCATCAAGCTGACATTGACTCACAGAATTCGTTCGACGATCCCAATAGTATCCTTCCCAACATCGTCCAGATGACTGAGAAAGACTGGGACGGTACCGTAGTGGTGAGGAAGCACTCATGGTCGTTCTTTATCTTCACCGGACGTTTGGTGTGATCTATACAGTCAACGGCTCGTGCGCGGAAGTCGTCAGAATCGAATGTAACATGTCCTCGGTTGCAGTGGGCAGAGATATAGAATGATCATGTATCTTGAATGGGGCTGTACCTTCACAGCTGGACGAATGAGCAATCAAGAATTCAATGCTTGACGTTGAGCGAACTCAGTTTCCAAAACCCGAAAAGCAATGATATTGGACATTTTTTGGAATAAAGTATCAAATCTTCATTAGTATAACGGTTAGTATAACCGCTTCTCACGCGGTAGACCAGGGTTCAACTCCCTGATGGAGAATATTTTTTTGCCTCTCTTTCTTTCATTTTTCTATATACTCTTCAAACCTTGCCCACTCAGGCTGATACATATGGCAGTGCAAAGTATGTCTGTTGGAGTAAGTGTCGGAGCATGATACGTGGAGTGCGCAAATGCATGCATGGCCATGGTGGTTACCCACGCCGCGGTTCTGCAAGTACCCGCCCAGCAGAGGACCGTTCCTCCCATACCCGCGAAGACTCCCCCGATACGCCATGATCCTCGAGAACACTGATGGCCTCTCCCCTAAGCACGTCCTTGTCAATCCCATACTTCTCGTTGTCCCTGCTTTCTATGACTTTGCTCTCCACGACTTCGTTGCTTTGAACATCCAACCCGTTATCCCCAACTTGGAGCTCGATTTCGCATCTGTCATCAATACGCCTGTAATCAAGGATCAGGTTTGATGTGGGCTTTGAGAGGGAGAAACCGGACTTACCTTTGACGACGTTCGAGATATACAATGAGCAGGACGATGGGGATGACAGCCGCCCACATGGCGGAGGCGTACGCTACACAACCTATCAGCCTATGACTCTCATCCTTCACAGCAAGATTACTCACTCCATCCGATCCTATAGTGCGGAGCCTCTTGCAGATATACGATTAGATTTGACTTCCTCACACAATACTGTCATGACTCACCAGAAGCAGGCCAGATCTTGAGCGGCGCCCCAGCTCTATCAGCTGCGTGAGCTTTGGTCTACGGACACCCATAGATCACTTGGTATGTACGCACGTGATAGCATAATACGTCGTCAAGAAAGCAGCAATGATAGCGGACCGCTCTTCCGCACTATGTTTCGCAAGCGTACCAACCCATGCTGCAAATCTACGATACGCGCATCAATACACTCTTTCAGGACGGTTCTGCAGAAACTCACAGGTTGGCGCCGGGAACGGAAATGCTGAGCATTAAGAAGCTCGCCATCTTTAACGCATCTGGGACGTTCCACTAGTTCTTGATCAGCTCAATTCGACATCACTCGAGGCAAGGGGAAGAAAAGACGTACACCAGCGAGCACGCTCGACCAGACGAGACCGTTAACAGCGCAGATGAGGACTGCAGCCGATCAGCACTGTACTGCCCTTGATCAGAGTACTCACTAAATGGCCATTGGACCCGGAAGCGGTCGGAGATACCGAGTATGACGAGGAGAGAGATGATGTTGAGCTATACCCGGTCGTGTCAGTCAAAGACTCGGACAAAAGCCTGGGGAATGAACGCGACTTACACAGCTGACCGCAATGGGGATGGTGCTAGGACGCCGGAATTGTTGTCAGCATCCTCTTCTTCTCAAGAGCGCCAGTCGAAGACAGATGCTCACTTGACTTGCGAGACGCTAAAGGAAGAGAAATACAAGTCAGCAAGACGATCGAATGTAAAGTCGGCGGTGTTGGACGTACGTATATCTGGCAGACCCATCATCGTTTTTCAGACTCTTGAGCCACAAGCTGAAGTATCCCACCCCGCTTCCCGCTTGACCATAGATGGTGTACCCCGCCCAGATAGCCTACTCGTCATCAGCATCTGCCTTTCTCTTAGTAAAGAGCCAGCCTCGACGCACCCAATTCTGAGGCCTCGATACCAGCGACTTGACAGTCCCCCAGTTCCATCCCACCGGCATCGCCCTCCCCTGGTTCCCCATCCTCCTCATAGCGACTTTGACATGTCGATGCTGGAGCCATTTCCCCATAGGGTTCGGTTTGTTGGGGTAGTCGGGACAGCCAAAGTAGCCCCAGGTGGCTACGGTGACGGTGATGATGGCGTTGATGATGAAGAGCTATCATCCAAAGTGTCAGCGGTCTGGCGTTGAATGATGGGAGATTGAAGATGAATACAAAACGTACCCATTGCCACCCTGCAAGACCTCCGTTGCCATTCCTACGAATCTATCAGCGGGAGAGATGGTAGTGCTGTGAAAGATTCACAGCTTGGTATAGAGGGCCGCTTGCAGACCTCCAGCAAAGATTGCTCCCACATACGACGCGCTTTCATATATAGCAAGCCGAAGACCGATCTCGGCTGGGGTGTACCAGCTGAGAAGGAGAACCAGGACTGATGAGACGTCGGCAACTTGCCAGACTCGCAGAGAAATATTGACATACTACCTGGCCACTAGAGAAGCTTTCAATCAGCCCAATAGATATCTCTCTTTAGAGCTTACTTACCGCTGTACCCTCGCAGAAGCCAATCAAGAACCGGATTCCATCTACGGACCCAGACTATCAGTTTGCGCCCGAGCAGTAATCGTAGACGCCGGTGCTCACAGATGGTCTTTGCACTCTTAGCTGCTGCAAGTGTTCCAGTAAAGATGCCCCACAAAACTGTATAGGTATCAGCATCGCACAGTATCATCACCCAGTACTCACGTTCCAAAGTGGGAAGCCAGATACTCGGACGCACGACGCTGTTGATGACATATGTCGAGATGGGGATGACGATGAGATAGCCAATGTTGAAGTATGTCGTGAAAAAATTCAACTCGTTGCCGTAGAGAGATAGCTGTAGTACGTATAAGCAGTGTAGTAGCCGGACACTTGCATAGTAGGGCTCACATCTTCTTTCATGCCGCTGACTGGGGATACGAGATGTCAGCTGCGACTCGGTACCGCTGGCATGAGAACATCGACTGACCATAGGCATTTGAGATATTCCGCTGATCAAGATACTTGACTATGGCCGAGAGTATAATATCTGGGCGCCAAATGGTCAGCGCAAGTACCGAATGAAATGAAGCGCGACACTCACAGGACTCGAAAAATATATCCAGCCTTCGGACCACTCCCTTCTCCTCTCTCCTCTCTCTATCCCACGTCGGATCGCTGAGGAAAAGCTCGTGCTTTAGCTTCCAGAAGATGCTGGCCATGATCAGGGAGTGATTTTGAAGGACACCCCGCGGCCTGGCAGGTGGAAATGGAGGTAATAGCAGGGTAATAGTGTGGAGGGAAAATGCATTCAGAGAATTTGTTACATCACCTAGTGCGTTCCCATAATTTCCATGTGCACCCACAAGGTCACAAGCTTATCGGGAGGAAAGCAACCCTGGAGCTACCTGCGTGGACGCATTTTGCCAAGAACAAGCCCAGAAAATTGCAAGAAAGCCACGCCTCGGATAGATAAAAAGCGGCATCAAATGAGATCTAATCAGGCCGGCGGACATGGCCTCCCGGCTTAAGTTGAACGACACTCTGACGACACTGCACTTGATGTGATCTGTCTCTGATTCGCAATGCTGCCGTGAACGGCCGATCGTGCTGTACAGCTGTTGATATGACCCTTACATATGAAATGATTCCATAACGAAACGCTATATGCTCGTCTACCCTTTGCCGTTACGCCCTTTTCGTCCTGTTCTATCCTGGATCTATAACACGACGACGTACGTCATCCAAATCCCAATCTACCAAAGAAACCAGCAAGCAACCATTTTACTTCCTAAATCCTTGAGAGCTGCTCCCACATTGCCTGACTAACCGGAACAGCGACAACCTCTCTCTTTGGCAAGTCCTCATCCGAAGCATACTGACTCTCGATATCCGAGACGCCGTCATTTCTGGGCTCATCTGTAATTGTGGACTTTTGATCTATGCGCCTATTGGTAGAAGTCAGCAAGATTGCGGCGTCGAAGGAGACACTCACTTTTGACGGCGGTCAAGGTATCTGACAACGAAGATGACGGGGATAGAAGCTGCCCACATGGCGGCGGAGTACTCTACAAGACCTGATCAGGTCCCACTCCTATTCTTCGATATAGTAGAAACTTACTCCATCGAATCTTGAAATGCGGCGCCTCTACACGACGTTCGATCAGCTTGCTCACTCTCGCGCTACCGTACCTTATCGTCTCAGGACTTACGAGAAGCAGGCCAGACTTTGAGCGGCATACCAGCGCTATCGACCCCATCAGATTCCATGCTCTTACCCCTCAGTCACCCTGGGATTGGACTCAGGTGAGAGCATAATAAGTCGTTACAAAGGCAGGGACAATAGCTGACCGCTCTTCAGCACTATGTTTCGCTAGCGTTCCGACCCTAGCCACGAATCTATGAGCCTATCATTGGTCGTTCCAACCATGACAGATGAGTGATGTGCTATGAGGGCGGGCTTCCAGATTTGCCAAGCCGTCTGGGACATACCACTACCCACAAGTCAGCGCAAAGAAAGAGGAGGCGCTCTGAGAGATGCAAGAGCGTACACCGGCGAGAATGATCCAGGCCGCCTGGTATCACCTTCTTCTTCGCTCTCGAGACGCCCCCTGTGAGTCTTCATACTCGCACCTCTCCCTTCGTCACGAAGAAACTAACGTGGCATACAGGCCGGAGGCGATACAGTCTTTGCATCCGCCACCGAAGCTCACGACAGGGTACGTCCTCCTCTTTCTCGCCCCTCGCTTTGATCACCAACTCGTACTGACAAACACGTGATATATCCAGCTATCTGACGAGTTCAAAAAACGCCTCGAAGGTCTCTTGGTCCTGCATAGCAACAAAGACATGATCGACCATTCTGCAGCTATGGGCGGTCCGGCGAGGTTTACTCCCCTCGAGACACTTCATCCTCTCAGTACGTTTCTCCCATCCTCCCATCCCTTCCTGTCTTCTTCCAAGACAAGGTCAAGGTTGCTGACAAAGACACAGTCCGTACCCACCCCGTCACTGGCAAAAAGATCCTCGCCATCCACGCTGGCCACGCCCAGCGTATTTACGGCTACAAACAAGAAGAGTCCGACTACTTGTTCAATTTCCTCGTCGATGTCTTGGCGAGAAGCCAGGATCTCCAAAGTGAGTTTCATGTTCGGAGTTATGCTAGAGGGGATGATGCTGATGTGTGATGTAGCGAGGGTGCATTATGAAGAAGGGACTGTCGCTGTTTGGGACAAGTAAGTTATCTTTTCACCGTTCTTCGCGCGTCGTCGTAGCCCTGACCACTTTCCAGCCGTACAGTCCTTCACTCCGCCACATACGACTTCAAAGGTGAGCACCCACTCCACTCCAGTATACAAGCTGACCGATTGGAAGGCGATGAGCGCCGCCATGTCGTCCGAATCGCAGCTATGGCCGAGAAACCTTTTTAGCGCAGTACCCGCATGTGTACTGTGATTCCCAGGTGGATGTAGTTTGATCAGAAGACACAATGGCGGATGAGGATTGAATGCAACGTGGTGTCAATGTATACAGATGCTTTGCATTTCTCGCTCGTCTCTATCTCAAAGTCAGCGCCCCAAAACCCATCAAACCAGACAAACTCACAAATATACAACCCCCTCCCTCTACGCATTCGCTACATCCTCCTCCCCCATCCCCTTAATCTCCACATTGCCTCCCTCCCAGTACCTCATAATCCTCCCCCACTCCTCCTCCCCTCTCTCCCCGATTTCTTTCCCATCCCCTTCCAACTCATGCGCCCTACAAGCTTCCAGCGTCGCCCCCATAATTCCATACAACCTCGTTGTCAACGTCTTCGCTATAGGTTCGGTGAAACCCGCTTTGTAGGGTATGGCGATCTCCAGCTTGACTGCGGGGTACGGCTTCTCCCCGTATATCTCCCCGGCTACGAGGATCAACCTCGAAAACACCTTTCCCATCTGTTTCGCCCCCGTCAAAGCTTGGTTGAACTCGAATACAAACCGGACCTTCTTCCTCGGTACCCAACAAAGCGCGAGTTCGTACAACTTTACCGAATCGCCGAATGACGTCCATTCTGATTCGGTGTAGAGCGCGGAAGGAAGGAGGAAAGTGAGGGTATCGACCGGAAGGAGGATGGGTACGACAGCTTTTTGCCGGAGAGTTATTATCGACGGTAAACCTTTCTCCGGTTCGTCCGCCGTAACAAGGAACTCTCCTGGGGAGAACGAAAAGACAGCGTGCGGTACACTCGGTACCAACCGTGTAAACACTCTCAACAAATCTCTCAGCCTCGCCCCGGCTTGATCCGCGTCAAGCGCTTCGTCGACGTTGGTGCTGAAGGTGGTAGAATGGATATGGAGACGTTGGAGGTTGGGGCAGATGTTGTGGGGTTGGGTGGTTTTGCCGAGGGTTTCGAGGGTACGGGTATCGGTCAGAGTGAGGGTTTTGGTGTATTTCTCCAAAGCTTCGAGGGAGGGGGAGATGGATGAATCGGAAGAATCACTTTCAGAATCTATTGGAAACTTATCAGTACATAAATGATATCAGGCTGAGCTGGTGCTTACTACTCTGAATTCTCTGATTACCGCCGCCAGAGGCCAGCAACTCCATAATCTTCTCCGCCATACCCGGCGACACCTCCACACTAGTATATGTATCTTCCATGATGGGCTGTGTCGTCTGGGAGAGCAATTAAGGAAGAGGGCGGATGGTAAGACGGATATAGAAGGGCGAAGGGCGAAAAGCGATAAAACGAGTGGGGTCGGCAGAGCGTAGATCGTAAGCTCTCAATGCAGCCTTCAGTCTTCTTATTGACTCACAACGTATATAGAGTATTCTCACTATTGGGAGTCCCGTATCAGTGGACGAAAGATGGACGAGCAGTATCTCTTGAGCAAGGTTTGTCTTGGATGGACTGGATGCAGCTTGGATGAGAGCTGGATGAAAAGAAGGAATTCGTCAAAAAAGCGGAGCAGGCCGATGGAGCGGCCATCCGAAGCAAGCCTCAAGGGCGGAGTCAAGTGAAGGCGCCCTTTCAACTCCTCCATCTTGAAGAAGAGCAGAGATGGAGCATGGCAAGCGATTAAAACGAGTTCAGTGCGCCGAGGTAGATGTGAGGGCGTGAGAGCTGTCGTCCATACCTTCGGGCGATGATGGTCCTTGGACGGGATCACTTTACGCGATATCACTGACTTCTTAAGCTTCGGACGGTTAGTTTTGGACGGTTGATGGGGAATGATTTGAAAGCCAAGGCAAGGAAAGAGCTGTTGAACCTCGAGAAGATGTTGTGGCCGAGCAAAGAGGAGTGGTGGTGAAGCCACGGCGGCAGTCCGAATCAATTTTTTCTCGAACAATCTCATTGGGTACATCATTGAATCATTGTTGCTGTCTGCAAAGAAGCTGCCACCTCACCAGAGTAACGGAATAAATTCTACATATGACAATTGACAACTAACCGAGAGTGGTCTGCGCCAATACCCATAGAGGCGGAGCGACAGACTTTGAGGCTGAGCGCGAGGATGACCGAGGCGATGACCAAAGCAGCGCGCAGCGCGTGCAGTGGCAGACCACTACCAGCACATATTCGATTGGCTAGGCTGCTCGCAAACACGCACCACCTATACCTACCATTCTACCAACTACCGAACACCTCAATGTCTTCGGGGCCACCGGAATTACCGATTCCAGAGACAGATCTACCGCATTCAATCGAGCTCAATTGGTGCAACCGTGCAATTGGACAATTGGAGAATGAAAATGGAGACAAACATGGACGACAGGAGGCTTATAAAGTTGACGTTTTGCGGGATCTCAGGGGCACCGGGCAGAGCGATCGAAGGCGGAGGAGAGATTGGCGCTTGGCGCCAATCAAGTTTACCCGGGCCAGGGAAGACTGAAGCCGCCCTGGTAGCTTTTTATCTTGATGCATTGGGTTGTTTGGTCGTGTCTGGATGGACGAGAGAAAGGGGGACGGGGGATGGAAACGTATGTATGTGGTAGAAAGAGAGGAGAGATGAAGGATGGAGTTTGGTGAGCCGAAGGTTCGGATGACCCCTGACGTGCCGTGCCGTAAACCCGACGTAAACCGTTGGCAGACCGTTGGCCGCCTTGCGTTTGGTACTCCAGTCCAGACATGCTGCTGTTTTGGCCATCTCTACAGATCCACGGCTCCAAGATCCAGACGCCGTGCTTCGCCCAGACTATGGAGAGATTCAGCGGTGGTGCATGGGCCCACTGCGGCTGGCTGACCCGCTGACGAGCCCGAAGGCCTCCACGGGCCCCTATCCAACGACGTTTCGGTGCTGCTGACACACCGGCACACTCCGCCCGATTACGGCGCGCCATTACAAAAAAGCAGCGGATTAGAAACGGAAGCAGAATGGTAATGGGGAGGGGCGCCGTGAAGTTTGTCAGCACGCTTAGTCACGCGGGGGCCAGGCTGTACACAAACATGGCGAAAAAGTCCCCGACGGCGATCCCAGATATATATATGGCGCTCTTCTTCTTCTTCTTCTTCCCCTCCCCCTCAACTGCCCATCTCATCTCCACCATGGCCTTCACAGGCGCCACCGTCGCAGGCAACTACGACCGCACAGAACACGCCTCCGGCCCCGCCCTCGCCCGCACCACCTCCCGCTCCTACTACGACTCACACCCCAGCGACGACCTCCCGCCCCAGACTCACCAGGAAAGGGAACAAGAGCTCCACCACCTCGCCCGTACCCTCTCTCGCAGCTCGGTCCGCTCCCCCACCGCCAATGCTCCCCACCGCACCTTGACCCGTGACACCGTCTACGAGAACCCAGAAAGCGTCTTTGACTATGAGAAGGGTTCGGACCTCGACCCCTTCTCGGACAAGTTTGACGCCAAGAAATGGACTCGCATGGTCTTCCAGGCCTCCCAGGGTTCTCAGCCCACACGTCAGGCTGGTCTGTCGTTCAAGAACATGAGCGTGCATGGTTACGGCTCGGATGCCGGCAAGTGTCCTCTTTTCCTCCCGCGCCGCCTGCTGACGCTCGCGCAGACTACCAGACCACCGTGTCCAACATTTTCCAAAAGACCTTTGGCGCCATCAGAGACCAGATCAGCGGCAACCACAGAAAGGTGCAGATCCTCAATGGCATGGACGGTGTGCTCGAGGCCGGAGAGATGTTGGTCGTGCTTGGTCCCCCAGGAAGGTGAGTGTGACGCCGGCTTTTTCGCGTCATCGCGTCATGATTTTGTGTGTCGATCGTGCGCTGACGCCCTTGCAGTGGTTGTTCGACCATGCTCAAGACTGTTGCTGGTGAGATGAACGGTATCTTTCTCGATGAAGAGTCGCAACTCAACTACCGAGGTACGTCCTGTTCACTCTTTTGCGCGCCGACTTAACACGCTTCATAGGTATCACGCCCAAGCAAATGTATGGCCAGTTCCGTGGTGAAGCCATCTACACTGCCGAAGTCGATGTCCATTTCCCCAACCTCACTGTCGGTCAAACTTTGGCGTAAGCACCACCTCCTCCTCGCACGACCTCCGCTGACGTCATGCTAGCTTTGCTGCCAAGGCGCGTGCCCCTCGTACACCCCCCGGTGGTCTCTCCCAGGCTGCTTACGCCGCACACATGCGTGACGTGATCATGTCCGTTTTCGGTATCTCCCACACCGTCAACACCATCGTCGGTAACGACTTTGTCCGTGGTGTCTCTGGTGGTGAGCGAAAGCGAGTCACCATTGCCGAGGCCTCTCTTGCCGGTGCCCCCCTCCAGTGTTGGGACAACTCTACCCGTGGTCTCGATTCTGCCAACGCCATCGAGTTTTGCAAAAACCTCCGTCTCAACGCCGACTATATGGGCATCACCTCTGTCGTCGCCATCTACCAAGCTCCCCAGTCTGCCTACGACGTCTTTGACAAGGTGTCTGTGTTGTACGAAGGCGAGCAGATTTTCTTCGGCAAGACTACCGAGGCCAAGCAGTTCTTCCTCGATATGGGTTTCCACTGCCCCGAGCAGCAGACTACTCCCGATTTCCTCACATCCCTCACCTCTGCCACTGAGCGTACCGCCCAGCCCGGCTTTGAGGGTCGAGTCCCCACCAACCCTCAAGAGTTTGCGGCGGCGTGGAAGAAGAGCGACAAGTACAGGGAGCTGCAAGAGCAGATCCAAAGCTTTGAGGCCAAGTACCCCGTCCATGGCGAGCAGTACAACAGTTTCTTGGAGTCTAGGCGAGCTCAGCAGTCCAAGCACATGTACGTTTCCTCCCTCTCTTCCGTTTCTCCTACTGACAATTATACAGCCGTCCCAAGTCTCCCTACACCCTCTCTTACGCCGGCCAAGTCAAGCTCTGTCTCCACCGTGGTTTCGAGCGTCTCTTTGCCGACCCCAGTCTGACTTTTACACAACTCTTCGGCAACACTGCTATGGCTCTTATCATTGGATCGGTCTTTTACAATTTGGAGGACAACACGTCGTCGTTCTACTCTCGTGGAGCTTTGCTATTCTTTGCCATCTTGATGAGTGCTTTTAGTTCGGCTTTAGAAGTGAGTATTCCTCTTCGTCTTGCTAGTTTTTCGCTGATGATTTCTAGATTCTTATTCTCTACGCTCAACGTGGTATTGTGGAGAAGCACTCGCGATACGCCTTCTACCACCCTTCGGCAGAAGGAGTAGCGTCAGCGTTGACGGATATGCCGTACAAGATTCTCAACTGTATCCTTTTCAGCTTGACCGTCTACTTTATGACCAACCTGCGTCGTGAACCAGGAGCATTCTTCTTCTTCATGTTGATCAGTTTCGCTCTTACCATGGTCGTGAGTACTTGTCCTGTCTGTGCAGTACAAAGCTGACCTGAATATAGATGAGTATGCTCTTCCGATCTATAGCCTCGCTCTCTCGATCGCTCAGTCAAGCGCTTGCCCCCGCGGCTCTCTTGATTCTCGCCCTCGTCATCTACACTGGTTTCGCCATCAACGTCTCCAACATGCGAGGCTGGGCCCGATGGATCAACTATCTCGATCCCATCGCGTTTGGATTCGAGTCTTTGATGATCAACGAGTTCCACGGCAGAGATTACGACTGTTCCGTCTTTGTGCCTTCTGGCGGCCCCTATGACTCTGTCGATGCCTCTCAACGAGTGTGTAGCACTGTCGGCGCTGTGGCGGGGAGCAGTGTGATCAACGGTGATATGTATATCAACGAGTCTTACTCTTACTACCACGCCCACAAGTGGAGGAACTTTGGTATCCTTATCGTCTTCTTCCTCTTCAACACTTTTGTCTACCTCTCTGCTACCGGTACGTCCCCATCCCCACCCAAGATGAATTGTCGCTGACCATATTTGCAGAGCTCATCACTGCCAAAAAGTCCAAGGGTGAAATCCTCATCTTCCCTCGAGGCCGCGTCCCGAAGGCCATCCTCGCCCGCTCTACCGAATCCATCAACGACCCCGAAGCCGGTGGCTACGCCGGCGGTTCCCGCGCTGCCAAACAACTCACCGGTGCCGACCGTGCCGACGCTGGCATCATTCAACGCCAAACCGCCGTCTTCTCCTGGAAGGATGTCGTCTACGATATCAAGATCAAGGGCGAGGGCAGGCGTATCTTGGACCACGTTGACGGTTGGGTCAAGCCTGGTACGCTCACGGCTTTGATGGGTGTTTCCGGTGCTGGTAAAACGACGCTTCTGGATGTGTTGGCTACCCGTGTTACTATGGGTGTCGTTACTGGTGAAATGCTGGTCGATGGCGAGCAGCGAGATATCTCTTTCCAGCGAAAGACTGGTTATGTTCAGCAACAGGATCTCCACCTCGAAACTTCTACTGTCCGAGAGGCCCTCCGATTCAGTGCCGTCCTCCGTCAGCCCAAGGCTGTTAGTACCCAGGAAAAGTACGAGTATGTCGAGGAGGTCTTGAAGCTTTTGGAGATGGACGCGTATGCCGATGCTGTTGTGGGTGTCCCTGGTACTGGTAAGTCTACTCTTTTCTGCAAGTGATCAATGCTGACAAGATGTAGGTTTGAACGTCGAGCAGAGGAAGCGTCTCACTATCGGTGTCGAACTTGTCGCCAAGCCCGCTCTTCTTCTCTTCCTCGACGAGCCCACTTCCGGTCTCGACTCTCAGACTTCCTGGAACATTCTTCTACTCCTCCGAAAGCTCACTGAGCACGGCCAAGCTATTCTCTGTACAATCCACCAACCTTCCGCCATGCTTTTCGAGCAATTCGACAGGTTGCTCTTCCTTGCCCGAGGCGGAAAGACGGTCTACTTTGGTGAAGTCGGTGCTGGGTCAAAGACTTTGATCAACTATTTCGAAAAGACTGGTGCGCCCAAGTGTCCCCCCAACGAGAACCCTGCCGAGTGGATGGTGAGTCTCGTTCTTTACTTCTTGCGCTGTGCTTACTGGTTACTAGCTTTCTGCTATTGGTGCTGCCCCTGGAACCCACACCGACGTCGACTGGCACCAAGCCTGGCTCGACTCTCCCGAACGTGTCGCCGTCCGCCAAGAGCTGTCCCGTATCAAGGACACCAAGGGTGGCAAGGGCGACGCTGCCAACAAGGAAGACACTGTCGAAAAGTCTGCCGCCGAAAGGAAGGCCGAGTATGCCGAGTTTGCCGCGCCCATGTGGCAGCAGTTTGTCGTCGTCACTCTTCGTGTCTGGCAGCAGCACTGGAGGACGCCGAGCTACATCTGGTCCAAGATTGCGCTTGTCGTCGCCTCTGGTCTTTTCATCGGTTTCTCCTTCTTCAAGTCTGGTACTTCTCAGTCCGGTCTTCAGAATCAGCTCTTCTCTGTCTTTATGGTGTGTCTCCTCTTGCTCGTATGGGGCTTGGCTAACAGTGCTGTAGATGTTTACTATCTTTGGTCAAATGGTCCAGCAAATCACTCCCAATTTTGTCACGCAGCGAAGTTTGTACGAGGTGCGAGAGAGGCCTTCCAAGACCTACTCCTGGAAGGTGTTCATGATGTCCAACGTCATTTCCGAAATTCCTTGGGCTCGTGAGTATCACCAGCTCTTATCGAAACACCAACTGACGCTTTTTTAGTCCTCATGGGTCTTCTCATGTTTGTCACCTGGTACTACCCTATCGGCTACTATGTCAACGCCGAGCCCACCAACTCTGTCCACCTCCGAGGCGCCTTGATGTTCCTCTACATTGAAAGCTTCATGCTCTTCACCTCGACATTTGCCGTCATGATTGTTGCTGGTATTGACACTGCCGAGACTGCTGGTAACATTGCCAACTTGCTCTTCTCCTTCTGTCTTATCTTCTGCGGGTGAGTCGCTCCTTCCTGTCTGTATGAACAATGCTGACATCTTGACAGTGTTCTCGCCACGAGTGACCAGTTCCCCCGATTCTGGATCTTCCTTTACCGAGTCTCGCCATTCACCTACATCACCGAGGGTATGCTTGCCGTCGCCGTCGCCAACACCAATGTCGTATGCGCTACCCAAGAGCTGCTCTCGTTCAGCCCCCCGTCTGGACAGACTTGTGGCGACTACATGGGCACCTACATTTCTGCCGCCGGTGGTTACCTTTTGGACGCGAGCGCCACCGACGCTTGTCAATACTGTACTCTCGACAGCACCAACACTTTCTTGGCTCAGTTCAAGATCTACTACAGCCACGCTTGGAGGAACTGGGGTATCATCTGGGCCTACATCATTTTCAACATCTTTGCCGCTGTCCTCATCTACTATATCGCCCGAGTTGTGAGTATCTATTTGATGTGCAGAGTAATGGCTGATTTCGTATCTAGCCCAAGAATGCTGGCAAGGAGCAAGCTACTCCCGACGACGAGCCCACCCGGACCACCACCAACACCAAGACTGTCCCCGCCGCCCCTTCATCCGAAGGTACCACCGTCGCTTCCGACACTGCCACCGAAAAGCACGCTGTCAGATCATCGGCTGAGGGTGCTGAGGTTTCGAGGGTATAGGCGATGTCTATAAAGGGGGTGTAGGGTTGTGTGGGGTTGTGTGTATGCGTGTAAGGAATTCACATCACACATAGAATAAGTGTTCGCGTCGACGAACCATATCATCCACTATATAATTGTTTAATCATGTTGTCTTTCGCTCATTAGATACCCATGGATACTTGTTTCGGTCATTTGGGTGCTTTGCGCTGGACTTTTACAGGAAAGTGACAATCGAGCGGACCATTGAGCGGTGGATGACGCAATTCCGACTTTGCGCTTCTCTCCTGTCTTCTTCTTTTCATCTTGTCACTGTCTTGACATCTTTCCAACCAACCTCCGCCGCCCCCAACCAGAGTCGTAATGCCCACCCCCTGCCCCTCTTTCCACCGCCTCGCCCCCATCCATTCCCTCAACCTCAACCACCTCTTCGTCCTCGCGCCTGCCACTACTCTCCGCCTCTCAAGATACCACCATGAACGCTTCTTGCCTCGGCTGTATATCTACCTCGACCACCGCAAGTGTTACCCCTGGGCGACAATCGTGCCCTTCAACAAGATCGCACGGCGCAGCACTCCCCTCTCTCATCCCACGATCACCACCAAGACTTGTCGACGCCGAATCCATCGCGATCCTCTTTACCCTCATCGACGAACCCCATTTTGACGGTATCGAGACCATGTATCTCTCCCCGCGCTCGTTTCCGGACAGAGGTGTGGATGAATTGCTGATCCTGCTGATCAGGTCGAGATCAATACGAAAGGCTGTCTCAATCTTTAACCATCGAGGATCTTTGGATATCTTTGCCCGATAGACCACTGCGCAGTCGATAAACTGCTTGACTTTTCATGTATCCGTGGCGTCTTTGACAGAAAGCCACTGGGTGTCATCACTTGCTCCTCACCGACACACTTTGCAACGATACCCGGCCCTGGAAAGTCAAGTTTGAGGTCCGGCTGTGAGTGGGATCATGAAATCATACAGCGTCGTCGCCAGCCCGTCCCCAGCATTCTACAAACTCCCTCTCTCCCTTTCTTCATCGCTCAGCAACAACGCCGGCTCATTCATGCCGCCCAGAATCGAGAGACAATGAGCGTATGAATCTGTGTGGCGATGGGACGTGCGTTTTCATCCTCGTCGCATCCCTTTCGTTCTCATCCCATACTTTTTCCGCGGTAAAGGTGATTAGAGGTGATGAGAGTTACATAGGAATTGTAAGTCTTGTCAGTTCTATGTACTTAGGCTGTATGTAAGGCCATGTCGAAATGAAGGAAAGAGACAAGACGGCCATACTCGCCAAGTCAATAAAAAAAACCTTCTCGCCTCTAGCTACTCCCTCCTCCTCGCTCCTCACATCCACATCGTCCTCGCTCCCGCCTTCACCAGCTCGATCCCCACCTTACTATGCATCCCGTGCCAAACCTCCTTCTCCATTCCCTTCCTCCAACTCCTCAATTCCACCGCCGTTTCCTCACTCATCAACCCTCCCGCCGAAAGAACAAGGGGGCGGAACAGATCCTCGGCGCCTTGCTGACAACCTCCGCGTCCCTCTTGCTCAACCACGCCACGATCCGTCCCTGCACCCAGTCCAACCACTCCATCTCTCTCGGCTTCCCTCTACCGTCCACCACGTACATGTGCTTGTCCTCGAGACCGTAGACCTTCAAGTCATAGTCGGCGTTCCGAAGCGCACCTCCTCCTCCTCCTCGAACCCTGAGGTCGTTCCTCCTTCGCCCTTCTTGAGTAGATGGTTCGAGCGAGACGACGGCGCCGGCGACACGGGAGAGGTAAGATTGGAAGACTCGGTTGATCGAGTCGTGTCGGCGGATTGACCAAGTCTCGCACAAGCGGCAGACTTGGTCGTGCCCGAGGTCGGACTCGTTCGCGCAGGCGGAGCAGATGGGGGAGGAGGCGGGGGTGAGGAGGCGGTAGTGGAGACCGGCGGCGATCTCGTGGTTAGAGGCCGGAGGCGAAGAGCGGGGTCGGAAGACCGAAGGGGTCAGAGGACGAGAGGAAAAGCTACTCCTCCTATTCTGTGCCCCAGAGTCCAAGGGAGACAATGCAAGGTCATCTACAGTATGATACATAACACATCCAAGCTATCACACACAATCGTACTATCAACAAGTTGTGCAACCAGGGTCCAGGCCAGTCGTCTTTCCACTCTCGAACAACTCTACGCGCAACTCAGAACCCAGGTCCACTAGGCTTGAACCCAAAGTCGTACAAGGTCTTTTCAAACGTCTTGAGATGCTCATCATCCCTCCACTGTACAACCTCTATCGGGCTCTGCCTCCAATCCGGATAAACCACACCTTCCCACAACGGCTCTTCCTCCTGCTTCTTCTTCTTCTCCTCCTCTCCCCCCGCCTCCGCCCCCTCCGCGTGCTCACCGTCCTTCTTCTCCGAGCCGGACGAGTCGGACGAGTCGGATGCAGAGCGAGAGTGGGGGCGCGATCCGTCCTCGTCCTTGGTATCGCGGGCCTCGGGGGCCTCGGGGGCAGCCGATTCCGACTCGGCGGCAGCAGCAGCAGCAGCAGCAGCGATCGCCTCCCTCGCTTCCCTCGCTTCATCATCTTCGTCCTGTCGTTCTTGCGGCCGGGGGTCGATATACTCGAGATCGATACTAGATTTTTGCATCAGCTCCACCTTCATTTTACCAGAAAAAGAAGAAGAAGGAGAAGAAGAATAAGAAGAAGAAGAAGAAGAAGAAGAAGAAGAAGAAGAAGAAGAAGAAGAAGAAGAAGAAGAAGAAGGGGGACTCACCAAAGCGCGCTGATCCACCCCCCATGATACCTGACTCTAACCCCCCTCTCCCTCGCCGCCCGCCGCATAACCATCTCTTTCCCCCGCGCCCTCGCCCTCCCATCCTCCCCCGCATCCGCCAACATATCACAATCCTCATCCCCCAGCCCCCTCTCCCCCCCATCATCCGGCTTCACCCCCGGCTCCCCCAGCCTCGCCGTCCCCGGCGTCGCAGGCCACGTATTAAACAACGGCAGTTGTTTGGTGCGGCCCCACGAGAACCCGCGCCCGACGCCAGAGGGGATCTGTTTCAGGAGGTTGTAGTGCACAAACAAGGGCGCGCCCCACGAATCGTGCTGCAGCATCGTGTGCGCGCAGAAATCGCCCGAGGCGGTACCGGACGGCAGCGCGGCGGCGCCGACCCACCGGCCGGGGATGGCCCAGCGTTTGCGCAGGGCGAGGAGGGCCCAGCGGAAGATGTCCTTGTCGCCGTCGGAGAATGTGAACCACTACCCTTTGTCAGCCTTTGACACCAAGCAGAAAGCAGAGAGAAAGGGAGAAGGGGACTTGCAAAAGCGTGTCGTTCGAGCATGTACTGCACGAGCAGAAAGACGTCCAAGTGCCGTTTCTTATCAACAAACATCTGCCCCGTCTCCATCTCCCACTCATTCCTACACTTGACCCCCAAAATCGCCCATATCGGATTATTCGCCCCCGTCTTCCAATAATCCGGCGTCATCCACACCCCCAGCCTCTTATAGTTTGGCGCCTCAAACATATACTCGGGGTCCCGCGTGGGGATCGAGTCGGAATCGAGGTAGAGGACGTGCCGGAAGGGGCAGGAGGTGATGGCGAGGGCTTTGAGGTGGTAGGATTTGGGTTTGTGGGCGTCTTTTGTTTGGCCGGGGACGGGGACGAGGTGGGCGGAGAGGTTGGCGAGGGTTTTGCGGATGGGGTCGTCCTCTGCCGGCGCTTCCTCCGGGAAATGATACTACCCCCTTCCATCAGCCCCCCTCCCCTTTAAACACACACGGATGAGAGACATACAATAAGCACCGGCAACGTACTCCCATAACTCCTCATCATCTCCAAACTCCACTTGACCCTCATCAACGTATCCGCATTCCCCGCCACCATCACCACCCCCCTCCCTTCCCCATAGTCGTCCATCCGCCCAGCGTCGAGGAGGGTCTCGAGGTGGGATATGAGTTCTGAGCGGTGGGTGTGGATGGAGGAGCGGTTGAGGGAGGACCAGGCGTTGGCGGAGTGTTGGATCATGTGGGTGTTGTGTTGTTCGGATATCGTCGAGCATTCCTGCGCCGAGTCAGCCTCCTTCTTCTTCTCCTTCTTCTCCTTCTTCTTCTCCTTCTTCTTCTCCTTCCTCTTCTTCTTCTCTACAAAAGCCACAAGACACTCACTTCCAAATTCCACCCCATAAACCCCCCCATCTCCACCTCCCCCTCCACCTCCCCCCTGCCCCCGGGCGCATTCCGCCACACCTCCAGCCTTTCGCGGGTGGTCGCGGCGAGGGGCATGGCGTCGGAGGCGAGGTCGATGGGGCGGTGGCCTTTGAGGTGGAGTGTTTCTGTTCCTTCTGTTGATGTTCCTTCTGTTGATGTTTCTGGGGTATCATGGGAAAGAGGGGGGGGAGGGGAAGAGGGGGGGTGGTGCGCGGGGATGGGCAGGGCGTTGTTGAGGGAATCGTCGACCAAGTCTGGTTGGATTGGGGGGGAAGAAACCGGCTGGGTAGCGTACTTTTCTGGTAGCCCTAGCTATGTTTTTGCCCTTGCCCGTTAGCCCTCATCCTTTCACTCTTCAAAAAAGAAGAACCCTTCAAAAAAGAAGAAGAAGAAGAAGAAGAAGAAGGACGTACATTCCCACCATGCCGATGCATAATCAACGCCCCCAACCCCAAAAACACCATCAACATCACCACCCTCCTCCACACTCCGCCCGGCAACAACCCCTGCCGGCACGCCATCCTTGCTCTTTTCAGCCTGCTCCCCCCCGAGCCAGAGCCCGAGCCCGAGCCAGAGGAAGAGTGAGAGGAAGAATGCGAGGCGGGAAAGTAACCGCCAGCTTCCAACATCTTGGGCGAGGTCGCTAGTAACGCGTCTTGTGAGTGGGGCGCAGAGTCAAAAGCAGAGGCGGAGGGGAAAGGGGAAGGCTGCGGTAAGGGGGATATGGAGTTTGTTTGTTGTTGGTTTCATCACCCCTCTCTTGCGTTGTACTGTTGTGTAGGCGCGAAGGAAGAAGGAGGCTGCGGGAAGCTGTCGCCTTGCAACGCGAGATCTCTTTCCGACTGCGGCCATAAACAGTGACGTCACCACAAAGCAAGGCCCAGGCCCACTACACTCCCGCGGGAGATTAGCGGGACCAAATCCCATACGGAGCACCGCCCCTCGCAACCCTCTTTTCCTTTCCACCTCTCTCTCGTCTGCATCTCCACCGCCGTACACTAGAATGGCCCCCAGCACAAAACGCCCCGCCCCTGCCCCTACCCCCGAGCACCCCCCAAAACACCCACGCCGCGACAGCGACGGGAGAGACGAGAGGGACGACTCCCCGCCTCTCTCCTTCATCGCCCATTCGCACCAGAGTATCGACGGGAGCGCGTATGGTGATCCTGGGGCAGGTGTTGGTGTTGGTGTTGGAGGGGATGATGATGCAAGAGCGAAAGCCGCTCGGAAGGAGGCTCGTGTAAGTCCCCCCTCCCCTCCGCTTCCCTCTGCACGTTCACAGCTGATACACGTAAACAGACAATGCGCAATAGAGAGTCCGCCCAACGGTCCCGGAACCAGCGCAAACAGCACCTCGTGTGGCTCGAGAAACGCGTGGTAGAGCTGGAGAATGAGAACAAGGCGCTCAGAGCGTCGTCTCCCGCGTCCCCTGCGCCTCCCGCGGGTGCACAGTCCTCTTCCCTCTCCCCCTCCCCCTCCTCTTCCAGTGGCCCCAGGGGACAGGGTGGACAGGCTGTCAAGCGCGAAGCCAGCCCAGCACAAAGCGTCATCTCTCTCGCGACAGACTTGGGCCTGCCGACAGAGCTCGTATCAGGCGGCTCGGGCGTCAACCTTTCGTCCGTCGCGCCCCCGCCTAAGGACTTGGACTTGGACCTCACCCCCTCTGCCCACGCTCTGCCATGTGGCGTGCCGACCTCGCCCCCGCCTTCTCGCGCGGAAGGGGAAGGGGAAGCGGAAGGGGAAGGGTCGGACGATATCAACGTCCTCCTTTCCCAGAACCGGGATCTCCGCGAACGCGTCGGTCTCCTAGAAGGGTTGGTCAAGCAAGTCGTCTCTCTCTCTTCCTTCTCTTCCTTCTCTTCCTTTTCTGGCGTATCCGGCTTGGCGCCCTTATCCCAGCCCGACGTGCCATTCCCATTCCCATTCCCAGTCTCGGCCTCGGGCTCGGGAAACGATTGGCCCACCCTCCTACCCTTACCCAACATGTCCACCTCGGGACTGCAGGGTATCGACTACACCTCGGGGGCGGAGGGGATGGGGGGGATGGGGGTATCGCCGCCGTTGTATACCTCGGTCTTGCCGGGTACAGTCCTCACGCCCACGTCACCGTCTTTCCCCGGACTCGCTTTAACTCCCTCCCACCCCGCCTCCACCTCTCCCTCTCCCTCTCCCTCCTCCACCTCTCCCTCTTCCTCTTCCTCCTCTTCCCACCTCCAACCAAACCCCCTCCCCTCTTCCTCCTCCTCCCAACCCCAACCAAAACCCCTCCCACCAAAAAAACAAGACTCAGACTCAGACTCGTCCACCAAGACCAAGACCAAGACCAAGAACACCAAGAACAAGTCTTGCTCCCAACCATCCCCCGGCGCTTGCCACTCGGCAGTAGTGGTGACCCCTCCTCCTTCCCCTCTTTCTCTTGCCCCAAAAAAAGAGAGAGGGGGGGGGTGGGGCGGGGCCCTGCAGCGGGCGTGGGGTGTGATGATGTGGGCGAGTGGAAACACGCGTTTGGGTCTGACGAATCTGCGGATTTGAGTGTATCCTCCTCCACCGGCTCTACCGCTACCGGCTCTACGGGCTCTACCGGCTCTACCGGCTCTACCCATGATCCCGCTTCGAGATTCGATTTCGACGTGGAAGCAGACATGGCGCTGGGCGGGTTGGATATGGGTATGGGTATGGATATGGAGGGGGGGTTGGATATGGAGGAGGGCGTAAAGCAGTGGGATTTGGAGATGGAGATGTTGCTCCAAGACCTCGAGGGGCGGGATACCGGCTTGGGCTTGGGCTTGGGGTTGGGGTTGGGAGGCGGGCTTGATGGCTCGGTCGGTGTTGGTGCCGGGCTTGGGACTGGGGGTGTACTGGTTTGAAAACGTGCAAGAGTCAAGAGTCAAGAGTCAAGAGTCAAGAGGGAGGGAGTTGTCCGTTCGTTCGTTCGTTCGTTGTTTTCTCGGGTTCTTGTTCTTCCTGGTATGTTTTTGCCTCTTTTTTTCTTTGTACGATGGGATTTGTGTGCTGATACTAGGTGTTACAGTACTCGAGTATCTTGGTGGCGATAATCTCGACAGCCCACCGTCCACCGTCATCACCTGTTTATCACCTGTTTATTACACCCATTTCACCCCACGTTCTTCCATCCTCTTTGTCCATCCCTCCTCACCCAAATCTCCCCGCATTTCTCACCCTACCACCCTACCACCCACCCACCCACCTACCCACCTACCATCATCAACAACAACAACACAAGAAAAAAGAACCCAATCTTCAACACCCTCAACCCACTCCCAACAGATACTCCGCACAAAAAAAAAAAAAAAAAATCCGTCACCCGCTCGGGCTGTACCCCCCCACCCCCTTTCTTTTCATCGGAAGCAGAGGGAGGGAGAACGCCTTTTGAGCCGTGTGTTTTTTTTTTTTTTTTTTTTTTTTTCTTCTCGAGCGTGAGCGTCGTTGGGGCGGTTGTTTTGGGGGGGTTTGGTCTTTTCTTGGTCTTGGTCTTGGTCTTGGTCTTGTTTTATCTTTTGGTGGTTGGTGGTGGATTATGGATGGATGGCGTTTTGGGTTTTTTGGGTTTTTTGGGGGGGTTTGAGGAAGATATGAGCCGGGGGTCGGGTCGGGGTTTGCGAAAATGTGCTGGGATGAAGGGGTCGTTTGGATAGACTTCTTTTGAAGAACGACAGGACCGTAGACGACAGACGGGAGGGAAGGAAGGAAGGAATAAAAGTTGTACAAAGAAACCCCCCCCCCCCCCCCCGGCCCGAGTTGTTACATGTATACTTGTACGCTCTTGTCAACGAATTCAGGAAGTCGGGTTGATACGAGTTGTTTTCATGCACATTTTCATTTTTCATTTGACGCAATCTACCCATATCCATATCCATTACGTCAATGGCTCATGCCTTTTACTTTCTAAGACGACGTGGTGATATTCACGTAGTACGTCTTGGGAGTGTCGCGGCGCTGGTTATCATCCGAGCGGAAGAATAGGGGAAAGGTGCCCGAGTATTGGTGCGAGTCTCGTTGACAGGAGGTAGGTAGGTTGGGGGCAGTCTTTGGGCCAGTGGTATCCACCGCACGGTGCAGGCGTTTCGAGGGACGGGCGGGCGGGGGGAGAGGAGTCGTTCTGGCGATTTGATAGAAGAAGCGCACACACCCAAAGCTCAACATGTACAACCTCATCATGGTGGCAGCGTTTCGCTGTAACATGGACATCAAGTTCGTCGGCTCGGGGATGATGGCGATGGCTGCTGTGTACTACATCAGCAACTAAATACATCTGCAAAGTCGCCCTCGACACCCCAACAATGTTTGCAGCGATCGAGGCGAGGTTTAGGCAAGGGAATGGAAGGCTATTGGGTCAAGGAGCGGAGAGAGTGGGAGAGACGGGTGCCGAGGCTCGGCAGAGACAGATGAAGTCTCTCTTGGTCAGGTCGTGCAACGCCCTCACGGGTAAACAGGATCTGTCCAGTGAGCAGGTGAGTGGATGAACCAACTTACAAGACTGTCATCTTCTAACTTTACCGTTCTGCTTCCAGGTAATGCATCACCTCCTCGGATATCCCCATCGCTACACGAACGCTCGCTTTTAACACGTGAAATGGTGGGATATCGCTCGCCACTTGGGTATGTCCAACAGCAAACTTGCACTGGCAACCCGTGGCTCGCAAGGGAGCGAAGATGCCCCTGTGGAAGCAGACAGGCTGGAGGAGTCACTGGATCTGGACGAAATGCCAAGGCCGACTGGAGGGGATGTTGAGCAAAAGGTGACACTTCCGCGCATGGGGAACCCAGGTGACGAGCTACGGCACAGTGGTGGCTCGTATGCGGTAGACGACTATATCAGGAGACCCAATTCTTTGTCGTCTGTCTGCTACTGGGACTTTGTCGCGCGCTACCAAAAGCTCACCGCCAAGAGTGCCAGGAAGAAGGGGCCACAGAAGGCAGCAGCTGAATTCCTACCTTCCCATCCCCAGTTCAGAGCGCACCGCATTCAGACTCGTCGTACCCCTGTCGTCCCCATCCTCTCTGGCCCTACAATCCCGAGAGACTCTCCTGTCTCGTCCGAGGAGCACGCGAGAACTATGCTTGCCCTATTCAAACCATGGCGATCACCAGCGGATCTCGTTCCGGCCGACGGCTCCACCTCCAAGGAGCTTTCCTCTTGTGTAAATTATTTGAGTCTTCAAGAACCTTCGGGGTTGAACTTTCTTCTTATGAACTGGTTGAATCGCCGGAACCAGCCATGATGGGGCTGAGCTTTCCTCTTGTGTAGATTGTTGCATCGTCGAAACCGGCCATGAACCATTTTTTCTGTTCAAGTTCAATCGTCGAAACCTGCATTGATGAATATTACATCAGTAGTAAGTATCATCGGATCGTATACCGAGGGCCGCATAATGTAAACGTAATAAATGACTTCAAAAAAATGTTTATATCCGTTACGAGAACCTGCCTCGAAGTCGGACTGTGGGAGTCGGTCGCGCATGCGCTGATAACTGTAGTCGCGCAAAGATTCTTCTGGAGAGAGTATTAGGACGACGCGGAACGGTTCCATGCTCATGTCCTTTGCGAAATGTGTGAGGGACAAGAGTGGTGGCCGTGGAAGTAGAGAGGAATGATGCCGGGAAGCAAGTCGTTGATGAGAACGTAGTCGGAAACGTTATGATCGAAGGCGTAGCGCTGATCGAGGTATCGAGTGAAGGATTCACGAGGACCGAGGCTGGCGATGGGTACACTCGACCTGGGCTTTCATGGCGTAGTTTGCACGCAAGAACTGACGGCGAATCGCCTCTTGCCAGTCTGACCAAGTAACGAGGGCGAGCTGCTTGGCAGGGCCAAGATTGACATACCAAGACATAGCTCTGTCTTTGAAGGCGCGAGGAAGGAAAGAGATAACGTCAGACTTGGTGACGGTGGCGCTGCAAAGGAGCGCAGAGATCTGAGCGATCCAGGGGTCAACTTTCTTGTGACTGGTGCCTTTGAGCTTGGGAAGCCCGGATGGCTTGAGTCGAGTTGAGTGATGAGACATGTGAGGAGTAAGAGTATAGTCGGGTCTGCAGCCGAACTGAGGGAGGCAGGCAGTGCGCATGCGAGCGAGCTCGGCTTGGGCTTGCTGAAGGGCCTCGAAAAGGTGGTCGCGTTCCTCGCTAGGCTGATTAAGCTGACACGAGACATCGTAAAGCTCATCGTACGGAGGAAGAGGCTTAGCTGGAGGGGTGTCGTTGGCGGACGCTGTACCGGGGTAGGCTGGATCCTCGAGGCCAGGAGGCTTGGAGGTCGGGTCTAGAAGCGGAGCAGTGGCCTGTGATGCCTTCAACATCTCAGCGAATCTGGCGAGCAACAATGTAGGGGCCGGGGTAGTATCGGCAGCCGCGTGCTCAGGTGGAGCAGAGGCGATCGGTGTCTGAGGAAGAGTAGGCCCAGGAGCGTCGCCGAGAGGAGTAATGTTGATTGAGGCAAGGAAGTTTCCCGTGGTGGGCGCCGGGGACAGCTGAGCCGGGGTAGGAGAGACAGGAGCAGCCTGTGCAGTAGAGTCGGCGTTGGCGTCTTGGCGCTCTTTGCCTTTGTCTCCGAGAGAAGGGCCGGCTACCGGAGTCTCGGACTGGGTAGCGGTAGGGGCGCTACTAGCTTTGTCGACGCTACGAGTGTGGTGAAGGGCGGGGTTGAGAGAGGACGCAGAAGTGCCCGCTGCACCAGTAGTGCATTTTTGGGAGAGAGGAAGGAGGAGCGCCTGAGGCAGGTGGCTGATGAGGGCCTTGGCTAGGCTGCATGTTGACTAATGCACGCGCAAGGAAGTCTCGTGAAAGGGACGGCTGAGTATTAGGAGGAAGGAGGAGGTCTCGGGATGAAGCGTCGAGAGAATGAGAGCGTCTCGTAATAGAGTATCAAGAGCTAGAGCGTCTTGGAGCGAGATCGGCAAGAGCTAGAGGAGGAAGTGGTAAACGCTACGCTGTGGAACTTGAACCCTCGTCGTTCCGTTAAAACTCGTCCGTCAACGGAGGAAGACGGAGAGGCACTAGGAACTCGAACGGCTTTTTGAAGAGAGCCGGAGGAATGGACACTGGGAGAGTGTCGAGGAGCAATTTGTCTTGTTCTTGTTGTTGTTCTTGGTCTTGGTCTTGTTTTATCTTTTGGTGTTTGGTGGTTATGGGGGGTTGGCGTGCAGTCGTTCGAAATGTTCAAGTGAACTACGTCCGATTTGCACTCAGCTTCTGGTATACCTTGCCAGAGGGGATTCATACCTTGTACTCCATCTTCTCAACAGTCTGCCGAGTGGTATACCGGCTTTCAGAATCGCCAACATTCCTGGACGCGAAAGAAGAGGAGGGTACGCGTCGCTGCCGGCGAGCTTATCCTGGTCAGTCCAGGATTGAAGCTAGTCTATATGTCTGGAGTCATGCAGTCTTGGTATTCTTTCTTATCGCAGACTAATGTCATTCGATCTTCATAGATGATGATTCTACAGGTTACTCGCAATATATCGTATCTCAATCGAAAGTCACCGTCTTTCGCATATGCTCTTCTCAACCCTGCCAGTCAAGTCCGACTTGCAACTCTTCCAGGAAATGGCCGTATCGTTGGATAAACAGTTCTTTTCCTCCGCCATGTCGCACGTCATGGATCCATGAAGCCGAGCGCGCCCACTTGATACCTTCGTCCACTTTCTATAATTGCGACCGCCGTATCAGCTTAAACGCACCAACGCTCCTACGTAAAAGACATACCTTGACTCTCTCCATGCTAGCCAAAAGAAGCATTCCCACAATCACCTCGTCCTCCAGATAATGGCTCTCATGAACCTTCCTCCCAGTTTGTCGTTCCTGTGCCGGTGTTGTAAGTGTGACGCCCGCGTATTCGAGAAAGTGGTTGAGCGCCTGGGGAATTTGTCAGCCACCACGCTGACTGTAAAGTCTTCACTCACTTTTACCGCCTCGGGGTGCTGTCCTGAAACAAAGTAGCTCCTTCCCATACTGTAATAAATCTTTGCCAAGTGGCCTTTGGTGCCCTGCCCCCTCTCGCTCGAATAGGTCGCCTCTACCGATCGAACAAGCTTCTCCAAATCCTCTGCCCTGCGTCTCTGCTGCTGCTTCTGCGTCCGATCGGGTTTACCGATCAAAGAAGGATTGGTGAAGAGTAGTATCATGTTGGCGTCCATAATCTGGTCCCTCCGTTGGGGATCGTCTCGGGGGCTACTATCGGCTTGGCAGAGAGTACAAGCGCAGGTGAAATTCCAATTGGTCAACACTGAGAGTCGGAAGGAATAGGAGGGTTCGTATGCGACGTAGGATGTGGTGAGCTCGTCGCCTTTGGAGATGTGTTTCGTGGCCCTCACGACCATCATCTGCATCCTTATTAGCAAGTATGGCAGTCTTGACATTGATTTACGTCGCCATACCAGCACCGAGTGGTGTTTGGCAAACAAGAATGGTTAAGCAACGCGGGCATCCCATGCAGCAGATCTGCCTGATCCTGGTATCTCTTCAACATCAGCAGCGGGTCTACACCCTTCAGTCCTTCTCCCTTGGGAGGCAGAGACCAGCCCGAGAAGGAGTTGGACTTGAGAATCTGTCGGAAATTGTTGAGGGGTAGATAGGGTATATCACCATCCCCTATGGAGTCGAAAATACACTCTGCGCGGACGTCTTCTTCTTCATCAAAGGTACGATCGTCGGGGGGAGAAGGATGGATATCGGTAGAAAAGCTCGCAAGATCTTCAAGCTGAACAGGTTCATCGTGAAGCTTGTACTGCGCTCGATAAACCCACATGTACGTCTCATGCGGCACATGAGTCTGCGAACCGACATCATAGCAATTGACATAGACGTTTGGAGCATCCACTTTGGCGCGAGATGGGGCGATGGCTTTGCTGACGATGATGAGCTCGCCGGGTGTGATATCTTGTGTAGCGATAAGCCCTCGGCCGCAACCGGGGACTTGGGAGACTTTGACAGCCGGGGACACGTAGTCGCCAACGTCCATGTCCACCAGCGGTCCTCCCAACGACTCTCGAAAGATTGCCATCCAGTCGTATACGCCACTCTTTTGCTCTTCCATCCTCTTCTGCGCCCTTTCCCTAGTCTTTCGTATCTCCTCCTCTGAAGAAGCTTCACCACAAGCGTCGAGAGCAGTTTGGTAGAGTCGCAGACCAAGGGCTGCTTTGGCGAGTTGAAGTTGGAGACGATCTTGTTCTCCCAAGGTGAGGGTTGTACTGCTGGTTTTGATTACTGCTTGAGCTCGATGAGCGTCTCGGTAGGCGTGACCGTGTAGGTTGAGAGTACTGTAGGCTTTACTACGATTGAGTAGGAGTGTGAAGGTTTTGCTTGGACTCGACTTGACCTCGGGGTCCGACAAAGCGAGAGAGTAGAGCCGGATGGCGACCTAAGAATGTCGTCAGCACCGCCTTCTTCCGTTTGATGGGCTCCGCACCAAGGGGTTGTTCTTTCTCATTTCTGCATTTCCCGCATCTTTGTACTTTTTCCACCCTTTCGGTGCATCGCCTTTCAGTCCATCCTGCCACTTGACTCCCTCCAAGAAGGGGTCATTCGGGTGCAGCTCTTCAATCTCGTACGGCATATCCACCGTGATGCCTCGCTGTCCGCCAATATAGCCCGTTCGAGGAGACTTAATCACCAAGATCGCGCCGATAGGATAGAGTTTGGCGAGGGTATCGGGGAGAGAAAGTGAAAAATGAGGGACGGCTGTGGGGAATCTGATGACGACGGGGAAAACAGCGCCGCAAGAGTCCTCAATGTGGCTATCCCTTCGTTAGCACATTCCAAGGTGAGGGGGGTCGTCTCACAAGCTGAGGCATAAGCCAGACTTTACAGGCGTAATGACTTTTCCGAGTATCATGCAGTCTATTATGGTCAGCAAACGAGCTCCCGAATGCCAAATCAACTCACCTTCGTACGTTCGGTACAGTTTCAAATCCGTCCCCGTGACGAGCTTCAACTCTCCCATCGACCGCTGATGACACCGCACCTTTTCCCAAACTGTGGAGAAGATCTTGGTATTTTCTGAGGAGGGGTCGGCGTAAAAAAAGTTGTTGCCTTCACGGTGCGCAGCATTTGATTCCTCGATGGCTTGCTGAAGATTCATCCTAAAGGACTGGTTCGATCCCTCGGGATTGTATTGGGCTAAAAACCCCTGCATCTATAAGATTATCAGCACCCGTGATTCACAGCGCAGTATGAAGCTGGCAAGCTGACTTACGATGAATTGGTTGAACACCTTGTTCATATGAGCCTCCATCAGGGCTGTGACCCGCTCGTCTATCCGCGTCTCCCGACCCAGTCTCACAGATGCCATTTGCAAGCCTTCGAGAAACTTTGTTTGGGAGTCATCGGGTATGAGGTGTCGGAGGAGGTGTTGGATGTTGAGGGGGGCGCGAAAGTCGGAAGTGGGTTCCATAGTGGCGCAGGGTACAGATGCTGCCACGCTCGAGAGAGGTGCTAAGGCTATGTAACGCTTGACAGAGTGTCGTGGGGAAAGTGCGAAAGAAGAGAAGAATAGTCCTGTTGAGACTGTCAGTTGTTGTCATCGCGTTTCTTTCTTGCTGGCCCTCACAGCCTGCTGTGTCGACTCACCACTGTGGCGCTTCATAGCACGTGTGCTGTCAACTCTAGCTGGGTTCCAAGCACGCTCCGTCTTCTCATGGGCGGCTCTGATGATAATCACCTGAAAACTCGAACTCAAAAGCAGGGCGAGCTGTAGGCAACAACACACGACCAGTAGCTACTGCCCCTGTGGCTAGCGGGAAGAGACAGAGGGAATAGACTGTGGAGATGCAAAAGAGAGTTGAGAGATGCAAATGGGGAAGAGCAAGGATGGTTACACACACCCACACAGAGATTTGATCCCGGCGATCAGCGAACGTTGAGCGCGGGTGCCACACTCGCTCACATCAGCCAGTTGGAGCTGCCAGCATCCGTAGGCATGCTAGAGCGCAGGTGTGATCCGGCTTTGGACTCGTATGGACTCATGGGCAAAATGGCATAGTCGCCGGTGAACGCGGACATGCACCATCATCTACTCACAGAGATAGTAGGTTGCAATGCATTGGACTCTCAATTACCCTACATATATCCGCACCCAGCTTTAAGGCTTCACGTTCCTAACCGCCATCTTACTCCCCTCCAAAAAGCTATTAACCTCATCAATCCCCACCTCTTTCCTGTGGAAGATCCCAGCCGCCAACGCAGCCTCCGTCCCCGTCTCCCTAAACACCTCCTCGAAATCACCCGGCCCGCCAGCTCCAGAAGCAGACACCACCGGAATCCCAACGGCGCACTTGACGAGCTTGACCAAGTCCAAATCAAACCCAGCACCCGACCCATCCCTGTCAACAGAGTTGAGCAAGATCTCGCCCGCGCCCAAGCGCTCGACACCCTTGGGGCCACGACGGGCTGCCCGGCCGCCGATTCGGAGAATGCATCCTGCAAGTCCACCTGTTCTCAGTGCTTCTGGGCTTCTCGTGGAGATTCCTTCCCCTTTGGACTATAGCATTCCGCCCTGCAAGAGCCTCAGAGCCACGATGAACAACATGCCCCCTTGCAGAACACGATGGAAGACTATCGAGCCGCACGGGGTGTTGGTTGCCACGTTGGGTGACTGTCGCTGCGCCACATGGGCGTGCCTCTCGACCACCACCTTCTGTTTCCTTTCCATCGTGTTTCGAGATCATTCTCAACCATCTCTTTTTGCCGAAATCGTCTACATGCTTGCCCCTGCCCAGCTGCTCCCCTCGCCCGCCCCGTTGTCCATCACCCACTCCACGCCCCCACTCGTCCCCCCACGCCCCGTCTTGGAGCGCCTCCACCCTGTCCGCTACATCATCCTCGACCACCTCTTTCGCCTACGCCCTATTGCTGTCCTCCAGCTCTCCAAGTCACACTACCAAAAATACATCCCCCAGCTCTACAGCCGGGTGACCATCACCAAACACCGAGTCGAGCGCTGGGCTGCCTCGGCCTACCATACCCCCGAATACTCTCCCTTCAGCGCCCGAGACGCCCTCCGAGCCCATACAAAGACCCTCCGTCTCTGTAGCTCCAGAGGGCTTCAATACCTCTCAGCCCTCCTACTCTCCCACGGCGAGATATTCTCTTCCGTCGGGTGTCTTCAAATCTCCCCCAAACTCTTTCCCCGAGGCGCCAACGCCGATAGCATCCTCTACTCTATCCGAACCATCATCAACTGTCCCCACATCAACATCACCAACATAGCCCTCCTGCTCGACCCCGAGAACCACAACTCGGCCAAAACATATATTGCCTGCACATGTATCGCCGAGATCGTCAACGCGGGCAATCTGCCCATCGATACGCTTACAATCCATATCCCCAAGATACCCATCTGGAAACAGAGCATCATGCGGGACTATGTCATTGATATCGGTTATTTGGGTCTTGTTTGGGGGTCGAGAAACAGGTTGAGGCTCGTATTCGACCTGAACGCCAGAGCATACCCGACAGGCGGCAATGTCATCTCCTTCACCTCCGGTATCCGGTACCTAACCACCGCCCTCGTGCCCATGCTCGCCCTCCCCCGGTACCGCCATTTCAAGATCGAATTCCTCATCAACGATCAAGGCAGACCTGCGGGAGGGGGAGCGCCTGGAGGGGGCTGGTTGGTACCCGAAGCGACGTGGAGGACGATGCAGGAGAAAGGGCCGGATACGACTAGGTATCCGGCGGTCAAGATGTTTTGGGAGGGAAATGTGAGGGTGGAGAGGGTTTCGGGGAAGGAGACGAGGGATGCGCTGGAGTTGCCTTGTTGAGTGCGTTTGATAAGGACTTTTGGAGGAGGTTGCTAATCTGTAGTAGTAATATGACGATCTTGAATAGTATCACTCAACAACTCTAAACTGGAGACTCTGTGGACGTATCTTCTGAATGTAGCTCTTCCGAATGTGGCGCTGTGAATACGATCTGTGAGTCTTAATCCTCCTCATTCCCGACTCAGCGACAGATGCGATCAATCGCAGTACTCCTACGTTGACGAATCTCCTCTCCCCATCTCCCCCTCTCATATCGAAGCTGTAGCTGACGACATATCGAGGAAGAATGCATGGTTGTATACAACTTGTACATGATCCATCGGCTTGGCGTCTTGTCGCTATCTCCTGCTATATGCCGTTCTGTATAAGAAAAGTAAGTTTCTGCCTCTGAGCTACTCTCTCTAGTCTGACCGCCCAGAAAAGTCACAGCACCACAGCTGGGTTCAGGCTTGACATCGATCTCCGCAGGTGGCAGCTACATGTACGTCCCAGCCGCCATTCCTTCTCATCCAACTTCTGCTTCCTGACCTACGCGTAAATTCCATCCAGCGGATACAACACATTGAATTGTCCTGCGCCTTACCCATACTTCACCGGTGTACACTACTCTACCAACAGCTTCTTGATGTATACTTTGCACCCCCAAATGACACCACAGCAGCGCCCAATCCATACTCAACGAGAGAAACTTCTCACGCACTCGCCTGCGAATTAATCCGCGTATAAAACTCCTTCAACGTCTCCAGCGCATTAAGCTCCACCCCCCTCTTCTCCGCCTCACTAGCCCCCTCATAAATCGCATCAACAGCATCATCCATACTTCCCAACCCATACCCCCCTCCTCCTCCTCCTCTCCCATCTCCACATTCTACCACCGTATTATACTGCATAACATCCCCCACCCACCTATCCCAGCCGTCATATTCCCCTCCTTCTAAGCTTGCTGAGGAGACTTGGAACCTTACAGCACCGTCAATCCTTGATTCGGGCGTCATATCTGAGATCAGGATTGTCATTAGGCCCGTGGAAGGGTTCAGGGTGTATTGTGCGCTGTTTGCTCGGCCGGTGGGGGTGGTGAGAGTGTACCATTGACTAGACGACGGGAGGACGCCTCCGCCTCCCAATCCTCCCGGTCCCTCTCCCGATGCAAATCTAGAAGATGACAGCGGAAAGTCTGGTTCAAAAGGGTTTCCTGTCGGAAGTGCTTCCGGCCTGACTAGAGCTAAATCAGCTGCAGTGAGCTCATAGTCTGGGGAGAAGGGGTTGGAAGAAGAGGAAGGGGTGGATGTAGCTGGGGCGGAGGCATAGAGGGTGTCAGAAGAGGGGGCGCTATCGACCGCTGCTGGCGATGTGGAAGATTGCTGTCGGTCGTCGTTGTTGAGCGCCATCGTTGAGGTTTTTCCTGATGATGTCTGTAATTTAAGATAGTGGGGTGGTAGGTATAGCTTTCCCGCCTTTATACACTCACGGCAATCTGGTGATGAATCGTTCGAAACAATGAAAGCGAGATGTCAGAGTCGTGTATGCAATTTCGGTGTTGGAAATCAAGCTACTCTTTTGTCCGAACAACGGTTGCTATTCAACCCATAATCATGTCTATCAACATCCATTGTCGGGGTATCAACGCTGCCACGAACACATTGATGGATATGCATCCTTTCAAACTCATCTTTGAATGCTGCGACTCCTCCAATGTCTGAAGTTCGACAGACGCATTAAATGACAACCGTACCGTAAGTCCATTCTACTCTTCAGGGACACTTCTGCGGCTGTATGGCGATATCATAATGCATGCCTCGGTATGCTAGTCGCCTACGGCACGAAGAAGAAGAGGTCGGCGGAGAAGGCTAAGCGGGATGCGAGCTACCTCACCCCGACAGCGAGCACCTCGGCTACGAGCGGCGTCTCCTTCGCTATACCCCCAAGCCTCCTCAAGCACCATCAAGCCCTTCTCCGCTCTCCTTCGATCATCTCCCTCTAGCACCATGTCCGCCTACCGTCTCACACCATAGCCCTCAGCCGAAGCCCTTCCAGTCTCCGCTCCTCGGTCCAACCGCCTCTCAAAACCACTGATCTCAATCCAGCTCCTTTCTCCTTCCCTTTGCCATCAAGCTATCGAGCCGACGAGCCGAGGTTGCAGTCGCAGTAGATAGTGGGTAGGATGAAAGGCGTGACTCGACAGGGAAATGAGCAACAGGGGGCGGAGGGGTAATGCCGATGTATCACTAGAGTACCGTCAGCTCTTGCGCTGAGATCAAAGTCAGAATTACTCACCTTGTCCATAGCACGACCACTCACACCGCCACCAGCCCGCCCCTTTCCTCGTATAGTCGCGCGCCTCCAGCATAGCGATACAGCTCAACACCCTCGCTCGCGTCTCTCTTGTGCGGCTGTGGCCCGAAGGGATTGAAGTGGTATGTTGTCGTTCGGGGATGCCCGGGAAGACGGGGCGAGATCGGGAAAGAGATAATGATATGGAGTGATAGGATGCCTGGAAAGATGTGTCAGCTTAGAGTAAAGCTCGAGGCAAATGTCACGCACTCGTATGTCAAACATCCTCTAGTCCACTATAGCACACATTAGCAATGCAATGTCGCTTCTTGAGGAGAATACTCACAGCAGCACTACAAAAGCAGCTCCTCCATCTCACGCCCTCCAATCCTCCGCAGCTCCACAAACTCCCGCCAATACCCTTCGATCTGAGAAGCAAGCCGCGCCTCTTCGATATCAGACACATTGGCTTGGAGATACCTCTGCCTATTCTCGATATGCCCCCGCAGATCTTCCACCAGATCCACATCGCCTTCGTACCTGAAGAGGAGCTTGAGAGGGAGAGGGAGGCGTCTTGACTGTCTGAAAATGCCGCTGCCGACAATCAAGGCAAGCTCGTCGCCCATCAACCTCACAATATCGCTCGAGAGGCAGTGGGATGCAAATCCTAGGTCGATGATGACCCGGACCGTCCAACCCACATAGCAATACTTGAGGAAATCAAGAGCCTTGACGAGAGGTTGTGGTTGCCATTCTGCGCCGGTCAAAACAGGCATAGATATATGAAAGGTCAGGCAAGAAAAACAGAGAGCTATGCTTCGTGAGATGCCATTTGGATCCGGCACTTTGGTGGGTGATCCCATTCGAACGTCTTCGGCAGTGTAGCAGACTACTGCCCTGTGTATGTTGGTGGATTTTACGAGCATCACTTCTAGGTCCAACAGAGTTCTTTTCTTGAAACAGCGCGGAAAGAATTGGATCGTCTGAATTTTGGCGAGGTAGGGGACATTGAGAGCCAACGAAAGATGTCGGATGGATATGGCGTCGAGAAAGTTGAGTTTGCTGGTATACAGCCATAAGGGTTTGAGCGTGGGATGGGGGAAGACGTTGTTCACAACACCGTCTTGGTATTTGAACAAGAGGCTCCTCAAATGATAGCTTGTGATATCTTCCAGACTGATGCAGGTGTATGCACGAGGCAAGAGTCGCTCATAGTGGTATTTGGAGAGCCGGAGGATGGTGGTAGGCGCGAGGGCGAAGAGGTGGTCGAGGATGAGGTAGTGGACGGGTTCGAGACGCTGTAAAGAGGAGTAGGGGATGTCGAGGCTGGTCATCGGGGACCCGAGTGGTATGGCGCCGGGGGAAGGGTGTTTGGGATAGAATATAGATGGATGGCAGATGGATGGTGAAAGCAGGGTGCAATGAAGGACGATCAAAGAGAAAAAAATAAGTCGCGACGTCATCGTAAAGCACGTCGCGTCGGCCTCCACCGCTCAGCCGGCGGTCGTTTCCTATCTCAGGGGGTGGCCGACAAGCGGCGGGACCCGTAACGCAAAAAAAGCAAAATGAACGAAAAATGAAGATTGCACATTCACGGTCTGCATCCTTCAATTTTCACTGTACAACAACTTCTCCATCTTATTACGAGAGTCAACGCCCTTAAACGAGAAGAACTTGACGACGCGACCTCGTGCACTTGGCGGCGTCCGCCGCTCAGCCATCATCACTCAACGTCACAACTTTCCTCAAACCACCTGTTCCATTCTCGCCTCAACGGTGCAAAAAGCTCTTGCCAGCGTCAACTCATCAGCCAACAGCGCATCATGACATTCTCGCTTCAACTTTGATCACCAGGTCTTTGGAAATGTACTCTTAGAGATGTCTTTGCATTGAGGATAGTCGAAAACCAGGATCAAGCGCAAAAGCCCCACTGTTTCGTGCCAGCTCTCCTCAGACGATAGCAAGACGCCTTTGCTTCCGAATAAGATTTCATACTTCACCAGGCCATACACACAGGATTTCAGGACAGACACAGCGTGTGCATTTGTCGGCCGCCGGCAAGGAACAGACGCGTCGACAAGAACAATGGCGCATCGCGAAATCTTTATTGTTCTTTTGAAACAATCTTGAAACGCCTCGCTTCTTTGCCAGCATGACGTCCATGGCGTCGGGAGGTCAGCATAAAGCATGCGGGAACACCGCACCCACAACCTGCCCATATCCACCCTACAGACACCAACAAGTCGTGTACTCGTATTGTGGACTACCGACGACCGCCTATGTCCATTTCGCCAGATCAACTCTAGGGACTCCAATCACAATTGTTACAAGATCTAGGGCAGCATATTGTGATGACACATGTGAGCAATCTTGACATTCCCCCGCGAAGCCAGCTGACTTGCTCCAGGAGCATCAGAATGTCAGTCTATCCTCCTCTAGTTCGCCTCGCTTTCCTCGAGAGCCGACTGCGACCACTATTCCAGTCATCAATGCCACCACTACGCCCCGTTCCGCGGCTTTCACTCCTGCTTATGACCTATCTGGCGCAACATCTGTATCGACTCTATCAAGCAAGAAGACGGACGCGGGGAAAAGTACCAGAGGAATGGGATCGGCGAGAGGCGGTGATACTGCGGGGTCTGCAGTGGTAGATGGAGCGGCGCCCAGGCGGTCCTTCACTGTGAGTATGGATTTGGTCTACGTGGTGTACAGGGCTGACTTTCCTTGCAGCAGCCTCGGGTCTTGACACCGAGCACGGCAGCTGGTGATATCTCCGCTTCACCTCATTCCCGCGAAAGGCGATATGCCTCTCTTCCTCCGACGTTCGGTCCATCTCACCACTCTCCTTTCTCTCCATCACACCCCTCTCTACCATTGGGGGCTCGCGCTGGGACATCTCATGTCGAAAGGAACTGCAGAGTCAACGTGCGCGAAGAAGATGGCAGTCGCGGGGAACCGAGGGGCGACACTCTGTCTCTTCCACCCGATGCCTCTACGCTCGGGGATAGGCGACTTCTGTCTATTGCCTCCATCATAAACCCTCCCAGCGCCTCCAGGACGTTTGCAGACCTTGAGCCGGTCCACTACCTCATCCTAAAAGAGCTCTTCCTTCTCCAACCGGTCAAGGTGATCTGCCTCTCCCCATACCTCTACCAAATATTCATCCCACTCCTCTACCACACCGCTTCCCTCACCTACTCGCTCTTCTCCGGCCTTACTGGGTTCTCCTCTAAGATACCCGTCTTCCACGCGCTCTCCTTCCTCGAGGTCTTGCATATCAAAGACCTCAACGGTCTGATGATATTCTGCACCTACACCCTCCCTGCTCAACACCCCTGGGGCCATCCCCTCTTTCCAAAACTAAGGCGCATCATCGTCCATTGGGACGTCATCCGTTCGCAAGCAGCCACCACCCATGCCCTCCCCCAGCTGCACCGCTCAAACCAAAGCCCCGACCGCTTATCCTTCCACGCACCCCATCCTCTCCCCGAACTCGTCCTTCATGTCGAGCTGAGCAACTCTTGCTTATGGGATACTCCCGCCCCTTATCGCGAGATCAAAGCCTTAGCATATATCTTCACCCCTTCCTCCCTCATCCTCCTGCTCTCACACTCTGGCCTTGCCGCGCCAACGACGCTCAACCATCCTACTTCCTCGTATCCATCTTTCTCTGATGTGCGATACGACTGGCCCCGTATCATCCCTTCCCTCCCACTCCACTGGCCATCAGCACACACTCTCAAGATCATCGTCGAGCCCGACCTCATCCCGCCTTCGTGGCCAGACGTCAAAGCCGTTGCGAGAAGGGAGATGGCTGTGAGGCAGGATGTTGGAAAATCTGTGTGGGCTTTGGTGCGGGATCTGGAGGGGCAAGTGAGGGCCATGGCGCAGGAGAGTCTTTATGTGGATACTCGTGCTATGGGTGGTGCTGTATTCTCGGGACACGCGCCGGCGATGTTCTCTTCCACTTCCGGCGGTACGTCTGCTCCAGTGGCAGAGACGGGCTTCACAGCAGCTTCCAACGCTACCCACCACACACCCCCATCACCTCCTCATCCCCACACCTATACTACAACATTCTTCACCCAACCCACTATCGTCCAACCTCCCCGTCTACCCCAGCTCGTCGCTCAAGTCATCCTCCACATCCCTCGTGCCAAGTCTTTCGAGGATGCAAGTCGTTCGTTGATTGGGGAATCTCCTTGGGGGATGGTGGCTAGGAGCGAGAGCAATCAGTCAGAGGATGAGGAGAAGCAGGGCTCTACAAGAGACGGCGGACAAGATGATGAAGATTTAGCGGACGAAGCAAGCCTTCCTCGCCCTCTCCACCCAGCTCTCGTCAACTATCCTTGCGTCCTCATACACACCGACACTGCGTCCTTCTTCGACGGTCATGCTCTGTTTGAAGAGTTCGATGAGCAAGATTGGGGGGCGAGATCAAGCTGGAGGAAGGCGAGAGTCGAGGGGAAAGAAGGAGGGGACTGTGCTTGGCGAGTCGTGTTTGGACCGTATGGGACATCAGCTGACGCTTGGGTAGTAATGAGTGTACGCCGTTCATACTCTATCCCCCTAGACCTGTGTGTTAGGTAGTCAAAATTATAATGACGGACGACGGCGCCAAATGCGCGGATGATGCAGGCTATGTGTCACACGTAGTAATTCCCTGAAGTGGCATTGGCGCTGAGTTGTGTCGATGGTTGAAGGACGCGCGGTGTACATACTCAATTCATATCTCATTGTTCTACTCTTTCCTTATGCGATAATATCGAAAAGGTCTTTTCCCCTCCAAAAACACCTTTTCCCGTCCCCTCCCCTGCTGCTTCCCAGCTCGGCCGTGACACTATGGGCTAGTTCGTTCCGAATACATTGAATCGGCAGAACGGCTCCGACGATTGCGCGCTCTTGAACATGTCACATCCCACTGGATACATAATCGCTCCATATAATACTAATCTCCCCATACCTCGTGCTCCTTCGTCCCAGCACGAGCAGCAACCGCAGCCGCCTCGCCAACACCAACAGTATCAGCCCCTGCCCCAGCCACAGCAGCAGCCCCAGCAGCCTGGCGTCGTGTCGGTTGGCGTGGAGGTTGCTGCCGCAGGAGGCTGGGGCTGCTGCTGTGGCTGGGGCAGGGGCTGATACTGTTGGCGTTGGTGAGGCGGCTGCGGTTGCTGCTCGTGCTGGGACGAAGGGGGCTGTTGCTGGGCAGCTGTCGCTTGGAGGGCTGATGAGAAGAGGGCGACCGGGAAGAGGACGGATGGGGTGAGGAAAAAAACAGGAGGAGGAGGGTAGCTATGCGACGCTGCTGGCTAGTCCGATGCCGATGCCGACTCGGTGCGATGTGGTGCGGACATGAATTTACGCCAACGCTGATGTCTTCCCTCTGCTGCTCTCCCTCCCCCTCCACCTCCATCATCATCTCATCCTCCTCGCTAGGCCCAGGACCTCCGATGATGATTTCGCCGTCGTATTTGTCATTGTCCCCGTCCGAGTCCGAGTCCATGCCAATGTCTTCGTCGTTGATCTGCCAGTCTTGCTCCTGGTGTTCTTCTTGGGCGGACATCATGAATTGCTTGTGGTTGTAGAGAGACGGTACTGGTAGTCGTGCGTCGAGCTTGGCGAGAGGTAGAGAGCCGAAGAGGGAAAGCGAAGGTGATTCTGCGAGTCTCATATCAGTGAAAGGTGTTCTCACCTGTCTCTTTGCCGTGCCCTTAGCCACTTGCTTGACGGGTCGAGAAGGCCTTCAGCAGCATTTGCTTTTTTTCTGGGTGCTTATGAGATAGATACCAGCGGTCCTCGCCGCACTTGTTGTTGATGATTGACAGAGGCCGTCGGGCACGAGTGCCACTTGTCAACAAACATCTCTCGAAAAGGCTGACAAAGGTTACACTGCATACGTCTCGTCCAGCTGGCAATGCTGAGTGTGATGTGATATGTGAAGCACACGACAAAGTCTACAACAATGGTGAACTGATAGGGTTCTGTGACCCCAGGTCGAATGATGGGCAAAATAGCACGGCCCGTTGATTCAACGTTCTTCTGCCATATTGCAAGACTCTATGGAGAACCATCGATCAGGACTTTTACGTCCTTAGAGACACAAGGAAGCAAGAAAAGGGGATACAAGCAAATCAGCGACGTCAAAGAGAAGACAGAGGGGAGCAAAAAGAAACAAAAATATGGCGCCACCCGGGATCGAACCAGGGACCGCACGAATGGAATCCAAATATTGAACTTCAGTCGTGCGCTCTCCCAACTGAGCTATGTCGCCGTAGATGAAACCTAATAGCGCAATGCGATATCGCTTCGTTAACGTCTCAGCCTTGCCGGATGGTCGTTGTTTTTGGTTCGCCTTGACCAGGCCTTGAGAGGCGATGTCGCTTTTTGCAACTCTTGTTGACAGCATATTATAATCATCCACCTGGATCCAGTCTCATTACTCTTCATCCGTTGGAGCCGACTCCTCCCCCAAAGCACGGCCTACCATCCCCCGCTCGATCGGCTCTCCATCAAACGACTGTTCCGGAATCCACTTTCAAAGCCAGCCGCCCAATCGCGCGACTCCTCACAGAACCAGCCATACGCGGACAGCAGAACAAGATGGATCTTCAGTGGGACTAGTAAGCCCCCTCCCTTCTCTCTTCCCTCTTCAAGGCAAAGCGCTGACAGTGCGGGTAGCATCCTCAAATACGTCCTCATAGGCGACTCCTCCGTTGGCAAATCGTCCCTCCTCATCCGCCTCACCGACGACAGCTTCAACGCCACCGAACCCACCCTCGGCGTCGAATTCGGGTCTAAAATCCTACACATCCCCGACCCTTCCCCCTTGCCTGATGTTTCGCCATCAGGAGGAGGAGGGAGTGGGAGTGGGAGTAGGGGGAGAGGGGAAAGGGCGGGGAAGAGGGTGAAGATTCAGTGTTGGGATACGGCGGGGACGGAGAGTTTTAGGAGTATCACGAGGAGTTATTTTAGGGGGGCGGCTGGGGGGCTGGTGGTTTATGATGTTACGCGGCGGGAGAGTGAGTCTTGGTTTGGTTATGGTGTGAGTGAAAGCTGACGGCGTGTAGCATTCGAACATGCGACTTCCTGGTTATCAGACCTCAGGGCACACGCTGATGAGAATGTTGCCGTCATTCGTGAGCCCCCTCCATTATCCAAACGCCCAGGGAACTGACGAAGCAACAGTGATAGCGAACAAAACAGACCTCTGCTCCCACTCCCCACCAACCCTAACCCCCTTCGGCCAAGCCCTCCCACCCTCTTCCTCAGATCCCTCCTCCTCAATCTCTCCCTCATCCTCACAAACCAAGCTAAAACCCCGCGCCGTGTCCACCTCCGAAGGTCAGCTCTTTGCCCGGCAAAACGGCTTGCTCTATGTCGAAACCTCCGCCAAGAATGGGTGGGGCGTGGAAGAGGCGTTTGAGATGACTGCTCGGGAAATACTGGGGCGGGTGGGGAGGGAAGAAGCGGAGAGGAAGATGAAGGGACGGAAAGGGCTTAGCTTGGGGCAAGGAGGGGGCGGTAAGGGCGGGTGTTGTTGAGTGGGCGGGGGGTTGGGATGGCGTGTTGTATGACCAGGTGTACGTTATAATGGGGATGCGATATGATGCGTTATATTCAGCTGTTGGCGAAGTCTGAAGAACACTGCGCATGGACGTCGTACCTTGGCCTTCGGGCTGTCACCTCGACGTCTTCCGGAGGGTAACCTCATGTGATCCAGCGCTCACTAGTGTTCTCCGAAGCTGAGTGAAGATAGGTATCGAGAGCCGGGAGAGCTACGGCTCATACATGTGAGAAGCTGTTCGGACTTGAACCGGGGAGAGTTTGGATGTATGGACACACCATCTAGACGCGACAGAGTAGTCTAGGTGCTGCGCCCGGGAGATAGGCAGACCACGAAGAGCATCACGCAGCTGGACTCGAGCACCGGGCCTCAGGTGGGATCGGATCTCAATGCATGATACAAATAGACTATATGGCAAACGTATATGTACAAAATAGAGAAGGGGAGAAGTTCTTCGAGATAGAATGTCCGTGGTCGTTGCGCGATAAATGATACTGAAAAGATGAGAGAAAAGTCTACGAAGTGAGCTGCACACCGATGAATGGATCCTGTGCACAGTCAACCTCGGGCCAGACAAATGTAAGAGCAGATTCAGTGGGTGTCAAGCTATGGTACTCTCGTAAGCTCGCCACCTAAAAAAGTGCAGAGAAAACAAGATACGCACGCTCCAATAGAAGTCACATTCTTGCCACAAGTAAAGACGACCTGGCCAACCTGCTCGACCAGAGGTGTAGGAGTGTACACCTTGGACTCGCCGACGGCACTAGTGGGAGGAACGGGAGAGGAGTAGAACGTTTCGTTTCTGCGACCACAGAGTCAGTGGGTGGCGTGGAGATGACGGGGAGCGACGGACTGTTGGGCGAGTTGGATGTTGCTATGCAGAGTGTCAGCTGGTGATTATCAGGAAGAGGCATGGACTCACGCATAAGCACCGTTCTCATAGATCAAGCTCATCCTATCCCCGGCGATACCGTCCAAGGCCAAGCCTCGACTGTCCATCGCCCCCCAAAACACGGTCAAGACGGGGAAGGTGAAGCATCCGATGAGGTAGGCAGAGGCGGTACGGATGCGGTATGATTTGGTGGCAAAGGTGAGGTAGAGGAGATACGACCAAAGGATGAGGGTGATTTGCCAGACGGTGCCGAGGTGGCTGTGTCTTGTTAGCGCGTATCGCAGGCAGAGGCGGGCGAGTGTACTCACTCCCAGTACGAGGTGAGGTGTGTGAGGGTGGGGAGCTGCATGGTGGCGATGGTCGATGGGAATAGATAGAGTGTTGGGGGGTATATTATACGATGGAAAGAGAGATGCGATTTGTGTGAGAATATGTCCCCCCCCCCCCCCCCCCTTTCTCATGCTTCGCCCGTCTTGCATCATTTGCGACTAACATGATCCTCGGCGTCGCACCTCATTAAGAATTTCTTCAGGGTGGTAGAGTATCTTATCAGCGGGTAGTCACCGCAAGTTCCTAGGAATATTGCAGTAGCACGCCCGCCCGCATGCATGGGAATATATGGCACTTGGGAGACATTTGTAATATGCATCACCTTGAGCAGAAAATGATTGAGCATCGGTGGAGATCAGCACTTTTCTTGGCTTGACCTCATAGCGATTGAACCGAGACACGTCAAGGAGTAGCTACCTTACCTTTCCCAGCAGCCCAGCAGCTCCCACTAGGTATGTAATCTGTGTGCATGGGGTCCTTTTAGCCAGCTATCGGCCATCGAACAAGTGACAGGGCGATCAGCAGGGACAGAGTACACCAGTAACGGTGTTTGAACGAATCAGTCAACATGCCACCTATATAGTTCGGAAGGGCCTGGAGCGAGAAGCTTCCAAAGAAGATGCGAGCTTCAAATGTCAGATGCTTGGGACTCGTCGTATACAAACCGGTAAATACCGAATGCTTGTCGATTCGGGGTGTTTCGTATGTAGTATGTATATACCTGCAACACATGTTCCAGACGTCGACGAACATGCGCGCCACGCGCCGGAGGGAAAAGAATCAGAAGCGGACCTCGACGTCTCCGAGTCTCCGATGCATTTGGCAGAGGGTATGAATAAGTTGTCGTGGTCGATTCGATCAAAAGAAGATGAATCGACAGCTGTCGTCAAACTTTCCATCGGACCGTGGCTCAATTGGGCACCGGACCGCTTTGACATTTTCGTAATGACCGGCGGCAAGAGATAGGGAGAAGCAAGAACAGTTGGTACGTAATGAATAGACACCGACCCCCACGTGTACTATGCATTGCATAAATGCATGCAGATCGCCTTCTATTTGGGGAGCTGGGAACATGTAACTTTGGTAGTACACAAGTCAGCGTCCCGAACGCGCACGCAAATGCAAGCTAAGGAGCGGGCCAGAATTTTTCTTAGTGCGTCCGTAGGAGCCTCGCGGGAAGCAATAAAAGAGACCAAATAACCCGACGCGTCGTTCTGGCCATTTGACTGCTCTGTGATGTCATTTTCATGCATGCGTGTCATCTTTTGAAATTTTGTATAGACGAATGGCCATGCACAGTCTGATGACTGGCTGTACTCGCTGGAGGTTCTCCTGCTGCGTGTCTGGATCCGTCTTCACTGAACATCAGTGATATGAACAGTGCACGGATGGAAGAGACTCACCTCGAGACCGATATCCACCTCCCTGCCGGCGTTACTGACCTCGCTCGCTCCAACCTGATGCCCTCTCTGCTGCCACCTCAACTGCCTTCTCTGCAGCTCAGTGTCCCGTTCATGGCGAGTAGCGCTATCAGGACTAGAATCAATCCACATACTCCTCATCCCCTGATCACCGCTACTTCCTTGCCCTCCAGTGAACGGCCTGTCATCAGTATCGCTCGAGAAGCGATCAGTCACTGGAGCCTGGGAGGCGTTGCCAGTCGTAGGACGAGAACTGTCAGACGAAAATCGGGACGTCATATTGGCCTGAGCATTATCGCCTTCCATCGTACCATCAATCGAACCTTGAGCTCTCTGGAACATGTATGAGCAGTACATCCCTCGAAGCATCAGAGAACTCTCGCTGATGACCCCTATTAGACGGGTCGTTAGGAGCGCTTGGAGCGTTCGTCGCCGCTATTGGGCCAGACAGATGTTTGGACGTTGGAAGGAGCCGAGATGGTGGGGCGGGTAGCAGCGGAGGAAGAGCGGTCGGTCTGTTGGCCCCAGGCGGAGACGGCGGGGGCGAGGGGCCTGGAGATGTTGGGCGGCGGTCGTTCAGCATGTCGCGCGACCAAGCGACGTCCTTCTCACTCTTTCCATACCATCCACCTTACTCTTTTACGAGGATCGTGTACAGCAGAAACGATCTTAAGCGAGGCTATAATAAGGGATCTTTCAGAACCTTCAGCGTCGATCAATGGAAGAAGACATAGATGATGACCGGGAGCAGAGTCTAGTGTAGTAATCAAGCGCGCGCGCGAGGGGCGGACATGGAACGTTTTTGCCACGGGAAAATAAAGATAAAGGAAGCAGATCACTACCAGAAAAGGCTGTTGTGGAAGAGCAGCAGACAATGCGCTGTTTGACTGACATGTAGCCTCTTCGCTCCTAACGTACACCTTTCAGATCTCGGCCGACGGTTGACCGACTAAATGTTGCTCGTAAAGTATGACCTTTGTTGGTGACTATCGATTCAAAAGTGTCAGCGTCAGTCTACTCAACTTCAAGAAAGGAAAGCTCGACAGACGATAGGGCGAAAGAGGCGGCATCTTGGATACGCGAGACCCGTTTCAAAGGACGTATGAACAGCCTAGCATACGGCTCACTCGTAATCATCCACTGGTGACGTTTACTTGATGATCTTTTTATGGCCTGAACCAGTGGTGCTGGGAGGCAGCAGATGGAATCTTCAACACAATGAGAGGATTTGTGACGCCATACACCATTCGAACTCTTACATATTTCTGATGAATAGCGTCGCCGTGCACCAATAAACTTCAAACGCCATTCTTCCGGCCATAGGGGCAGGTGATTACTGTCTCATTTGGAGAGTCGGCAGGAGTAAGAGAATCCTTGAAGTGGGATGACAGGCGATATATCATCAAATAAGTACATGTAACATCCTCCATTCCTCTGCCTCAGTCAACGTTTTTGTGGGTTCTCCTTCAACGAGGTATCCGTCTCACCCGAGCTTGACACCCTGTCGAGTAGCGTCTGCGACAATGCCGTCTCGGCTGAAAGACCATTGCCCAGTACCGAGAGGTGACTCACAGACAGACCACCAATGTTGGTATCCTCGCCCAAAAAGAATTCAATCTCCTCGCCATCTCTGAAAACGATGAATGAGGGTATGCCTGGGAGGTCCATATCTGGAGCGATGTCCTAATAGACTCATCAGTGGATGAAGCCCTGCCTGTCTCATACGCGACCGAGTACGTACAGAAAGCTGTCTGATGTCGACCTTGTAGACGCCCGCATCGGGATAGCTGTCCTCCAACAACATGAATTCAGAAGACATTTTTCGGCTTGAAGCATCCTTGGGGTTACGAAACTCTGCAGCGACAACGGCTGGTCCTGATATCTTCAAGTATACAGCATTAGTGGAGCCGGGACAAGTGCGGTAAGAATGAGCAACGTACAACGCTCTTGAAATGCTCGTCGGATGTGATGGATCGGACCATGGTGGCGTATTACAGTCTGTGCTGTTCTGCGGTATGTTAATGGGAGGAGACTGAGGGGGTGAAAGTGGTTGTCAAGGTATATATGCAAGAGGGTGTGTATATTGTGTGAAGTAAAGTGTAGTCACGTCAGCATGATCGGCCAATCGTTGTCCAGTTGCCAGCCACGTGTGAGAACCAGCAGCAGACCAGCATGACGTCCAGGTATCGTCAGTCACATCGTGCTGGGCACTCTGTTGTGTCCATATGCGAGATCATTGGAGAGTACCGATGGCAGAGAAGAACCATAGAACCAATACATGTGAAAGATAAGTTTCAGCATCGTTTGTAATACGCATGCAAACTCAAAAGCTCAGCATCTAGACTGTTCTCCTTTACCCCTCTTCTTCAGTTTCGTCAAGACTCCCGTTCACGACCAAGCATCGTATCGAAAGTGTTGAGGGACGGCGCAGTGTCGCTCATAAGTTCGGCATATTGTAGCATAGAGAACGTAACTACGGATGAATGTGCACGTGGGATATGTATGGAAAGGTGATGTTATGTAAAAGAGTAGTATCACCATACCAATAATACCAATTAATAACTACGTAGAAGCCAACTAGAAGCAGCTACTCAGAGCTCGCAAAAAAGCTCATGCCATATTGTCATCGCCCACAAGATCGTGCTTGGTAGACACCACAAAAATAAGTGTCAACAGTATGTTTTTTGTCAGGGGCAGCAGTTGCATCATGCATATCCAACAAAGGACGCAGAATGAGCGAGTGTTGTTCACTCATACTCATTGCGACTTTTACTACCACACTATTCTTCCTCACTATCCGACTCACTGCACTCTTCACCGCTACTACTACAGCTGCCGGCGCATTCACTACCACTGTCATCCCCGTTCTGAGATCCAGAGTTCCCACGGATTCCTAATCGAGACATGGACGTCTAAGCACCATGCCCAGCAGACGCACGATCCTTCGTCAGCATTCCATTACCCTCACCATACATGTCAAGTAACAGTCACGCACCTCAACGCCTATCACAATCGATCCACTCTCTCGTCTACGAGCATCGTCATCATCCTCACTACAAGAGTCACAAGAAGAAGAGAAGTCTTCCTCGAATTCTGTAGATTGGTCGCTGTCCTCAGCATTACCCCTGAATGGCTGTTGATTGCGGGAAGCAGAAGCAGAAGCAGAGGAGGGAAGTTGCATCCCATGCCTGCGATTGTCTCTCCTAGCAGGGGCCGACCTCGTTGACGCTTCTTGCGACGGCGAGGATTGTTCCTCCGCGGTTGGAGCGGAAGTACTAGCCGACGAGCCAGTGTCTCTCACGGAAGCCAACGGGCCAAATCGAGATGAGAACGAGTTTTCAGATTGAAGAATAGGTGCAGAAATTTGGGGACGGCGGCTGCTGGAAGCAGCAGAGTTTTGGGTAGAGGTTTGGCGGTTTCGTGGCATATTCGGAGGAATTTGGTTTTGTCAATGACGGTTGTACCCATAAAGAGCTATGGGTGGGGGCGCTTTATAGTGGATTCTGGAATATGTAGAGAAGCCGGCGGAAAGCGGAGTCTGAGTATCATATCGCGGGAGAAGCAGCGGATGTCGAAAAGTATCGCCGAATGCGCCTTTTTGTTCAACGAGCTCAGCAATTTACTTTCTTCTCTGCACATCTTACATCTGCACGTTGGCTCTTCCTTTGTCTCCTTTAACCCACGGGTCCCGACTCGGGAAAACATCACAGCCCAGTCCGAATTGAACTCAAAGGAAGGTTCACTCTCTCGTCCTTTATGTTTGTTGCTGGGTGTTTGCTAAGAATGCGGATGCTCCTCACATGGAGATGCCGAGAAAAGAGGAGAAGCGACCTCAGTCAGCTTCTCTCGCCAAAGCTCGGGGCGGTAACCTTTGTCTTTACCATGCCCATATTGATTGATGCATGAGTGTACGAGTAGTCGTACAGAATTCACTACTGAAAGAGGCAGATCCCGCCTTCATCATTGTTCATCTGCAAACGCCCAATTCGATACTCTGTTCAACCTCTCATTTCAACCTGCATCGCAAGCGACTTGCGAAGAACCGAACCAAACAACACGGTGCCTTGAGCCTTTATCAGAAATCATTACGTAAAGCTCCTCTTTAGACATAAAATGCCTCGTCCGCGTTTGGTCGTCCGCGTCCTCGATCGAGTTGCGATCGAGTGAGATGTGAGGGGTAATCAAAAGGGCTCTCTCGAAGGCAGTCGAATCTCAGCAACGGCGGCTACATGGCGCTCAATCTCTCCCAGGGGACAGTGACGGATTACAAATATTACCGCGCAGCCCCGGATTGTGATTTCATCTCGGCACAACACCATTGGATACCTACTTAAAAAGGCGCCGGACCCACAGAGCCACCCATCCCTCGGTCATCAGCCACCCCTAGTAAGGCCAGTACACCACCAGATCATCCAGAGTAGAATATCTTCCATTGATTCTCAGCATGCCGCTGTGTCTCGTCTCTTACTGCCCCGACTCGGCAGAGCGCACCGCTGCCACCATCAACGCCGACTATTGGTAAGATCTACACTCTCCAAGAACCTGGGACACAGCTGATCCTCGTAAAGGTACAAAGCCCAGCACTGGGCACGTACAACAGCCATCGGCTGCCTCATTCTGATTGCGCTCCTGGGCATCCTGAATAGGAGCCGCCAAAATGTCTCGCGTCGCCCTCGTAAGCTGACGGCAGCTCTTCGAGCTGTCGGATATCCCCACATCAAATGTATCGACCTCAGTCTCGGTTTCGTCCTTGTAAGCTCGGTGACTACTGCATCTAAAAAGAAAAAAGCTGACGTGTGCGTCCAGGGCTGTTTCACCCTCTTCATTGCGCTCTTCATCTGGTGTTTTCAGACCAAGCCGTACTACCGACCTGGTGTCGAGTACGGCAGCGCTCCTCTTGGTATTAGGACAGGCTATATCGCTACTGCTCTCGTTCCTTTCGTCTTTGCCATGGGGAGTCGGATCAACCCTCTGGCGTTTGTCACGAGGATTGAAGCATCAAGGTGGATGCTGTGGCATCAGTATGGCGCAAGGGTCATTCGTACGTAAAGACGCTTGTTTATGGGCTTTACTGACCAATTTGTAGTGTTCTTCTCCGTAATCCACACATTCGTCCTCCTATACGCTCCATACCGACAAGGCGGCATCTCGTGGACCAACGCCTACTGGTCCAAGAGCAACAAGTGGGAGAATTTCTTCAACATGGACGGTGTCATGATCAACGGCGCGCTAGCCATTGCAGCTCTCTTTTGGATCGTCTTTTCCAGCTTTGCCAAGATCCGCAACTGGTACGTCCCCCCCCATCCAATTTGGAAAGACCTAACATCTAGGGGTAGGAACTATGAATTCTTCATCCTCCAACACCTCGCCTCCATCCTCATCTTTACCATCTCACTCTGGCCCCACGTCAAAGTATCCATCCCCGACGCCCAATACTATGTCTTTGCTTCCGTTGCTACATGGTGTTTCTCCATCGCCGTCCGGGCGGGGTGGAACTTTATGGAAGCTGCGGGTGTTGGCAAATGGAGTGGGACGGCAAGTTTGCATGGGTTTGGGGCGGATGAAGATGGGAGAGGGGGGGCTACGAGGTTGGTCATCAAGACCAAGCGAGGTGGATGGGAGGTGGGGCAGTATGTGTACTTGTGGGTACCCGCTATCAACCCTTTTGTACGTCCGTCAAATCCTCGAGAGCTCATCCGCTGACATGGCCCAGCAATCGCACCCATTCACCATCGCATCCTCGCCCCCAACGAACCCCTCCACCCCTTCCCCTCTCAACCTCCTGATATCCACCCGTTTAGGCCTCACCAAGCGCATAGCACAACACGCCTTATCCAACCCCTCCCGCTCCATCCCCGTCGTCGTCCAAGGTCCCTTCGGTGGGCTTATGGAAGACCTCAAGAGGTTTCACAATGTGTTGGTTGTTTGTGGTGGGGTGGGAGCTGCTATGGGATGGAGTACTGCTAGTCAAGTTGGGAGACATGGGAAGAACGTCAGATTGATTTGGAGTATGAAGACCATTGGTACGTTTCTCCTCTTTACCCGCACTGAGTCTCGGGGCTCTGAGAAGTAGGCTGATCAAGAGCAGATTGTCTTTCATGGTTTGAAGAAGATTCTTCATTCGACCGTTCCAACCTCACCATCCACATCACCGGCACCGGTGCCCCATCATCTTCATCCCATCCCAAACGCCTCAGTACTGAAAAAACACTCGCCGAGATCGAAGCCGGCCCTTTGAGTACCAAAGAAGAATCATCACAAACACCATTTACCGCCCAGACAGCAAGCTCGACAGGGGACGAAGAAGAGAAAGACCTCTTACCTTCTACCGCCTCGCCCAATCTGGTGTATGAACGATGTAGAATCAACGAGACTGCACGAACAATTGCTTCTCAGATGGACGTTGGAGAAAGATTAGCAGTCATCGGTAAGCTCCTCCATCCCACGCTTCGCGAATAAAATACTGACACAAGGTAGTATGTGGACCAGTGTCGATGCTGGCGGATACTGCCAATGCTGTTGCCTCGTTAGAATGGGATATCGCAAGAGGAAAGAGCTCTTTGGGAGAGGTGTGGATGCACAAGGAGAGGTTTGGATGGTAAGTCGTGCTTTTTGGGGTTTTGCAGTACATGGATGATGCATTTGCCGACTTTTGACCTTTGCGCATTTTCTCCCGAGAACCAAGCTCAGCATGGGTATACAAATGTGCAATACATGTCATATCAAATCGCCACACTCAACATAAAACGAGAATCGATACAAAATACTCTCAACAGCAAGTCCGTCATGTGCTAATGAGTCAACACTACAATCCCTCTCTCCCTATCCTACTTGATAAAGACAAACGAAACAACCAACATCACCGCCGCAAACACCATCCCCGGAATCGCCACGATCGCCGCATGCCTGCAATACCTCACCATCGGCTCTTCATGCGTCCACCAAGACTCCTTCTTCCCCATCCCGGTCTCAGATAGCTGCGTCTTCTGTCCCACCATATTCCCCCTCAAGTCTGTAGACTGTTGCCCAAGCAAAGCGGTAGGACTCGAAACGGATTCATGAAAAGGGTACGAGCTCCTGTTGGGTGTGATAGGGATAAAGGGCGTGCCGGTTTCGAAATCTACCGAAGTGTGGGGTGTTGATCGTGCTTGAGATCTCGTATTCGACTTGGGGCGTTGTCGACGTTCCACCTTGTCCGACGAAGGGTATACCCACCATCCACCAATGATCCAGAAAACGGGACAGATGAACCCCAAAACAAACATCCACCTAGCCATCTCCTCTTCCCTAGTCTTCACCTTTGCGCCCTTCAACCAGCTCTCTCCAGCCCTCTCTACATCCTTCTCTTGAGGGGCAAACGGTGCGGGAGCAACTTGCATCTTGACAGGCGTCCAATCGGCGGGGCGAGAGAGGTATTTGGGGTCGACTTGGCTGGGCCAGCGGGAGAGGCGGATGGAGTTGATGGGTACGGGAGGACGGGTGCGTCTTTGTCTTTCGGTGCCGAGGGTGGCGGCGATTTCGCTGGTGTCGGATGCGAATGAATCGTTCTGTGTCTGGTTAGCTTTGCAAAACAAGCCGGGCAGGAATAAGGCAACGTACCACAGCGCCTTCTGACTCGTCATGATCCTCCAAAGGATGCTCAACATGCTCAAACGAGAAGCGCTTGACCTTGACGACATCAGAGAGATCCAATCCACCCGTATTAAAGTCTTGCGTCAGGCGAGGAGCAACGATATCGGTATAGCCATCCTTGGGAGCCCTAGATGGGAAGATACTGGTTTGGGAACTTCGGGTAGAGGCGGGGATGTCGACGCGGAGGGGACGAGAAAAGTTGAGTGATCTGTCGAGGGATGTATCGAACTTGCCGCTCTCACCACCTCTCAGAGTTGTATCTTCCTCTTCCACTGTTGCTTTGCCATCACTACCCTCGCGCGATCCGTCCTCAGAGAAGAACGCCTGAAGCTCTTCGAGCTTATCGATAATCTTCCCCTTCTCCCCTCCCACCCCACCGTCCGCTGCCCCCTGAGCAAGCAGCGTCGCCCTCGCAGACCTCACAGCCATATTCACCTTCTCCCTCGCACAGCTCTCTACAAACGACGCCTTACTCTCCCTCGTCATGGCCGGGAACCTCTCCCTCTCCGTCCCCTCCGCCCCGATATACTCGAGCAGCCACCCGAACTCTTGGAAAGCGTAGAATGTTTTGGCGGTAGCTGTAGAGTCGCGAGTGTTGTCGGTGATGGTAACTTGGGGGACTTGGAGGAATTGGGCGGATGGAGTGCGAGAGGCTGCGGCGTGGGTGGGGATGGGGCTGGGGGTGAGAGCGTTTCTAGGACGGTCGGCGTCTGCGCAGAGGGATTGGATGCACTCGATAGCAAGAGGCAGGAGAGGATCATGTTTGTTGCTGATGGGAGTGAGGTCGGGTGGCATTCCAGCGCCCGAGACAGCGGGGCTGGCAGAAGAAAGACCAGACTGGGGCTTGGTGTGGATTGTAGTTACCGGATGATGGCTACCGTCCCTCTCTCGGCGAGAGATGGTATACGAATGACAGTAAGGCAGAGACGTGTACATCTTTAGCCTGTCCGGGGAGCTATACGTCTGTTGCTTGGTCGGAGAGAACTGCGGGAAACGGCTAAACTCCGGCAGCCTCGTCATGGGTGACGCAGGAGAAGGCGGCTGAGCTCTCGGCCGTTGAAAGCGGGGAGGGGAAGGGTGCTCTCTGTGCTGGCTTAGTGGCGGAAGAGGAGGGGTGCGAACGCTGGGTCTCTGGGTAGCGGTCCCGACGGGAGACTTGGAGAAGGGGTCCGAGTAGGTTTGACTGAGCTCGGAGTAGGGGACGGCATTCTTTTCGAGGTCGCAAGGAGGGTCGTCGGTGCGCACAAAGAGATGCTCGGGGCTCGTCAGCCTGGATCTGGAGGGGGCGGGAGAGGCTTACCTTGACAAAGGACATCATCGTGTCTTGTCGTGAGGGAGAGGTGGTGAGAGGTGTATAGGCGACTGTGGTCGGGGTGGAGCAGTTTGAGTAGAGCAGTGGAGCAGGTGTGGGAGAGAAGAGGAAGAAGATGGATGGGGGCGTGATTTTATGCACCCCTGTGGCAGTCCCTACCTGCGCCCTGGACCCTGGATCTGTTCCAGACGCTCACTTTTGGTGGGAGACGCGGTGCGAAAGCTGAAGGGCTTGTGTCGAGCCAGGGTGCGAAAGGCAGGCGGGATGAGGCGGGGGGCAGCCATTGCCGCCTCAATTTACTTCCGTTCATAGTATACTATGTACGTATTAGCGTAGAGGTGAGCACCCTAGCGTACCGAATATATGTTAGGGAATGGCAGATTGGCAGCTGGAGCATTCTACACCTTGCATAGACTAGACAGTGCTATAGGGAGTATTCAGACTGCTATGTACGCCTTAACGAACATCGTTCGGTTGACCGAGGCGATGATGACCTGCCACTTTATGGGCGCCCGTCTCTCTTGTACACAACTTTTGAGAATGTTTTCTGTATGCAAGTGACAATACCGCAACGATATACAGCAATGATCATACACCGGGCACGATAGGATCTACGAAGATAGAGAAGAGTAAAAAGAAACAAAAAATGGCGCCACCCGGGATCGAACCAGGGACCGCACGAATGGAATCCAAAAGCTGAACTTCAGTCGTGCGCTCTCCCAACTGAGCTATGTCGCCGTAGATGTAACCTTGCAATTCTGCTTCCTTATAACGAACAACAATCGATAGCTCCGTACCCTCACTGTACATTACACGGTTCAAAGAGGGGCCTGTACATTCCCAAGCGTTCGAATGCGGGTGGCGGGGTGCTCCATCTTCAAGAGGCTCATGACGGCGTCGGTAATTGGACAAGCGAAAGAGGTGATGACGAGAGTATATACTGTAGAGTACTTGCCGCTCGTATCGACCTGGAATGGGAAACCAGCGCTATCCCTCTCAGCTTATTATGTTTCCTCAAATACAATGTCAAAACAGGGGAATCAACAGGATCCGGAGGGTGTCGCCAAAACCCCTCTTCAAGACCATCCAAAACGCAGGAAATGTCCGAACCTGTCAATCCAGGCGCTCCACCTGTATATCTCATGCCAAGTGCCTCCACGATCTCGTAAAAGTGCTCTGGGTTCAGTCGGATGATGGGTTTCATGGTATTGATGGTGCTGGCGTCGGGGATTCCCCAGTAATGTCGGCAGGCTTCCAGCGCGACAAGGGTGACGTCTACAAGGGAGGTGGCACACCAAATGCGGGATGACAGTCTTTGATATTCCGGGGAATGAGAGGCGTTTCCTGTCCCCCATTTGGAGTCTGCTGTATAATGTGCAGAAGCGCTCTTCTCGCAAGATGGCACATACATTTGTAGATACTTTGGGTTCTGCTATGTATTCTGGGAGTGCGAGATCATGTTCCTGCTTGTTTGAATGCTCCTAATAGAGCCTGAGTGATGCTGGAGTATAGTTGACGACGACACTGCGAGAATAGCGGGAGAGAGTGGAAGCAGCTCGTCGGGACGAAGCAGGGTATTTGGCCAGGGGGAGGGTGGCGAGACGCAAACATGTCGCCCGATTGCTGTGCTGGGGGGGTATCAGGTGAGGTACATAGATTGAGATTGTGACGATTGGAGAACGGGTTGGGTTGCGAATTGACTTGGTTGTCGGTTGAGATCTGAGAAGGGTGTGGCTGAGCGGCATCAAATGCGTCATCACTTGGGCGTGGTGATTGTTCGTTGACGCCGCTACTCTTTTTTTATTCCATTCATCACCACAAGCGGCCATCAAAGATTTGAGCCTCAGAGGTATGTCGCCGTGCATGAAATCCACGCGACTGTTTCCATGTCAGCAGCTCCGTCTTGTGCTCACGCGTGATCTTGCGCGTTGTGTAGCACCATTCTTTCGAGGAAAGGTACTCTACCAATACATGCAAGAAGTCGCAATATGGAGAAACAGCTACGGTATGCTTCGACTGTACATGCTTCCATCAGAGAAGGGGGCTGATTCCAGCAAGGAGCTCTGTGATTTGTGACTTGCTTCGGACTGATTGCCGAGAGAGCCACGTTTGATCAGCCTCTAGCACCACCCAGCCAAACCCACGGATCCCCACCACTTGCACAAAAATCATACGCGAAATCACCTGACCATTCGCCATGGATCAGCCGGCTCGCACCTGCGTGCATGCTCGGCGAGAAAAGAACAGCCTATGAAAAGAAGACAGAAGCCAAACAAACCCCCCTTAAGCGCGGATGGAGGCAATCCCGAGCGAGGCGACCAAGCGACGGCAGTCCCGACCCTGCCCCGCCGAAAGGTCAAATATCTCGCAAGCGGAGGGCCAATACGCGTTTAGACGCATGGGCATGGGTTATTGTTTTCGAATGCATTTTCGAAGAGGAGATATAAAGGTCAGATAATGGGATAAGGTGATCGGACGGAGGACATGGCGAGTTCGAAATGACGCGAGAAGCGGCAAGAGGGGTGCAGAGATGGTGGGGTACAGGGAGGTCGTATGCATGGAAATGAGGCCTTCGAGCTGCATCCAGAAGCCACGAAGCATGGGATCGTACTCGTCCAGCAGCACGCAGAAGACGCCGACAGACGTTGGCGAGGGGAACCAAAGAGATCGACGCAGGGTCTTGGCTGGTCATTTTCGAATCCGCTTGAGCGTGGAGGTGGTCACCGGGCCAGCCGCGAGGTCCACTTGCTCTGTTGTTGCCATATAAAGCCATATCTTTTCCCTTTCTCCTCTCCACCATCTACCGACTGTGAGTCCGATCTCCCTCCTTTCACCCCCTGCGACCACCGACTCGGGTGTGCCTGCGATAAGCTATCTCCACGGTATCTCGCATCCTCGGCGTCTCTACTCGTTTTTTTATGCCCCGCTTGTTATCACGTCCTTTCTCTCAACCTCTATATAATCCGTCGCCCTCCCTCATTCTATCTCTTCCCCCTCATCTATACATATCACCAAGCATCACAGCTGACATTCCCCAGCCACCATGTCCACCCCAACACATAGCGGGGACGTAAGTCCACTCTGTCTCCCCCCTTTACCCAACTAACATCTCCCAGGCCCACGCCTCACTACCAGCCCAGCTGAACAAGCTCCTCTCCGAAGAGGGTGCCCGTACACCTAACGGTGGCAACAGGATACGAAAGGACACCATGTGAGCATCTTTCCTTGTTTATCAGTGTGCTGTGGCTTGTGGTTTGTGCGTGGGAGGTGCAGCTGGCATGTGTTTGGGGGAGGGCCCGGGCGTGGTCGATCAGGGTGCAGATGGTGCCGTGGAGGCTGTTGGTGACCACGGCGTCGGCGGCGCCGGTCTTGACGCCGGGTGGTGATCGAGTCTTGGTGACGTGCTGGGGAGCTATTATTGGCCCTCGGCGTGACAGACGGCATCTCGGTCCTGGAGCCAGGTCTGCGCTGGTATGCGTCTTGACGACGTTGCCAGCGATACCCTTGAGGGGTCTATGCGGGTTACTTATGGGGAGGCAGAGGCAGAAGTGGAGGCCGGTGACGGCGCGCGAGATGGGCCTGGTGAGCATTGCGACGATGGCGCCGAGCTCTAGTCATCGAGCATGCCTGTGTGGCAATCTTGGGCGTGCGCTGTGTATTGGATCTTCAGTCTTCAGCTCCTGATATAGAAGTCGGTGCCCAGAGACCAATCACTGACATGACATGCAGCGGCTACAAGTCCTCCCCATTCCCTCTCAAGGCCGAGCAGCAAGCGTCCGTCACTCGAATACTCTCTGAGAGCGGGTTTATGCCCCAAGAACTCGTCGATGGCGAAGTAAACTGGTTCTACAACGCTCTTGGTATGTCCCCTGCACCTGCCAAAGGCCTTCACTAACGCTCTTCTAGGTATTGAGAACTCGTATTTCCTCTGGGAAAAACCCGAGGCCATTGCCGACCACGTCCTTGCCCTCTACTCTGCCAAACTCCTTGCCTATACCAAGCACGACCCCGAGCAGCTCGTCATAGACCTCGAAAAGATCATTCCCGAGGGTGTCGACAAGTCTCGCGAAGGTGCCGTCTGGATTCACTCCTCCAAGGCTGGTATCTCTGCCCGAGACGGCCCTGGCGCTGCTGTGGAGAAGCGTATCGACGAGCTCTACCTCGACGAGTCATCACGTGAGAAGGCGTACAGGCTCGAGACCTACCGCTCTGCCGGCAGCATCTCTTCCACCATCTCCCAGCAGCTCCGATGCTACTTTATCTCCCGATGCTCCTTCCCCAACTCTCCCCCCGTCAAGACCCCCGAGGGCACCACCGACATCCGTTCCGTCTCTGACGCTTCCTTCCTCGAGAAGGCTTCCGAGAACACCCTTGAAGTGTATCAGCGCGTCATGAACGAGGTCGAGCAGCGCTACGGACCCGTCATCGAGATGTTTGAAGTCGAAGACTCGCGGGAGAGGAGGATCGTCATTGGTTACAAGATGGGCGGTACCCACAAGTTCTTCTCCGCCTTGTCCGACTTGTACCACTTTTACGGGCTGTACTCTGCGCGCAAGTATGTGGAGCAGTTCTCCAACGGCGTCACCATCATTTCGATGTACATGAACCCTGTGCCCAACACAAGGGCGCCGCCTATCGAGCACTCGATCCACCAGGTCGTGCGAGAAGCGTCTCTGCTTTACGTCCTCCCTGACAACCCCTTCTTCTCTGTCACGGAAGACGAGACCAACCACGCCGTGCAGGAGGCGACGTACGCCTACGTCGGATGGATCTTTGCTCAGCACTTCTGTAACCGTCTTGGTCAGGCTTACATTGCGTTGAAGAATGGTAAGTTGCTTCTTGATATGGGGCTCTTGCTGATGACTCGTAGTGCTTGACGAGGCCAACCCCGACCACGCCGAGGTTCTCAACAAGATCAAGATGAGGTTCAGGGAAGAGACTTTTACTCGTGAAAGCATCAGGGAAGTCATCCAGAACCACCCCGACTTGATCAGGATGCTCTACATCAACTTTGCGATGACCCACTGTAAGTACTCCCTCGTCAGATGGAAAACCCGCTGACACACAACAGACCCCGCTGCGGACGAGGCTTCCCAGCTCACCCCCACTCTCTCCTTCCAGCGCCTCAAGACCGAGCAACCCCTCTCGGACGAAGACCTGCACGCCCTCATCCGCAAATCCGCGGCCAACCAACACGCCGTCCAAATCCTCGAAGCCTTCCTCATCTTCAACCGTCACGTCCTCAAATCCAACTTTTACCAACCGACCAAGGTCGCGCTGTCTTTCAGGCTCGACCCCTCGTTCTTGCCCGACGTCGAGTACCCAAAGATTCCGTTTGGAATGTTCTTTGTGGTCGGTGCCGAGTTTAGGGGTTTCCATGTGAGGTTTAGGGATGTGGCCAGGGGTGGTATCAGGATTATCAGGAGTAGGGGCAAGGAGAACTACAACTCGAATGTGAGGACGTTGTTTGATGAGAACTATGCGTTGGCTGCCACGCAAAACTTGAGTGAGTGTGCTTTTGTTGCGGTGAGGCGGGGCTGATGGTTTGTGCAGAGAACAAGGATATTCCTGAAGGTGGTGCCAAGGGAACGATCCTTCCCAGTCTCGGTGCCAACATCCAGCAGGCCTTTGAGAAATACGTCGACGTGAGTCATCTCATCTTTATGATAAAACATTGCTAATATTGTTCAGTCTATCATCGACCTCTTGATCCCCGGCACTACCCCCGGTATCAAGGGCAAGATTGTCGACGTCACCAAGCGCCCCGACCCCGAGATTCTCTTCTTCGGCCCCGACGAAAACACCGCCGACCTGATGGACTGGGCCGCCGAGCACGCTCGATCCCGAAACGCCCCCTGGTGGAAGTCTTTCACCACCGGCAAGTCTGCCGAGAAGCTCGGTGGTATCCCCCACGACATTTACGGCATGACCTCCCTCTCTGTGAGGCAGTACATCCTCGGTGTGCTCAAGGCCCACGGGTTGAACGAGAAGGATGTTACCAAGTTCCAGACTGGTGGTCCCGATGGTGATCTTGGCTCGAACGAGATCTTGTTGAGCAAGGACAAGACGGTGGCAATCATTGATGGGAGTGGTGTCCTGTATGATCCCTCTGGTCTTGACAGGGGAGAGCTGGTTAGGTTGGCCAAGGCGAGGAAACCTATTGATGGGTTCGACTCGAGCAAGCTTGGCGAGGGAGGTTACAAGGTGTTGGTGGATGACAAGGACTTTAAGCTGCCTAGTGAGTCTCATCCCCGCTTTACAGAATTGTACTGACATTCTCCAAGCCGGCGAGATTATCCCCGACGGTACCGCTTTCCGAAACACCTTCCACTTCCGCGTCAAGGCCGACCTCTTTGTCCCCTGCGGTGGTCGTCCCGAAGCCGTCAACATCTCCAACGTCAACCAGCTCGTCGACGCCGAGGGCAAGCCCCACTTCAAATACGTCGTCGAGGGTGCCAACCTTTTCTTTACCCAGCAGGCAAGGTTCTGGCTGGAGATGAAGGGCGTGGTGCTGTTCAAGGACTCGAGTACGAACAAGGGTGGTGTGACGAGTAGTTCTTTGGAGGTGTTGGCCGGACTGGGTTTGAACGATCAAGAGTACATCAACCAGATGATCTTCAAGGACGGCAAGTCGTCACCGTTCTGTAAGTCTTTACTTTCCCCTTGTGAGCCATGCTAATGTGGCACAGACCAATCCTATGTCAAGGACATCCAACAAAAGATCTGCGAAAACGCCGCTGCCGAATACACCTGTATCACCAAGGAGTGGTACCGCCAAAAGGGCTCCAAAGCCCGCACCACCATCTCGGATCAACTATCCTCCACGCTCAACCAGCTCCAACATCAGCTCGAGCTGAGTGATTTGTATGATAACGTGGAGAGCAGGAAGAATGTGTTGCTGCAGGCGATCCCGAAGACTTTGGTGGACAAGGTTGGGTTGGATGTCTTGATGCAGAGGTTGCCCGAGCAGGTAAGTCTCACCTCTTCCTGAAGAGTCTCAAGCTGATCGGATGACAGTACCAACGAGCTGCTTGGTCCGCCTGGGTTTCATCGCACTACATCTACGAGTGCTCAATGGAAGCCTCCAACGTCGACTTCTTCCACTTCTTCTCCAAACTTTCTGTTTAGAGTGGTTGTCGGATGTAGGTCTGCGCGTTAATTGTGAAAATAGAAAAAAGAAGACATCCCCCCATTGTTTGTAACTATACATACCTCTATCCCAAAGAAAAGAAGAAAACCCCCAGAGTAGTGAAGAATCAGAGTTTTACATGCTCCCGTCTATTATGCATAGCATATCTGCCCAAAACGATACCGTAGATGGTTGTTCAGTCGTTTCTGGATATACATGATACAGAATCACGAGATGTTCACCGGAAACGGAGAGAGAGTCATTGTACCGTACAAGAGTCAAGGCGTTCGTTACGCTCGGGGCGGACAGCGCCGAACTTGCAATTGTGTTTGATTTTGACTTTGCTCGACGGTATCTCTGCGACTATCCACATTTTACCTCACGTCAATAACACCCCTTTGTCGATCCGATATCGCCCGTCGTGCGTATCTACTGCTAATCCGCCCTCCCACTTCTGACGGTCATTGCGCAGGAAAATGGCGAATCCCACTCCCTCTCACGGCGCCGGCCAGACTTCCACCAAGCTCGATGCAGGAGCTCTTATCCGCAAAGCGATGATATCAGATCTGGCTCAAGTGATAGAGATGATCACTGAGGAGGGCGAAGAGATGGATCGATTGCTCGCCGAAAATGAGCAGCTTCGCAACGAGCTCTCCAAGCGCCCGGCCCCTGCTGCCGCCTCTACCGAGCAACCTGAATTCTTCTCTTCGCGCGTTAGCAGCGCCTATAGTCGAATCACCATCCCCTCCAACAACCCTGCCCTTGCCTGCAAGGCCCCTTCTCCCGCCCACAGCTCTTCCCATCCTTTCAACTATTGTCCCGCCTTCCAAGCGCCCATGCGAAAAGATTGTTTCTTCGACGGGACACCCACCACCTATTTCGACTTTATCGAGAAAGCAGAATTCTGTTTGGAGATCTGGCCAGCGGGGAAGCACGCCGCGTGTATGGTCACCTGGGTCGCCCAGCATCTGTCGGGTCCGCCCTTGGATTGGTACCATTGTCTGGTGCGCGAGAAACATCCTGCCCTCCGCTCATGGTCCGCTTTCAAAGCGCACTTTGAAAAGAAGTATCGCACCTACGACGAGATCCTCGCTCTCGAGCGCAAATGGAACGAAGTCAAAATGGGCGACACCTCAGTCGAAGTTCATAACCTCCAGTTCTTTTACTTTGCCAGAGCTCTCAGGTTCCCCCTCGACGGCCCCGCTATGCGTAGTAAATACGAACACAGCCTTAGGGACGATATCGGGAAAATGGTGAGACTGGAACGGTTGCGCGATAAGGGGAAGTGGGAGAGAATGACTGCTGAGGATGTTGCTGCTATGGCCCTGGAGCTGGGCGAATGGGTGGCCTATTCTGGCCTCGCGGAGGTCGACGAAGATGACGAACTAGATGGGCCTTTCGTCGAACTCGGCGAGGACTTGGTTATGCCCCCTTCCCCCTTCCACCTTTTCATGTCCCGCCCTCCCCGTCCTACCCCTACCGCACAAAGCCGTGCAGCTCCTGCCCCTTCCGCCCGTGCAGCTCAGAGCCAAACCATCCGCGTAACTCACGCCTCCGTCATCCAACCCCAACCCTCCCCTACTACCGCTCCCAACGACCCCGACCCGCGTCCTCTAAACGCCAGAGGACCTCTTACCAAAGTAGAACGAGAGTGGAGGGAACGTAATGGGAGGTGCACGTATTGTAATCAGCAGGATCATGGGGTGGAGAGTTGTGCGAAGAAGGCGGGGAGGATAGGGAGGAAGGGGAGGAGGGGTGGTAGATGAGAGTAATGAGTTTGTTAGTTGTCGGTGCTCCCGCTTATTGAGCTTTGAGATGTAACCAGTATGTATGGCATATCTGTCCAGAATGAAACAGTCGATGGTTTTCAAGACGTTCAGTGTAGACATATACGAGCTAATTTACAATGCGTTCGCTTCTACATCTCCCACCCTCTCCCATCTAACCCACCCTACACCTTCTCAGCTCTCCCCACACCTTCCTCCCTACCATCCCTCAAATCATCCGCCGCACTCCGCACCTTCTCCAACCCTTCCGCCCCGGGCACAGCAGCAGCAGTCTTTCGCTCAAGTTTGAACGGTTCGATGAGATCGACCAATTGTGGCCAGAGCTTATCGAGCGCAGCGTTTTGTTTTGAGGTTTCGATAGGACATTCGTCGCCGGCATCGGAAGAAGAAGAAGACGAAGAGGGAGAAGAGGGAGAAGAAGAAGAGGCAGATATGATGGTGGTGGGGGACGAAAATGCAGATGCAGAAGAAGCAGCGTCAGAACGGGATGCCTGCTTCGTAAAAGCCGAGGTGGCTGGAGCGGAAAGTACCTCGTCGGATGATGAACCAGAGATCGAGTGTAATGACTCGGGATAGTTTTCTTCAAAGTACTGTGTTGGGGGTGGAATGATTGTCAGCGGGGGCTTGGATAAGAATGAGGGGAGGGAAGGAACGGACCTCGAGTAAGGGGGCGGTGGATTCGTAGTAAGCTCGTAATCTCTTGGAGAACGTTTCCTGATATGTCGTCAGCGGGCGAATCAGATCGCTTCAGAGATACTTACAGGAGTATCGTCAGGTCGTTTCGTAAGAGATTCGCCGGTCACGTCGTCTTTCCCAGGGACCTTGGGTGCAGAGTATGTGGTGTTGTATACTCGACCAGAGGGGAGGTGGACCCACCGCGCTATTTCGACATAATCGTCAGCAGTGTGTACACTTGCGTCATAACTCAAAGATGATTGGTTGCGTACCTGCTATACGGGCCATAATGACAGAATCAGGAACGTTCAAGTGTACGACCATGTTGAGTGGCCGGTTCTCTTGATTCAGAACGTTGTCTAGAAGTTGACCTTGGTGCAATGTCCGAGGAAAGCCGTCGAGGATGAAACTCTGTAAAAAGATGAGCGACACGTTCTGCGGTAGACGGTGGGTGGATCTTACCTTGCCTTTCAGCCGATCAAGCTCTGCCTTGACGATCTCCAGCATGAGCTCATCAGACACCAGGCCTATTTCGTATTATCAGTATACAAAGAGGCAGCCATCTCAAGCCTGGACTTACCTCCAGAAGCGACGATAGACTCGGCCTTCTTGCCCACCTCAGACTTGTCAGCTATCTCTTTCCGGAGCACGTCTCCAGTCGATACGAAAGCAATGTCATAATGCTCGATTAGCCTGAAATATGATAGTTAGTAGGTTTCGATGCGAAAATGGAGATACAAAAGCATACCGAGAGCTCAAAGTACCCTAGACCCGTCGTCAGCTAAATCATCCCCAACGAATAAAAGCGCCAAGATCACACACCTTTCCGCTCCCCGGCTTTCCAAACACCAACATTCTCAGCCCCTTCTCCTCTACACCATCATACAGTGGACTGTGGAGAAACTCTGTTGCTTGACGAAAAGTATCGCGCAGGGAAGCGACCGTGTCTGAGACTGCCGAGGCGACCTGGGAAGTCGCTGAGGTGGAGGCGGAGGAGTGGTTGAAGCGGGAGATGGGGCGGTATGTCCGTGTAAGGGCGAGTGATCTGGGGGCTGTCCGTGGTCGTAGGAGGGTCATTGTGGAAAGTGAATGTAGAGATTGAAGATACATTTGACCGGGAAGAGAACCCCATCTGGGCCGGTCCGAAGCCGTGGGGCGGTGATCGCCGCATGTGAGTGACGTTTTGTTGACATTTCATTAGTTTGACACCTTTTCTGAAGAATCTTCCAGGTATTTCTGCTGCTTTCATTCCCAGATCAATGTCGTCGAGTACGCCCACTACAGCTAGCTAGTTGATACAGGTTCTTCTCTTGGCCACCTCCTCATTAAGTATGCACTGCATCGAGTACAAAGTGTCACGCTTGGGCCTTCGATTCTGTTTGCATCTTGAAATGGTTTACATATACTCTTCCCCAGAAACGACAACGTCACCATTCTATGGACGCTTCACCCCCTCCATCACCTTCCCTGCCACCGCTCGCTCCCCCTCACAGCCATCACAGCCATCCCTCCGCCCCAGCTGTCCCTCTCCCCGCCCCCGAGTGTCGGCCAGACTATGAACGCAGCCGAATCGGAGCTCCTTCGCCAATATGCAGCGAAGGTACATGAGCTTTGTCAGGCAATGAGTCTGGGGAGCGCTCAGCGGGTGGCCGAGCTACGCGCGCAGGAGATTGGTCTGGTCGTCTCTTTTGCGCTTTACTAGACACTGAGTATATCCTCTGACTTCTCGGTCGGTCAAGTCTCAGTCCACTCATGATGATAGCAATGTAACGTTCACTGTCCTCCATGCCACCATTCACTACATCAAATTCAACAACACCCTTCTCAGTGCTGGGTGGATTGGTCGGGTCTATAGTAGCTGGGATGTCGAGGTCGGGGTAGTTAGTGGTGGCCAGTATCAGGCGCTATGAACCAAATGAGCAAACAAGAGTCGGGCAGTTCAAGCCAAGCCAACTAGGACGTACTTTGTGAGGGAAAGCCGGCGGAAGACAAGGCTGAAGACAAGTGCGATAGGTGGTTTGAATGGTCAGTATATATAGCCGGGTATATAAGTGGAGATCAGTCACTCCTGCCGGGTCCAAGGACAGTCAAAAGGTAACGGCAGGGTCGCAGCCTGCCCTCTTGGCCATTACTTCTAATGCAAGCTATGCATGCGCTCTTCTCCAGAACGACATCCCAAGTGTCAACAAGTCTCTATGCACGAATGTGCCTTGTGCCGCCCTGAGCTGCCCCGGGACGATCAGCCTCAGATCTGGTCATCTGGACTTGATATGCCGTAAAATGCGCAACCGCCAAACACGCAAGAAATCACTCGCGTCTCTGCTCTTCTCTATCATTTCCCCCTCGCCACCCCCTATAATGCTCCCCCCCCAGCGTCCCACTGGCGCCCCCCGACAATCCTTCCACCAAGTATAATAAACACCGAAAAAAGCAATCCAAAAAGTAAAGGTGGACCCCCGCCAATCCTGTCATTACCCCTGTGTTTGTGTCTTGATGTGAGTCGCCTCTCGTCGTCCTGGCGACCCGCTGACGGCCATGCAGCCTTAATCATGTCCACCTCCCTCGCCCCCCTCCCTTCTTCCTCCTCATCATCCTCCCTATCCCAACGACGGTCCTCCCTCCCCGCCGCACTCTCCACCCCTCTCCCCTCCACTCCCTCTGCACGCCGCCCGCGGACGTCGAAAACACCTCTCTCCGTCCAACTTTTCCAGAAAAAACATCTTTCAGAATTCCCGCATCTGTATAGCATACCAGATCCAGATGAGCAGGAAAGACTCATGGAGCAGGAGCGGGAGGCGTTGGAAGAGGCGAGGAGGATAGGAAGGTTTATGAGGGAGAGTATTTTGGCCAAGGGGGAGGAGCTTGTCTCGCCTGTCCAGACACCCAGAGGCGTTTCTCGTCCTCTGAGTCTAACAGCAGACAAGCCCTTCTCCCTGGCCGAAGCTGCAGAAATTTCGTCGCCGAGAAAGAGTCGCAGCAGGCAAGTTTCGTCGAATGTTTGGGCGGCTCGTCGCTGACAGACTTTTCAGCCCTTTCGACCCTGTTGAACAGCTGTCATCACAGAAAGCTGCCAGAGGATCATTCGACGATGTTAACAGGCGTGTTCCTCGTCCGTTGAGTCTACTGACAGGCAAACCGCTTGTGACCCCGTCAGCTCGAGTGACATCACCGACTCAAGAGCTTCAGAGGTACGAATTTCAAAAGCTGTCAGAGCCCAAACTAACAAATGGCTGTAGCAGCGGGCGACGTCCGCTCAGTCTACTCTCGCGAAGACAGCTGGAAAGCCGGCCTATGGATCTTGTCCGAGTCAGCGAGTACACTGCCAGCGATCTTTCCTCAGCCAACAGCCTCGCTCCTCCCGTCAAATATGACATGGAACAACGCACGCCCGACCTCTCCACCCCCATCTTTTCTGACACCTACTCTCCCGACCCCACTATCGTCACCCCCGGGCGGGCTCATATCGGGCTCGCCCTGGAATTCCAGTCGCCTAATGGCGAGTCTGCGGCGGACGAGGAAGAACCGAGTTCGTCGGAAGCGAATACGTCGAATTCATTCCGCAACTCTACCTACTCGTGGGCTACGTCGTTCTCAGGAGAGACGGAAGAGCTGCGGACGGCGGCGCAGTATGTGCCGTCGCGAGCTTCAAGGGAGAATTCGGTGGAAAAGGAAGAGGTCCTTGGGACGCCGGACAGGGCCAAGCAGCGGAGGAAGCGTATCGTCGCTATCGCGCATACTGCCCGTCAGCTTGAGGGTGTCGGATCCAGAGAAGTCGAAGACCCTACGCTGTACAGCAAACTTGTCAAAGCTTGGAACGACCGCCCCGGTGTCATGCCCACCGAACCAGTCTGGACACCCGCCGAAGAGGTGCCTCCCCTCCTGCCGACGCCCTTCTCAGAAGTCCCGTCGCATATCAGCAGCGAGTCTTCCGGGCCTTTCCGGTACTCTCTTGCCTCCAGTATCCACGATTTGGGTGAAGAAGGCGCGGTTGAGCGCGGGGCACAGATCTTGAGCGAAAAGGCGTGGTTAAAGACACCGTTGTACAGCTCTGAAGCGTACTTTGGCGCACACTCGCCTTCGCAGCCCTTCCCGTCGTCTTCATTCGTCCCTCCAAAGAGGGGAAGGGATGTCAGTAATTCGTATGAAGCCCGTGAGAGCTTGCAAAGCGAAGAAAGCGAAGAGGAACGAGGCCCGCCTGTGGTGACCCCAAAGAGGGTCGTCAGGAGGGTCAAGACCGACATCTCTCAACTAAAGGATGCCAAGATGGATCCCTCCTCTTTCCCAGAAATGCCCCCTACCCTAGGCTTGGGCTTTTCGGGCACTTGGCTCATGGCGAACTACGGTGTAGGATCGAGCAGAAGCGCGGCAGGAGAGATGGGGCCGGATTTTCAGCACGGGGAAGGTGGGGTGGAGATCAAGGAGGCAAAGAAAGGGTACAAGCATCACGGCTCTATCCACTCTCTCGGCGACCTCGTGCCACAGTCACCGCGACAGCCGCAGCCGCCAGTGACAGAGGGCAACTCGTTAGAGACCATCGATCTGACGCTTTCCGCGTCGAGACCGACGAGCTGTTACAACACTCCCGCAGGTCGGCGCCATCGCCAGTCACTAGACTGCGACCTACCACCGCCGCCGCCGCCAGCGCGAGTAAGACAGAGCACCGATTATCAACGCTCGAGCCTCTCCCGACAGCCGGCTTGCTGGACCCCCTCGATTACCTCCTTACCACAACACATCGAACATCAACACCAACTGGCGCCCCCCATCGACCTCCATCTTCCGAGGACGAGGGTAGCTCATGGCTGGGACGAAATGCCCTCACCACCGCCAATTATGGCGGGGATGGGGGAGGAGATAGACAGGTCCGAAACGGAGGAAGGGGAGTGGGTCGAGGATTTGGGTTCTTATCGTTCATCGGTGATCTACTCGTACCGATCGAGATCTCCGAGTCCGAGTCAGAGCCCCCGTCTCCCCATCGCCCAGTCACCAATTCAACTGCAGCATCACCTCCAAGTACGGCCAAAGTCTGTACCTCCAACGACGCCAGTAAGGGAGGAAGATCATCTTGCCTTCCCCGATATGCTGAATATGCCTGCGAGAGAAGAAGTGGGGAGGGAGCGTGGGGAAGAGAGAGCGGAGGGAGTGTTGCGAGTCAAGAACAGACGCCCAAGTTGCGGCCCCTCCTCCTACCCAGATACGTCAGCGATGGGTGGGGCAAGAGAGGGCATGTCTGAAGGCGACAATTATGACCCGGAAAAGGCTACGGTTTCTTCCAAATCTCAGACTTCGTCTATCCTCTTTGTCTTTGGCTTCTTGATGCCACTCCTGTGGCTCGTGGGTGGATGGCTCCTCCCATCATCCTCCACCGCCCTTTACACTACTACCGAGAAGAGCGCTCGGATACCAAACTGGCTCTACCACCCCCACCCTCGTGTGTTTGCTTGCCGTGTTGCTTCTGTGATATCTATACCCTTACTGCTGATAGTGGGGATAATACTAGCGATAGTCTTGCCGCTTACACTCTAGTCCATATCTCTTCTCACACATCTATCCCGGACACTCTTTATTCCACTTTTTACGACATTTTAGGACAATTTTCAACATCTATTCACACTTATAGCAGCCCTTTGCGCGGTTGTTAGCATAGCATACACGGGGAAATTGCAGGTTGTAAGGGTTCAGTAGTCGATGCACCGTCAGTACACGACGCTACAACACGAACAGTGGCTCAACCCGCTGAGCCTCTCTACATAGTGATCCCAGGGATATCATTCATCCCGTCATACTGTATACAAACCGAAAGTTTTTGGGCTATATCGTACACTCCGTCATAAACACTCATAAGGTTGGCGAGGGGACAAGTTGGAGGAATGGGGCGAGGTGGTGGGGTCGTCTAGAAGAGATCTTCAAGAGTCATTTGCCTGCGCAAAATTAGCTACAGCGCGATCAAGGAGCTGATGGACATACTTGACAATATCCGTGCTGGAGACCATCGCGGTGAACTCTTCGAAAGAGAGCTTTCCATCTCTAAAATCCAAGTCAGCGAAGAAACGTGTGACAAAGGGAGTGCTTACCCGTCCTTGTCTGCCTCCATGATGGTCTTGTCCACGATCTGTTGCAGTTGTTGGTCCTACACGCAGTTGTCAGCTCATCCCTCCGTTTGGGGATCCGAACCCACCTTCAGATTGTTCCCAACCATCTGCTTCAGTACCAGATATAGTTCACCGTTGGAGATGAATCCGTCTCTGTCCATGTCGTAGACTTTGAAGGCGACTGTGTGAGAGGGCGACAGATTGAGGGGAGGCAATGAAGGCGAAGAGGCTTCTGTCAGCACTTGGACTTTGCAAAGACACCCTGCTTACACCTCAGCTTCTCATCCCGACCACCCTTGCTGCTGAAAGCGCTCAAGCCCCCAACAAACTCCTGAAAGTCGACAGTCCCACTCCCACTGTGATTCACGAGTCAGCCTCCGATCCCCCCCTGCACATGTCTCGCATTCAAGACCCACTCTTCGTCAAAGATTGCAATCATCCGATGCGCCAATGGGTTGTTGGCGATTTGAGGAATTTGGAGGAATTCGTCCTTGTCGATGGACCCGGAACCGTCCTTGTCCAGCTTCATAAACCTCTTCTTCAGTCGCATGAGTTCAGGCCCGGAGACTGTGGTAAGAGTGGTCAAAGAGACGCATGGTCAGCGGCAAAGCGTGGCAGGATACGGGACACGAGACGTACAGTTGGAGTTCTTCTCCAGGGAGTTGAACATGGAGGATTCGGCAGCACCCATCTTGCTGTCTGATTGAGGGATATACTGGGCAGGGCAGCGAATGAAAGAGACGTGGCGAGACGTGAAACGAATAAAGTTGTGAATATAAGAGTGAGCGATGATGCGGCGCCGCGACAACGAAAGAGAAGGCGGCGAAAGCGCGTGTGAGATGCGGTCGAAGAATAATATAATGTGCTGGTGTGCAGACTGGGTGTTGGGAACCTATCAAGGGTGTTGAGCAGTTGAACCCTAGTTGGTCCCAGTTCTAATGCACGTAGGTACATGCATTGCGAGTTGCTGAAGGCCTGAGACCAGAGGATGGGTACTGTAATTGTGCGCATCTAGCAGTGTCAACAACAGCTGATACATAGAATAGTCGCATGGCTCAGTTGGTTAGAGTGTCCGCTTCACAAATCACATCCTGGTTTTGAACTGGGATTTTGGAAGCCGCGGAAGGTCGAGGGTTCGATCCCCTCTGTGACTACTTTCTTTTTGCTCTTTGTTAAATTATGCTGAACAGCCTAGGGGATAGCCCTGCTTCTTGGGTACATCTGGATGTAGTTTTGGAGGTTGCGGCATTTTTTTGACGTGAGATATCGGTGTCAGAAAGCATAGGCCTCTTGAAGAGAGCGGCGACGGACTGTTGGTGGTACTCATCATTCTGCGTTGGGTGTCATTCTTCCTATTGTGCCGGCTTTTCTTAACCAATGAAAAGTCAGCGTGCATCTGCCCGTCGCTCGTTTCCTTAGCTCGCTCAAGAGCCCATAGCAGGGGGGCAGTCGTCATGCAGTTGATGCCATTCCAGCCCTCGACCTGACGCCGCCGCTGAGCCAAACAGCGGAGACCTCCGATGACGTTGCAGCTCTGACTTGGCTCTGACCGTCAGTACGAGCCCCTTTTCAAACGTGTTTATCACCTGTATACGTACATTGATACACATATTCCGTCTCTAATGTTGCCCCCTAAACTACGCTCAATCACCGCCGGCTTCTTGTTACTGGCGACAATCGGCACATCCACCTTCGCCATGCTCCAGCCAGAATACCCAAACTCCCTACGCTCACTCCAGAACGATAACAACCAGCTCGCCTTCAATGGCGATCCCGAAGCCAGTAGGAGGGAGACTGGTCCAGGAAAGGGGGCGGCAGGAGGGGATTTGGTGGATGCTGTGCTCGGTCCGGGGACGGCGAGCGGGCAAGTCGGAAAGCAGCAAGAAGGGCAAGAGCAGACGTCGGCGGGTAGGAAGGGGCCGACTGTGGCGGATGTGCTCACTACCGAGAGAGCTTTGAGTCTGTGGTGGGGGTACGCTAGGGATAGTGTTGAGATTGTGCGTGGTTCTCACTGTTTTGGGGGCGGTCAGAGCTGATGGAAAGCGATTCAGACGCAGCGGTTTGAATCGAAGACGCAGAGCTCTACGTTGCTTGTCCCTGTTGATCGGGCCATCATGGCTTTGACTAGAAAGCCGTGCGTTTCTTTGGGCGTTGAATCAAGTGAAGCTTATGATGTTGCAGCCACCAGCCGTCCGAGGGCTCGTCTTCCGAGGATGCCGTACTCAAGTTCATCAGCGCCCACATCATCGATGTAAGCCATCAACCATCATCCCCTGACTCTCGCTGACATGTACAAACAGGGCACACCCGAAGAGGGCCCCCTTCCTACCCTCCTCCCCGACTTTTCCGTCTACCTCGTAAAAGATGCGAGCGCAAAAGGCGGATGGCGGGTCAAGCCCGGGGATATCGAAGTGCTCGGCGAGCGGTCGGGTGTCAATGGTCGCGTGTTGTATTTGGATGAGGTGCTGCCTTATGAGAAGGACCAAGAAGTTGTCGTTTAGATCACTCATTTAACTCATCGTTGTCCTTCTTTTGTAATATCTTAGCGTTGTCCCCTTTATTATATACTTTTTGTGTGCTGCTTGTACATGTATGCTTCTATTATTACTCTTCAATAATCATACTCCCCCTGTCCATTCTGTACACTCTTCTCATCAGCGTTGGCGGGAACAGACCTGAGGAGATTTCCTTGAGCGGTGCCATTAGGTGTCCGGCTGGGTGATTCGTCCTCAAAGTATCGATCTTCGGCGTCTCTTATCGCTATGGGATCACCGCCTGGAGGATCCTCAAAGTCTATTGGAGAGTAGTCGATAGTCTGAGGCTCTTCATCAGCTTGACATCCTGCGGGCAACCGAGCCTGCGACTTACATCCAAGCCATCGAGAAAGAGCTCCAACAACCGCCTCTCGAATACCCTCTCCACCTCTTCCTGATCCTCAGCCACTTCCACCCTCGGCTCCCCGCCATTTGCCGCATCTTCCTCGTCATCACTCTCCTCCTCGAACTCTTCCCCCACTTGATCCAGTCTCCTCTCCATCCGCTTCGCAGCCCTCACATCTTCCGCCTCTCTATCTTCCTCCATCAACCTCAAAAACCCGCCCAGCTTTCTCACTTGCTGGTTCCCTACAGTTCCCTGCATGAAGGAAGAGTTGGCCCAGGCAGCTTCGTCCTCTGCGTTTTGGGACGTTTCGGCGAATGGGTCACCGCCGAGACGTTCCCAGAGAAGCGGCCATCGAAGACGACCTTGGGCGGACGATAGAGATGGGGGAGAGGTTGTAGAGTATATGAGACGGCGGCGTTTTATTGTCGGTATTGAGGTGCGCTCTTTGGGGGATATGAAGGAGAAGGGTTCGAGGAGCGATGACGGGAGATTTTGGATGTATTTGGTAAGAAACTCGAGGGGCGGCGAGGGGAGCGTCCCGGATGCCGGGAGCTGCAGATGCGACAGGATCTGTGACACGTGCTCTGGCGAGACAGACATGGCTACGTTAAGCACAGCTCGACAAGTCTGAACCAGAAGCGAGCCAAACAATACAATCGGCTCGCAATCGGCAGATGCAGCCGCGGGATCAAATGATTTGACGTCAGTTTTTATTAACAGCTCACTAATATAATTTTGAGGTGGCGTATCAAAAAATGTTCTTTTGTGCGCGCTGAGCCCTAATACTTTATCGTCGATTCCCTTTCTTTTCCCTTCTTCATCTATCAAAATGGCCCCCTCCGCCTCCAAGCAGAAGCGTCTCGCAGACAAGGCCGCCAAGGCCGCCGAAAAGGGCACCACCTCCTCCAAGTCCTCCACCGGCGCCAGCACTCCCGTCACCAGCGTCGAGGGCGTCACTGAGGAGATGGCCAAGCTCCAGGCCGCCACCGACCGAGGTGCCAGCGGTGTCCTCGTCTCCGACCCCAAGGGCCGAGACATCAAGATCGACCAGTTCACTCTTTCTTTCCACGGTCGTCTTTTGATTGAGGGTGCCGAGATCGCTTTGAACTATGGCCAGCGATACGGTCTTTTGGGTGAGAACGGATCCGGAAAGTCTACCTTCCTCGAGTCTATTGCCAACCGTGACGTTGAGATCCCCGAGCACATTGATGTAAGTGCTTCTTCGAGATTTGCAAGAATCACAACTGACATGCATACAGATCTACCTCGTCTCTGGTGCCGTCGAGCCTTCCGACGTCAACGCCCTCGACTACATTGTCGCCTCTGCCCGTGAAAAGGTCGAGCGTCTCGAGAAGCTCGCCGAGGACATGTCTACCGCCGACGAGATTGACGAGCTCGGTCTCGAGGCCATCTACGAGGAGCTTGAGGAGATGGACCCTTCCACGTTCGAGGCCAAGGCCGGTGCCATCTTGAACGGTCTCGGTTTCACCCAGGCCATGATGGCCAAGCCCACCAAGGACATGTCTGGTGGTTGGAGAATGCGTGTCGCCCTTGCCCGAGCCTTGTTCATCAAGCCTCACGTCTTGTTGCTCGATGAGCCCACTTCCCATTTGGACTTGGGTGCCGTCGTTTGGCTCGAGGCTTACCTCTCTACCTACAACCACATTCTCGTCTTCACCTCCCACTCTGCCGACTTTATGGACACTGTCTGTACCAACATCATGGACTTGACCCCCAAGAAGAGGCTCGAGTACTACGGTGGTAACTACACCATCTACACCAAGACCAAGAGCGAAAACGAGGTCAACCAGATGAAGGCCTACGTCAAGCAGCAGGAAGAAATTGCCCACATCAAGAGTACGTTTTATCCTCTCTCATGTCTCATGGACTGAGCTGATTGTTTGCAGAGTTCATTTCTTCCGCCGGTACCTACGCCAACTTGGTCAAGCAGGCCAAGTCCAAGCAAAAGATCATCGACAAGATGGAGGCTGCCGGTTTGGTCGAAAAGGTCGAGGCTCCCAGGCTCCTTCGATTCAACTTTGAGGACATCAGGAGACTCCCTCCCCCTATTGTTGCCTTCTCCGACGTCGCCTTCTCTTACTCTGGTGACAAGAAGGACTACCTCTACGAGGACTTGTCTTTCGGTGTCGACATGGACTCTCGGTACGTCGCTCGTCTTTCCACATGACCCTTGCTAACGATCTGCAGTGTCGCTATCGTCGGTGACAACGGTACCGGTAAATCCACCCTCCTCAACCTCATCACCGGTGCCCTCCAGCCCGTCGAAGGTACCGTCAACCGACACACCCAGCTCAAGCTCGCCAAGTACTCTCAGCACTCTGCCGACCAGCTGCCTTACGACAGGTCCCCCGTCGAGCACATTGCTGCCCTCTACTCTGACAAGTTCCCCGACAAGGACATTCAGTTCTGGAGGCAGCAGATCGGTCGATTCGGTATCACTGGTGCCCACCAGACCAACCCCATCAAGCAGTTGTCTGACGGTCTCAAGAACCGAGTCGTGTTTGCTATCCTTGCCATGGAGCACCCCCACATCATCTTGCTCGATGAGCCTACTAACCACTTGGATATGGTGTGTTCGCTTTGGGTTGTGATTGGATCAAGCTGACATCGATTTCAGGAATCTATCGACGCTCTTGCCAAGGCTATCAAGGAGTTCGAGGGTGGTGTCGTGATTGTCTCGCACGACTTCCGACTTATTTCTCAGGTCGCCGAGGAGCTTTGGGAGGTCAAGGACCACAAGGTGATCAACCTCACCAAGCAGGACATCTCTATCGTCGACTACAAGAAGGCTCTTGCCAAGCGAAGTACGTCGATCTCATATTTACTTTGAGCTCATCTAATTAATCACTGTGTAACAGGTCAGCACCAGATCGAGAAGGCCAAGCTCATTTCCAAGAGCGCTTCCAAGGGTGTCGCGTAATCGCCTCTCCCTACCGCCTTCAATCCTTCGCCACATCATCTTCGTATCTTTTTGCGAGTTGTTTTTCCATGTCATCTTTTATCAACGCACTGTGTCGATTAGTCCCCTTTTCTATCTTTCATTTTACCTTTATCAAAAGAGATGTGTGATTCTCAGACCCCCCATAGACGAGCATAGCATGCTATACCCCGGAGAGTGACGACGTATGAAGCTCAAATAATACTACAATTCCGACTCTTTTCTTGGGGCAAATTCGCCCCCGGGAGAAACTTGAGATGTTCAGTCACGCGGTAGCTCAGGTAGACGTTGACTCAGATCAGACGGTCTTTCAATCGTCTCAAGGACTCTCTATACATGCGTCACCCAACCAGATGGCCACTGACAACCCGCAACTGTGCTCCATGTCGTTGGTTGAGGCAATTACCGGAATGCGGCTGACGTGGCATTGAAGGCACCGTAAAAGGCCTCTGTTATCTAAGGCACCGGAGAGATGTGATCGATCCAATTCTTGCGAGCTTTTTCTTTCGCCAGTTCCCGAAATTACCGCAACGCCACAGCATGGCTCATCTTGGCAGCAACTCATCTCGCACTTGTTAATACTTGAAGACCGTCCTCTGATTTGCCCTCCTACATTCCATCTCGACTGACCCGCCGCCCTCAAGATGGTCCTCTGTCTCGTCTCCTACTGCCCAACTGTCTCGGAGCGCCTGGGAGGCAACCAGCCCGACTCTTGGTGCGTATCCCGTCCCATACCCTCAAGTCGTACTCACCAATTGCACAGGTACAAAGCCAACCACTGGGCGCGCACAACCGCCATCGCCTGCTTTGTCCTCGTAGCACTCGTAGCCATCGTCAACTGGACCCGTAGATATGTCGAGTATCGGCCTCGGAAGACGACGGCTTTCCTACGTGGTTTGGGCTATCGTCATGTAGCCTTTATCGACTTGTCATTAGGCGTCGTCCTTGTAAGCTACTTGGAACAGATGCAGAGGGATGACAAGCTAACGTCCACGTAGACCCTCACCACTCTGTTCTTGGCTCTCCTTGTCTGGTGCTTGCAGATGCAGCCATACTACCGTAGGGGTGTCGAATGGGGCAACTCTCCTCTTGGTATTCGCGCCGGTTACATTGCTCAGGGTTTGATACCTTTTGTCTTTGTCATGGGCAGCAGAATCAACCCGCTTGCGTGGATTGCGAGAGTGGAAGCCTCGAGATGGATGGTCTGGCATCAATATGGTGCGCGAGTACTCTGTAAGTCGCTTCACCCTCAAAGTAAAGTACATTACTCATACTCCAAAGTGTTCTTCTCTCTGCTCCACACATTCGTCTTGATGTACGCTCCTTACCGACAAGGAGGCATGGCCTGGGTCACTGCCTACTGGAACAAGTTGAACCTCTGGAAAAACTTTTTCAACGACATGGGCTTGTTGATCAACGGTACCGTCGCCCTCGTCGCCCTCGGCTGGATCGTCTTTTCCAGCTTTGCCAAGCTGCGCAACTGGAACTATGAGTTTTTCGTCATCCAACACGTCCTTTCCGTCACCCTCTTCATCATGTCGATCTGGCCCCATCTGAAGATGGGTATGCCCGACTGCATCTACTATGCCTACGCTTCCATCGCTATCTGGGTCTTTTCTGTCGTCGTCAGGATTGCGTGGGAGAGCGTGGAGATGGCGGGCGTGGGCAAGTGGAAGGGGACGGCGATGGTGGAAGGTTTCGGAGGCGGGGACGTGCGCGGCATCGGGGGTGTGACAAAGCTTGTCGTAGAGACCAAGCGAGGTGGATGGGATGTGGGGACCTATGTCTATCTCCGAGTACCCTCCATTAACCCCTTCGTAAGCCTTTCGCCCCTTTCAGTACCGTACAAAACTGACACGATACAGCAATCCCACCCATTCACCATCGCCTCCGCCCCACCTACCGACCCCAAAACACCCTGCCCCCTCACACTCTTGATCTCCACCCGTTCAGGCATCACAAAGCGCATCACCAACGCCGCTGTCAACTATCCCCACAAGTCTATCCCTGTCATCATCCAAGGACCGTTTGGCGTGCTTGGCGAGCGGTTGGAGAGGTTTGATAGGATTTTGGTCATCTGCGGTGGAGTTGGAGCTGCGTTTGGATGGCCGATCGTTAGTAGATTTGGTAAAGAGGGCAAGGTCAAGATGGTTTGGAGCGCGAGAAGTCTCGGTACGTCTTTCCCTTCATTTATCACAAAGACTGGCTGACGTTTAATCGTAGATTCTCTGAAATGGTTTGAAGACGATACGACCGTCAACCGTTCTTCCATCCAACTCCACCTCACTTCATCTCCATCCCAAATCCCGGAAAAGTCTACCGAAAGCGATACCGAGATAGACTGCTGTGGATCTACCGCCAATTCGACTTTGAACGGTACCGACACACCGATGTCCGACATCGGCGAGGAAAAGCGACTCCATCAAAGGTCAACTCATCAAAGGGCCACCTCTGATTACGCCGCCCCTTCTTCTTGCTGTGCACCCCTTCCCCTGCTCGACAGTGTAGACACACCCTTGTCGACTACCGGCGAAGAGAAGCGCCTGCAGTCTTCATCCGTACCATCGAATGTGGATGTGAGGACGGGGAGATGTGATGTTAGAAGTACAGTGAGGGACTATGCGGAATGTATGGGAGATGGGGAGAAGCTTGCTGTCATTGGTACGTCCCACATCCCAACCCTTTCAGATAAATGATGGCTGATTTTTCATATCAGTGTGCGGGCCGGTATCGATGCTCGCCGAAACTGCCAACGCCGTATCATCATTACAATGGGATATCGTGCTTGGACGGACGGGGTTGGGGGAAGTGTGGATGCACAAGGAGAGGTTTGGGTGGTAAGGATGTGTAGATATAATCTAGATCCTTGGGTCACATAATCATGCGCATAGGGGGGCGATAGAGCATTGGTTAGAAGCATGTTGTAGAAATTATGAACCGTGTGCCGATTCTCCTATAGCACAAGACTCTTTCACAATAATGTACTGTCTAGAATTACCAGCACCGCCGGCATTCTGTGTCGTAGCTTGCATTCTTTTGTTGAGGCAGCAGAAGAGAAGGCATGAAGGGAAAGATCAAAAAGATGCAAAAACATGGCGCCACCCGGGATCGAACCAGGGACCGCACGAATGGAATCCAACAAATCTTGAACTTCAGTCGTGCGCTCTCCCAACTGAGCTATGTCGCCGTAGATGAAAGGTAAAATAAGACAGCCCCATCAAGCTTCTATGTAGTTGAACGAGTTGAAAGATGTGATGGGCCATACTCCTCTGATGCTTCTCGGTCATGAAGTCTTTACAATCTAGATATTATCCCACACTGGAGCTTACTTCTTGATTCACCTGTGACTGTACCCATACGCAGCGACACTGAACCTGGAGCCACTTTTGTGAGGGGTTACGACTCCTCTTTCTCAAGTCTCACTGTATGCGCTCTTGCTCCCGTTCCAAACTGCTAGTACCATTCCGCCTCTTCGAGGCGTTGAATCTCAGCTTTTTTTTATTTTTTTTTCTCCTACACTCAACCGTTGCCGTACGTCAGTCTGCAAGTCTTTACCACCCTCAGCTGCTGGTCAACGCATACTCGAGCACGAGTACAGCGCTCGTATCCTTGACTGATATCCAGCTCTTTGCCCGGCGCAAGTCCAGCGGTCTGCAGTAAGCCTTCGGAGCGCTGCCTTACTCCTCTGGTAACCCCTACATCAGCCCCAATTTGGCCCTCCTAGAACCGGTCTACGAGGAAATCCTAAAGTTCCTCGCCGAGCTTCGGCCTGGGCTTGTCCTCGGATTGTCCAAGCACCTCTATGAGAGAATGAAGCCCTGGGCGTACAGGGATGTCACCGTCACCCCTTGCCTACTCGCCCTCTTCAGCTCGTTGATTTTTCATGAATTTCGTACGAGGGCAAACGTTTTGAACTTTCTCTAATAAAGTCACTCGGCTCGTTAGGATCAGAGATAACCACGTTCTCTGGGGCCTCTATGCGCTAGGCCAAGTATGGCACTTGCCCTCCCTCGTGACACAAGTGTTCCCGAAAGCTCGAACATTGGTCTACTTTTCGGGACTTGCTTTGGCCCTTCATATATGGAAGTACAACGACTCTGCAATACACTTGTCCAGGACAAAGGACGTTTGGGTCTTGAAAGTCACGCTCGATGAGCTACTGCAAGGTATCAAGCTGTCTCAGATGGCCGCCGGAGGTTGTCATGAAGTCGTTGATCCGTTCAACGTCAGGGAGAGGGCAGAGGCAAGCTATGAACGACGTTTGGACATCCCTTCGAGCACTATTGTGGTGAGTTCTCTGTGACTGCATGCAAGTCTGCCAGTTCAAGCTTGCCTGTCGTAGTGGCCATCATCTTAGAGACTTGTAGACTGGCAAATACATAATTGAAGTATATCGCAGAAATGGTCCTGATGATTAGGCAATGCATGGTCTAAATTTGATATGATGATAATGAGTAGAAAGATGATTATACGCTGATGGTAATAAGATGGAACTCCTCTGTATGATCCCCTGGGATGATATACCCCACACCCCGCCCACTAATGCTTCTCACCCTGATGCTTGTCCTGCTTCCCCATCCTCACAAACAACGCCACGACCACCGTCGCCAGCGCCGCAAGCCCCGTTGCAAAGTAGAATGCAGCGCGATAGCCTTTGAGGATATCGTGCGTCGACGTCCCTGATCCCCTGACGTATGACTCGACGGTACCTGTCATACCGAGACCGATGGACAATCTACGAGAGGTAAGATCAGCACCGCCAGTCGTGTAAAGAAGGGAAGACTCACGAGTAGTTGGTGATCATGCTCACGAGCCCGGCCGCAATCCCCTGAAACTCTTTCGAAACGGAGTCGCTAACGATCAACTGGCCGGTACTGAAGCTCAGATCTGGCCCGAAGACGACAAGGACGCAGCTGAAGAAGGTGTTGCCCCAGTATGTCGAGTTTGTAGGGGCGGTGGCGGCAAGCAGGTTGCCGACGACGAAGGAGAACATGGCGGCGAGGAAGATGAAGTGGCCGGGGATACGGTGAATGAGCACGGGGACAAGCATGGCAGCACACATGCCTATGACTATGTCAGTGAGACTGCAGGACAGGGACCGTGACTGACGCACCTCCAGGCACAATAGGGATGATCTCTGCCACGATGGTGAGAGGGTCATGATGATTACGGATGTTTCGTATACTACGGAGAGTCAGTCGGATCTTCACAATAAGAATCGCAAGAACTTACAATAGTGTAGTATACAGCAAGAAAGTACCAAAGCTCATCCACCCAAGCCACAAGCACAGATATACCAGCAGACTGTCTCTTGTCAAGACTTCCACGGGGACCAGAGCGTTCTTGCCCATTCTCCTCTCCCACCACAAGAATGCCCCAAAAAAGACGAAAGAGACGATAAAGAGGGCGTAGACGTAGGGTTCACTCCATCTTCTTGAAGCTACGGGGGCTTGGTTCCAGCAAAAATTGAAAAGACCGAGGCCCAAAGCGAGGAGAAGAGCGCCAAGGTAGTCGAAGACCCTTTCGGAGGGGTTGCGATGGGGTTCGTCTGGAGGAAGGATCAAGAGGCCACCGACAAGGAAAACCGTCATGAGGATGGCGCTAGTTCTGTCAGCTCTCGCTATAATTGTGGAACTGCCAGACTCACGTAAACCAGAATATCCATCCCATGCTCACCAACTGCCCAAACAGTGCCCCGATCAGCCCTCCGACCCAGAACCCGGCAGGCGCCAGCGCTCCCAACATCGCGAACGCCACGTTCCTTGCCTGCCCAGGCGGGTAGGTACGTCCAAGTATGGCGATAGCATTAGGTACTATACCACAAGTCAGAAAACATACACAAATAACAGCATCCACGTACAAGACAAAGCTGACCCGATCCCGTTTATGGCACGGGTAATGTCGAAAGGAATGGGACTTTTGCAAAACCCTGAGCCGATGTTCGATACGACCATGATTGCGATACCGATGGACCACCATAGTCTAGGGCCGCTGGATTGACAAGTCAGTCCCCTTCACCAACTGGTATGGACTTCACTCACTAGAGATCCCCTAGACGCCCGGCAGCAACAAGAAACATCCCCACAGTCATACTGCGCTACTATCAGCACCACCTTTACAGGCTCTCATGATACTCACCCATAGCTCGCTACCATCCAGCTCAGCTGCCCTGGATCCACCGTCCCCAAAGCAGGCCCAATGACATATAACGGTACCATGATCAGGCCCGTCCCCGCTTGGGCAAAGAGCTGCGTAGCACAAGCCACTCCGATAAAGGTCACTCGGAACAAGTTGCCTCTGCCGTCAAGATAGTGTTGAGATGGCGGTAAATCTTCGGGGGATGGTTCTTCGGGGTCGGGCCTAGCATGATCGAGGGATCTTTGGGAGGCAGAGCTGGAGGACGGGCGTTCTTTGGAGGGAGGGTGAGATGTGGGACGTGTCGATGAAGATTGATGGCCGTTGGCTACGATCTCCCCAGGTAGATCCTTCGTGGTACTTTGTTGACCTTCCTGGGGAGACGCAAGGGCCACGCTGCTCTTCAGATCATTGCTGGTGTTCATGATGTCGGAGATGGGAGTGTCGACCGCGGCAGTAGTACTAAGGGGTCGGTCGAATGATTACAGGTGATCATGTATATTATAGGTCGTTGAGAGAGCACCAATGTACACTATGTATCTGGTTTTCCTTCGATGGGGCAAGAGCGGGGACAGAGATAGAAAATAGAGAAGAGAAGCGATGGAAGTCAATGTCCGACAAATATTTGTTGTGTTCGTGCGTCAGTCGCCCAGGCACGGTTTTTGCCGATTTGTGCATGAAGGTTGGTTTCTTGAAGGCGTTCTGTTCAGCGCTGTCTATCCAATTAGCCCGATCATAGCTTGTCAATAGTTCTATGGACATCTGAGAGCTGCCATGAGCACTGCACGTATAGGGAGAACATTACATAGGTTGGATACATAGACCATTCGAGCACCCTTGCTTTTGTGACAATTGTCTCAACCCCGATTGCTATTGATGATTTGATGATTATACTACATACGATCTGAGGTATCACTCAATCAGAGGATACGGCTGCAAAGACGAATGCGAGACTGACCTTTTCAGAGTATCCCAGAAGAAAGGAATGCTTGAACTATTGCACTTTGTCAGTCAACATCACATTTAAAGACGTCTTGGTACCTACCATGGATATCACTTCACAGAATTACCAACAGCATCATTCCCATCCACAACCTCAACCGACTGGGGATTGCCACTCATCACTTCAACACTCTCCTGCGGCTCCGTATTCGCCCTTCTCTCCTCCAGGGGCTGTCGTTCGCCCAATTCAGCCCTCCTAGGGAACATCGACGCGTTGGACTTCTTCACAGGGCTTCCATCCGGGGTTGTGTATCCTGCCCGGGGTGTAGAGTAGGTGCTGAAGCTCTTTGATGGGGGAGTGAGGACGTCTTGGAGGTTGCGCTGGCTACTTTCCGTTGGGTCAGAGTGATGCTTGCGGGGCGAGATGGGCTCGGTTTCCGATAAGGGGGTATGAATTGATGAGTCGGGCTTCAGGGAGGTGGCGGACAGGTGAGGTGAGATAGCAGAGCCGGCATCGGAGAGGCGAGTGGGTCGGGAATATTGCGGTGCTTTGTCTTGCATGGGAGTGGGATGCGGCTCATGAGCCTCGGAAGGTCGCATAGTGAGGCCAGGGGAGGGTACATTCACGTTGATCTGCGGGGCAGGACTGTCGAGCGTCTTGGCGCGAGGGCGGGATTCGAACCGGGCGGGGGACTTGGACGGCCTTGAAAGAGGATCGAGCGACTCTTCGAAAGTGGTCTCGAGCGAAGTGGGACGGATATCAGAATTTCCGTCCGTGAAAGAAGATGACGCCGAGGACGTCAAGAGGTTGGCCGTGGCTGACGGAGACAAGGGTGGAGGGTGCTGGACAGGGTGCGCGGCGGGACACTCTTTGGGTGGGGTTCGGGTAGGTGTCACTTGGCCAAACGTGCTATTGGAAGGTGGAGTAGGAGGCGCACGAGTGGCCTTGAGGGTCTTGACCGAGCTAGGAGTCTCGTTGACGTGGGGAGCCGCAGCGAGCTCAATCGTGTCCCGAGACGGAGAGTCGCTAGCCTTGGACCCAGACGCATCTCGGTAGCTCGAGGCGGAGCTGGCGGGGGCTGTAGAGGGCGCACTAGGGTCGGGGTTGGAGATCATCTTGGTGATCTGCTGAAACGCAGATGACTTTTCGCCCATAGGCGCGTCTCGAGAGGGAGGACGGACACGAGGGATGGTTCGCTTGCCGCGAGAAGCGGTAGCCGACATGCCATTGGCGTTCAGGGAAGAGTCTGCGGAGGCGACTTGGGTAGTGGTAGGACTGATCGGCTGAGATGTGTCTGGTTGTTCTTGCTGGGTAGCCCTCTGGAGAAGGTGGGCGTATTCCTGAGGGATGAGAGACTCGCTCGCAGACAGACGCTCGACGGCCTTGAGGAAGGCCCCGGAAGTCTCTTGCGCCACTTGCCAAGAGGACGGACGAGGCCTTGTAGGGATCTCGGAGGTCGACGGTTTGCTGACGGGTGGAGGTTGGAACGAAACCGGTCGAGCAGCTCGGGGTTTCTCGGGCACAGGAGGAGGGGCATCGGAGGCATGCGCGGCGGCAGACGGCGACTGAAAGAATGGGTGATCAGGAGGGAGGATCTGAGGGTTGTCATAGCCTTGACCAAACGTCTGGGCGACCTCGGAGGGTTGACTGACATCTGGCAGTGTAGCGAATGTCTCTTGCCGCACGAGAGGCATGGCCCGGCGTCTCGAGGTCGAGTCGTTCAAGCCGCGAGCGGGGGTAGGCCAAGCACCAGAGGCACTGCGCTGTTGGTGCTCGACATACTTTCCGGCCTGGCCGAGCTGACGGAGAGCAGCAGTGTAGTCGTTGTAGGTGTTGAGCCATCGATTGAGTGTCTCCTCGGAGTAGTCGCGTATGCAGTTGTAGACCTGGAGAGACGTAAGCTTCATTCAAGGGATGGGATGGGCTGTAGCACTCACAAGATTCAACTCGTCACTGTTTCCACCAGACCTTCCTCTGCCTTGCCCACTCATGACCAGTCTCATATGAGAGAGCGCGAGGTCGATCTTCTGCTTAGCCTATGACCCTGTCAACTATGCTCGTTTGGACTGAGGTGGCTCACTTCAGATATCTCTCGGAAGGTATCAGGATCAAGCCCAACATCGGGAGGAGGCTGGAGAGGGACAAACGTGGGTCCGAGCGCGCCATTACGCGACGAGTAGCCAGCCGGGAGAGGGTCCACATGAGAGGCCTTGTTCCTGCAGAAGAGAGAGGCGAAGGAGGACGGCATGGCTATCGCCAGGGGGGACAGAGAGTGTATGAGGGGGTGGCAAAAAGGGTAGAATGGGAAAGTTGCGCAAGAGATAAAAGAAAAAGGAAGAGAGATGCAGATTGAGTTGAATGAAGTTGACTGGACCTTCTGACGCGGTGGTCCGAGCGTCGCGGGGGGTGCCGCCTCTATATACTCGAGAACGAACAATCTTTCAATCGTCAGAGGTATCAATCGCACTTGCCCATGAATATAGAGTGATCGAAGCACAGTGATCTCCGCCAGTTCCATGCATGAGACAATGAAACCCGTCTTCCGATCCACACCTCTTTCGAGTGTAGAGCGTCATCACACCAACCTCCAACAAATCTAAAACGTCGAAACCTAGTAATGACAAAGCCTTGAAAGGACCAGATAAGAAAGAAAAGAGATTTGGCAGTTGAAGCCCAGAGAAACCGGAAATGATAATAGTGACAAAAAGCTTTACGCTTGGAATTTTCGTTTTGCTAAGAGTGTGGGTATAACTATGCAAATGATGTTGTGGATTGTATCCGGGAGAGGTAATACAAGTGAACTAATGTGGAGGGTATTTCGTTTATAATCTAGAGCGGGACCGAGAACGGGACAAACGTTTCAAGGCAGTTGAGGCCAAGATATGAAACGCTTAGTACCTCTGTAAAACACATTAGCTCAGACACCGGGACAAGATGTAATATACGCACGTAGTGGTCGGGCTTGTAGGGACCTTCGGCGGGCAAACCGAGGTAGTCGGCCTGGACCTTGGTCATGGTGGTAAGCTTGACACCGAGCTGGGCAAGGTGGGCCTTGGCGACCTCCTCGTCGAGAGACTTGGGGAGCATGTGGACACCGAGGGGGTAGGCCTCAGTGTTGGTCCAGAGAGCGATCTGAGCCAAGACCTGGTTGGCGAAAGAGCAGGACATGACGAAAGAGGGGTGACCGGTGGCGCAACCAAGGTTGACGAGACGACCCTCAGCGAGGAGGAGGATGTGTCGGCCGTTCTTCATGGTGAATCGGTCAACCTGGGGCTTGATGTTGACACACTCGGCGGCGTTGGCCTTGATCCAAGCAACGTCGATCTCAACATCGAAGTGACCAATGCTAATAGACGTCAGCGCTGCTCAACAAACACCGGACGAAAGACTCACTTGGAAACAATGGCGTCCTCGGGCATGACCTCGAAGTGGGCACCAGTGATGATGTCTCGGCAACCAGTGGTGGTGACAAAGACGTTACCACGGGGAGCAGCCTCCTCCATGGTGGTGACCTCGTAACCGGCCATGGCGGCCTGGAGGGCGTTGATGGGGTCAATCTCGGTGACGATGACTCGGGCACCGTAAGATCGGAGAGACTCGGCACAACCCTTACCGACATCACCGAAACCGGCGACGACGGCGACCTTACCGGCAAGCATAACGTCGGTGGCACGCTTGATACCGTCGACGAGGGACTCTCGGCAACCGTAGTAGTTGTCGAACTTGGACTTGGTGACAGAGTCGTTGACGTTGATGGCGGGGATCTTGAGCTTGCCGTCCTTGAAGGCCTTGTAGAGGTGGTGCACGCCGGTGGTGGTCTCCTCAGAGACACCCTTGATGTTGGCGAGGAGCTCGGGATGCTTCTCGTGGACGAGGGTGGTGAGGTCACCTCCGTCGTCGAGGATCAAGTTCAAAGCGGCACCCTCGGGGAAGGACTTGAGGGACTGCTCGATACACCAAAGGTACTCCTCCTCGGTCTCACCCTTCCAGGCGTAGACGGGGACACCGGTGGCAGCGATAGCGGCAGCGGCGTGGTCCTGGGTGGAGAAAATGTTGCAAGAAGACCAGGTGACCTGGGCACCGAGAGCGGTAAGGGTCTCGATGAGGACAGCGGTCTGAATGGTCCTGTAAAAGAGTCAGTGGATGCGTGAAGAGCGGATAGAGGGTACTCACATGTGGAGACAACCAGCGATCCTAGCGCCCTTCAAAGGCTGGGAAGGACCGTACTTCTCACGGATGTACATGAGTCCGGGCATCTCACGCTCAGCGAGCTCAATCTCCTTTCGACCGAAAGCGGCGAGGGAGATGTCGGCGACCTTGTACAAAGACTGAAGGGCGGTCAGCACGAGAACGTGGGTGAGATAAGAGGGCCATCTCGCCCACCACCGGCGCGAGACTCTCCATTCTTTCTCTCGCATTCCACTACATCCTCCAGAGACAGTACTCACCATTTTTATTGTTGTTTGTAAAAGGGGTTTGGGGGGAAAGAAAAGAAGATGGAGAGAAAGAAGAAAAAAGAAAAGCGACGGGGAAGGCCTGAAAAAACATCGGGCCATATAACGTGCCTGGGATCGGCCCACCATGCGTGGCGGACGTGGCCGCTGCTCCCTGAACGTGGCGGCGATTCTCTGGGTGATGAACGAAGCGACCTCATGGGGGAGAAAGGGTGTTTGATGGCGTGCATATGAGCACCATATAAAGTGAATGGGAGACATGAAGCAGAATAGCCCCCAGATAGTCAAAGTGGCGTTGCGTTGGATCAGGATGAGGTTATCAGCGGGAAGGATGAACCAACTGCCCACTAGAAAGGGGGTTATGAATATGGCCCTGTGGAGCCAATAGTGCATGAACGCTGTATTTTCGCTGGAGACTCACAAGAACCAAAACATCCACCTGACCCTCACAAGCTGCCCAAATATACCGCCAAACAGGCCGCCCAGAAAGAACCCGACAGGCGATAATGCGCCGAGGATAGAAAAGGCCACATTGCGGGTTTCCAAGGATAGCGAGAGCATTCAGCACTGAAGAGTAACGTGAGCGGGTATATCTGTTTTTGATAGCAAATACCTTACAGGCAATGGCTGAGCCAATACCGCTCAAGACGCGGGTGATGTCGAATAGAATGGGAGACTTGCAGAAGCCCATACCAACATTTGAGACGATCATGGTGAATCATGCCAACTGCCCACCAGTTCCTCGGACCGCTAAACTTCATCAGTTGCACCATAGTTTCAGGAATGAGGACATTTACTATTGATCTCCCAGTAGGAGAGCTTATGTATACCCCGGAAGCCGGAAGGAAACAGCGACGTGGCTAACGAGAACTTTGCGTGTTCCGGTCCCGGCGTGGTGAGCAAGAGAACCCATATCGGTTCATGATGCATGATGATAATAAGAAATGGACAAGGACCTGAGGCCAGAGACCAGAGACGGGAGATCCGACGTGAATTGGCTTTGGTTTGGTCAGGTTCAATAGGTACCGGTGTCATGTTTAGACCCGAAAAACCCCTCGGGATAGACAGCGATCAGCAGTGTATAGTACTTGTTGTCAGACATCACGATGCAGTACAACCTCATTACATCAATATATATCTATGTCACGGCCTGCTGGGACGCAGCAGGGGAGGGGACTGGAAAAGGTGATTTTGGAGGGGAAAAGACCTTTTCGGTATTATCGCATAAGGAATAGTAGAACAATGAGATATGAATTCAGTTATGTACACCGCGCGTCCTTCATCCATCCACACAACTCAGCGCCAATGCCACTTCAGGGAATATCTACGTGTGACAATCTAACCAGTCAATATATTATCTACTCTTCATCACTATCATACTTCTTCTGAGTGTCCATCCTTACAAACAACGCAACTACAACCACAGACAAAGCTGCCAAACCCGTCGAAAAGTAGAGCGCCGCGCGATACCCTTTCAGAAGATCGGTCTGCGAGTCTCCCGAACGTACATATGTTTCGACAGTACCTGCTAGACCGAGGCCAATTGACATTCTGCCATTCTCATCAGTGTTGGATTCTGGAGTTCAGTACGCAGGACGCTGCGAGTATAGACGTATACGGTAGACAAGTAGTTACGTAACGTAGCGGGAC